CTGAGCTGCAGTTTCTGAGCTGCAGTTTCTGAGCTGCAGTTTCTGAGCTGCAGTTTCTGAGCTGCAGTTTCTGAGCTGCAGTTTCTGACCTGCAGTTTCCGAGCTGCAGTTTCCGAGCTGCAGTTTCCGAGCTGCAGTTTTTGACATGCAGTTTCTGAGCTGCAGTTTCCGAGCTGCAGTTTCCGATCTGCAGTTTCTGAGCTGCAGTTCGTGAGCTGCAGTTTCTGACCTGCAGTTTCTGAGCTGGAGTTTGTGACCTGCAGTTTCTGACCTGCAGTTTCTGAGCTGCAGTTTCTTACCTGTAGGTTCTGAGCTGCAGTTTCTGAGCTGCAGTTTCTGAGCTGCAGTTTCTTAGCTGCAGTTTCTGAGCTGCAGTTTCCGAGCTGCAGTTTCCGAGCTGCAGTTTCCGAGCTGCAGTTTCCGAGCTGCAGTTTCTGAGCTGCAGTTTCTGAGCTGCAGTTTCTGACCTGCAGTTTCTGACGTGCAGTTTCTGACCTGCAGTTTCTGACCTGCAGTTTCTGACGTGCAGTTTCTGACCTGCAGTTTCTGACCTGCAGTTTCTGACCTGCAGTTTCTGACCTGCAGTTTCTGACCTGCAGTTTCTGACCTGCAGTTTCTTAGCTGCAGTTTCTGAGCTGCAGTTTCTGAGCTGCAGTTTCTGAGCTGCAGTTTCTGAGCTGCAGTTTTTGAGCTGCAGTTTCCGAGCTGCAGTTTCTGACCTGCAGTTTCTGACCTGCAGTTTCTGACCTGCAGTTTCTGACCTGCAGTTTCTGACCTGCAGTTTCTGACGTGCAGTTTCTGACGTGCAGTTTCTGACCTGCAGTTTCTGACCTGCAGTTTCTGACCTGCAGTTTCTGACCTGCAGTTTCTGACCTGCAGTTTCTTAGCTGCAGTTTCTGAGCTGCAGTTTCTGAGCTGCAGTTTCTGAGCTGCAGTTTCTGAGCTGCAGTTTTTGAGCTGCAGTTTCCGAGCTGCAGTTTCTGACCTGCAGTTTCTGACCTGCAGTTTCTGACCTGCAGTTTCTGACCTGCAGTTTCCGAGCTGCAGTTTCTGAGCTGCAGTTTCCGAGCTGCAGTTTCTGAGCTGCAGTTTCTGACCTGCAGTTTCTGACCTGCAGTTTCTTAGCTGCAGTTTCTGAGCTGCAGTTTCTGAGCTGCAGTTTCTGAGCTGCAGTTTCTGACCTGCAGTTTCTGACCTGCAGTTTCTGAGCTGCAGTTTCTGAGCTGCAGTTTCTGAGCTGCAGTTTTTGAGCTGCAGTTTCCGAGCTGCAGTTTCTGACCTGCAGTTTCTGACCTGCAGTTTCTGACCTGCAGTTTCTGACCTGCAGTTTCCGAGCTGCAGTTTCTGAGCTGCAGTTTCCGAGCTGCAGTTTCTGAGCTGCAGTTTCTGACCTGCAGTTTCTGACCTGCAGTTTCTGACCTGCAGTTTCTGACCTGCAGTTTCTGACGTGCAGTTTCTGACCTGCAGTTTCTGACCTGCAGTTTCTGACCTGCAGTTTCTGACGTGCAGTTTCTGACGTGCAGTTTCTGACCTGCAGTTTCTGACCTGCAGTTTCTGACGTGCAGTTTCTGACCTGCAGTTTCTGACCTGCAGTTTCTGACCTGCAGTTTCTGACCTGCAGTTTCTGACCTGCAGTTTCTGACCTGCAGTTTCCGAGCTGCAGTTTCCGAGCTGCAGTTTCCGAGCTGCAGTTTCTGACCTGCAGTTTCCGAGCTGCAGTTTCTGACCTGCAGTTTCTGACCTGCAGTTTCTGACCTGCAGTTTCTGAGCTGCAGTTCTGAGCTGCAGTTTCTGAGCCTCCGTTTCTGAGCTGCAGTTTCTGACCTGCAGTTTCTGACCTGCAGTTTCTGACCTGCAGCTTCCGACCTGCAGTTTCTGACCTGCAGTTTCTGACCTGCAGTTTCTGACCTGCAGTTTCTTAGCTGCAGTTTCTGAGCTGCAGTTTCTGAGCTGCAGTTTCTGAGCTGCAGTTTTTGAGCTGCAGTTTCCGAGCTGCAGTTTCTGACCTGCAGTTTCTGACCTGCAGTTTCTGAGCTGCAGTTTCTGAGCTGCAGTTTCTGAGCTGCAGTTTCTGAGCTGCAGTTTCTGAGCTGCAGTTTCTGACCTGCAGTTTCTGACCTGCAGTTTCCGACCTGCAGTATCTTACCTGCAGTTTCTGACCTGCAGTTTCCGAGCTGCAGTTTCCGAGCTGCAGTTTCTGACCTGCAGTTTCTGACCTGCAGTTTCCGACCTGCAGTTTCTGACCTGCAGTTTCTGACCTGCAGTTTCTGAGCTGCAGTTTCCGAGCTGCAGTTTCTGAGCTGCAGTTTCTGAGCTGCAGTTTCTGACCTGCAGTTTCTGACCTGCAGTTTCTGACCTGCAGTTTCTGACCTGCAGTTTCTGAGCTGCAGTTTCTGAGCCGAAGTTTCTGAGCTGCAGTTTCTGAGCTGCAGTTTCCGAGCTGCAGTTTCTGACCTGCAGTTTCTGACCTGCAGTTTCTGACCTGCAGTTTCTGAGCTGCAGTTTCTGAGCAGCAGCGCTGGTGAATGCAGGAGCACTGGTGAGTTGTAGCAGCAGTAGCAATGGCGCCTTGACTTTCCAACCAAGTTCTTTGTCCTCCAAGCGCTTTGCCTTATGTGATGGCAAGCACTCGTCACTTGTATTGCATGTGCTTCACTGGTTTCTCCCTGAAATCTCGCCATTGGTTGGTTTTGGCTCAACTCAGTAGCCACAGACCCCTCCTGTTGCAGGTATCAACAGCACACCACGAGCAACCTGGAGGCTAGAGCACGGGCAGCAGCAGGGTGCTGCTTGGGGCGAAGGCGTGACGAAGGAGCCGTTGGTTCTACCAAGGAGGAGGAAGCACTTAGCTGGAATGTGGTACGTGGCAGGGGGTGCTTGCATGCGATTACACTTCCCCAAGTGCCTCTGTGTTCCCTCTGTGTGTTGGTTGCTTGATATTGGTTGTGTTCTTTAGACTTCAATCGTCTTCCGTCATCCTTCTCCTTTTTGGCTCGTTCTCTCCTCTCTCCCTTCCTCCTCTGTACATGTCGCAGTGCTGTCCCCAGCAACAACTGCAGGAGAAGCAGTGGCACCAACAGCACTGCTGCGTATTCTACATGGCGGGTGTGATGGGAGACTCTTTGGGGTGGAGTTGCTGGGCTATTCAACATACTTGCTTCACAATGCAATTTGCAGCAAGTAAGTGGCTCCCTCTTGCATTCCTTCCTTTTTTCTTCCATGTCTCATTAGTGGCTCTTGTGGTGATGTGCAGGGCGAGGTAGCAGACATTTGGGCCAAGGCAGTAAGGTGGTTTACCACCAAGATGTCCAAGATGGCCTGCTGCTGTGCTTCACAGTTCTGATCTGTGCTCAGCTTGCCTGGCTGTGCTTAGATGTGCTAGGTGTGCTGTGTTGCGCTGGGCTGGGATGGGATGGGTATGCATGTTTTAGAATAGGTGGGCAGGTGGCGCCTGGGCACAAACACCCAAGCAGGACAGAGTTGCAAATCTGTGTTTGCAAATCCGACACATTTGGTGGCCGAATTGCTGGCCGCTTATGAAATGTGTCAGATTTGTTGGTCGGATTGCTGCGACGGTGTCGCAGATTTTGCAGCGATACAAGTAGCGATTACAAATAGTGGATGTTGCGAGCTGGATGACACTTGAGTGGCTGGCGTAAACATGTGACGTCGCAGGATTACTGTTGCATTGCCAAGTCGACATCTTGGCCGAATTCGAGTTGACTCACACGTCAGATTGATGACTTTTATAAATGGCCATCAAATTTACGAGAAGTGGCCGGATTATGTGTGCTCGTCGAAAATATTTGCGACTGTCACAACCTTGTTACTTTCTCCAGAACCGGCCAGTCGGATTATGACGATTTCGGCCAGTTATACCATTCTCGAGCATATCGAGCCAATTGTTTTGCGCGCATGTTGGCCCCTCCGAATAAATTCCCAGTTCAACTTACTCTGCTCTGCATGCCGTTCTCTGTGGCAAGAAGCACCCAGCCTCTTAGTGCGTGAACCATTTGCCGTGAAGAAGGCGAGAGAACCATCGGGACTCGAGCTGCCATCTGGCATCGTCGCATGCGCGTGTGACTCCTTCGCATCAGGCTGATTCGTCGAGCATTGTAATCTGCGATTCCGCGTAGAGTGTCGCTGCTGCACGGTCTAAATGGCCAACAGCGGCATTACAGAGGTCTTCAGACGCCTTTCTGGCTGTTCAGCACGATGGATTCTCCGTTCGGCTCTCCACGGGAGGCCGGCAGAGGACGAGGCAGGACTTTCGGCGGCCATGGCGGCAGACCAGGAAGCTCCGGAAGCACAATGGACGATTATTCTCCAAGGCATGGCGGATTTCAGCATGGGGGATATCAGCAATCCGGCTTCTATCAGGGAGGTCGCGGGCACGGTGGGAGCGGCAGGGGATGGGGAGGACGAGGCGGCGGAGGAGGGCGAGGAGGTTCGGCGAGCTCCGACGGGCAGGAGAGGAGGGTCCCGAGCCTGTGGACCTTCTTGCCCAACGACCGGGAATTTACGAATCAGTTTCAGATGAGGCTGTTTGTTCAAGCAATGGAGGGTCACGATGTATCAGGCACGTCACATCAGTTTCTTCGGTTCCTCCTCTGACTCGTTTTGTGCGTTTCTTTGTCACGACACTGACTGAAGTACGACTGACGTAAGCAATGGTAACCATGTCGTGGTGGTGTGTGTGTGTGTGTGTGTGTGTGTGTGTGTGTGTGTGTGTGTGTGTGTGTGTGTGTGTGTGTGCAGATCTGGTGATCGTCCTTGCTGACGACAAGCTCTATGGCAGGAGGAAGCTTCTGAGCATCTGCGAAGAGGCTATTTGCTGCGGTGCTGCGAGATCAGTGTCAGCTGGAAACCATCCTCGGACAGTTTCCTTCCAGAGCGTGATCCTGCCAATGCTACAAGTCATTTGTCAGGTAAGAGATTGCACGTTGTCTTTTACTTCCGCGTTTTTTTTTTGTTATTCTGTAACTTATGGACGCCAGCTTATGGAGAGCTCATATCTTATTTGCTTATTCTCTGTGAATATTTTTCCTGTATGTGTGCAGCCTGCATTTTTCAACAACCCAGCATCAAGCAAGGTGAACACGACCCTTGCAGCCATGGCCGAGGTGGACGGCTTTCAAGAGTACCTCGTCGCCTGCATGAGGCTGCTCACCCTGCGCGGCATGATTCGCGATTTAGGGCGAGCAGACGGGAGAGGAGACGATGGGGGCATCAGGGAGTGGGACGTGGCGTTTGGCATTGTGCTCAGCTTCTTCCACGAGACCATGCTGCGCTTCCATTCCTTGTTCGCCGCGGCACATGCCAGCAGGGATTTGCAGGAGTTGGAGGGAATGCTGGAGAGATGGCAGAGGGAGCAGCCGGTGTTTGATGGCAGCTACCACCACCTGCGGTCGGTGATCTATCGATTGAGGAGGGCTGTTGATGTGAGGAGCCATAGTGAGAGGCAGAAGCGGAGGGCGGAGGAGGGCCAGATGCTGCACGAAGACTTCTTCCCTTCAGGTTCGCCTTGTGGACGGATATGTTATTGTTTTCAGATATTTGGTTCCTTCAATGAAGCGATGCCCTCATTATAGGTGTCACTTGACGTAGTTTCTTCATTTGAGCAGGTACTTTTGGTCTGATCTGATATGGTGTGATCTGATATTAACTTGCCCTGCTGCAGGTCCGCGCCTCTCAAGCATGCAGGCTGTGGATGGGCCGGGTGAGCTCAGCTTGGCTGGCCGTCCAAGGCATGATAACGACCATGTGGACATCTCAGCTGTAAGATTCAACTTGCTGAGTTTCTTGTTGTCCAACATGCTAAATGTCAGCGGTCAGATTTATTACATTGGAATTTCAGCAGTCTGAACATCCACCTAACATATTCAACTTGTGAAATCAAGGTATCACGCCCATTGGCCTAACCACATGGTAATGGTCTCCTGTCCTGGTGACCCCCCTGGCTGACTGCAGATCTCAGTGGCTCCCACGATGCAGGAGGTTCTCTGCAAGGCCTCGCCGTACCTCCCGCACAACCACGCCAGCGAGCCGCACCACCTGCCAGCGGGCTCCGTGGCCCGGCACGTGGACATCCAATTTCGCCTGCTGCGCCACGACCTCATCGCCCCGCTCTGGAGCAAGGCGCTCTTCCTCCTCCACCACCTCAACCACGAATCCTCCACGGCCGCCCGTGGCGATAGCAGCAGCAGCGGCAGCAGCAGGGAGGAGGCGATGGGGCTGGTGCGAGCAGACAGGGAGGTGGTGAGGGGCTTGACAGATGACATGAAGGGCGTGGTGGGGTTTTCTTCTGAGGACATGGACGTGTATCTGCTCAGGGACGTGCGTGTTCTCTCCATTAATACCGACAAGCGCAGCGGCGTGTACTTTCTCATCGACTTTCTCGAGCCTCCCATGCCGCGTGGCCGGCGCTCCCGTAACAGGTAACTCCGTTACAATGTAACATTAGGGCAAGAGTTTTTGCAGGGTTTGGTATGAGAAGACTCCAATGCCTGCTGGCTGCTGATGCCATATGTCCGAATTCGCAAAAGTATGCGTCAACTCGAAATTCGGCATCTCACTTGCTTGGATGGCAGGTTGGAGTTTTGGGAGAACACGCGGAGGCTGCAGAACGGCTCCCTGGTGTGCCTGTGGATCCGAGACATCCACCCCAGCCACACCCAGCACCGTGCCAGTCAGCAGCAGCGTCACAGGGAGCCCAGGGAGCAAGGCAGCTCAAATGCAAGCTGCTCCCACCGCCTCGTGTTCGCCACCATCACAGCGAGGGACACGGAGAGGCTCGCCACTGCCCGGCCGCAGATTGGCGTACAGCCGTGTGGGGGGAGCGGGTTCAGTGCAGACCTGCTGGGGCTGATCGCTCGGGACGGCAGTGCGGGCAGCAGTGCAGGGGGTGGGGGGAGCACGCAGGTGGTGATGCTGGAGGCGCATGGGAGCTTCTTTGCGTATGAGCCCATTCTCAAGGCGCTGCAGGGCATCACTGAGGCGTCTCTGCCCTTTGCTGAGTACATCTGTGGGACACCTGGCGGGGCTGCTGTGAACGTGGGGTATACACTGCCTGCGTATATCACCGCAGGGATGACGTAAGTGGGGTGAAGTAGAGATTGGGGAAGTCATTGTTAGTGAAGGTAAGAGGAATGAAGGAGAGGAGAGAGGACAAAGGGAACAAGGTGGGAAAGAGAGGGGAGGATGGATAAACTTTTGATTCACATTTTTGTAAAGGCTTTAATTGGTAGTTTTGTGAGATTTTCAGCATGTTGGCAGGTGGCTGACACACAAATCTCCATGTGCTATCTTGGCAGGTACGACCTGAGCCTGCTGCTCAAGACCAAGGCACCATCGTCCTCACAGCAGAAAGAATCCACTCCAGAGGACGCGTTCGCTCTGACCAACGTGCCCATCTCCAACCCCACTGCCTTCCCCATCGATCCTCTCCTGCGCTGCACATCACTGGACGAGCCTCAAGCTGTGGCGCTCCAGGCTGCCTTGACTCAGGAGTTCGCTCTGCTGCAGGGCCCCCCGGGAACCGGCAAGGTGGGTTGGGTTGTGGGGCATCTCAGAATCAGGACAGTCAGTTGGGTTGCCCTCACTCAGTGGGCGTGCTGACAGAGTGGGACAATCAGCTGGGACGGGTAGGTAACTAGTGTGTGGTGTCTGTTGACGTGTTGCTGAAAGATCCATCATTGAAGTTTGGCCTAGGGGCTAAGGGTACACTGTATACGCTATATAGTACTAACTGGAGGTTCCATTTACCGTGGCAGACGTTTGTGGGGATCAAGCTGGTGGAAATTCTGCTGAGCAATGCCCTCAAGACAGCTGGTGCGGGTGGAGCAAGCAGTGGGGGCGGTGGACTGGGTCCCATCCTGTGCGTGTGCTTCACCAACCACGCTCTCGATCAGTTCCTGGAGGGGCTCATTGCCAGTGGCATCAGGAACGTGAGTCCATGGCTGTGCAGGGGGATGTGCTTTTCTGACGTGCCTTGCATTGCTGTTGTTGTTCAACTAGGGGTGGTACCTGGAGCAGCAACTATCATGTGCCACCCTTCCTTCTCCCGTGTTGTTGTCTGACGCATCTGCTGCTGTTCCTGTGGTGGTTCTTGCGATGGTGCCTGAGCAGGTGGTGCGAGTGGGCGGCAGGAGCAGGTGCGAGTCTCTGCAGCAGTTCAACCTCGCCACTATCATGAGAGACACCCACCTTCATCACAGCCGCAGTGAGTTGCGACCCTTGCCAAGAATTGATGGGGATAATTCTCATAAGGGGAGCGCAAATTTAGAAGAACTGCAAATGGCAACAAGAAATAGAGTCTCGTGCTAAAAAAGCCACACTTTCCACACCTGCCCGCCGTGTCTCGTGTGTGCATGTGCATGCAGGCTACAGGCAGTCAACCTACGAGGTACACAGCAGGCTCAAGGAGGTGGAGGCAGTCATCCGCGCCCACAGCGACGCCCTGCAGCACCGCAGAGACAACGCCACTGTGCTCTCATGGCGCTCCATCGCCCCGCACCTCCTCGCCAACCACCCTGGGTTTTTCTATGCCTTCCATGCCGCCAGCAAGGCTGACGACGACGGGTTTCAGGTGCGTGGGTCAGTTGGTGGGTTAGGTTGCTTCTTGTCTCCATTAAAACCTTAGTCGTCTTTCGCTCTCTTTATATATGGTTCGTGTACAGCAGAACTGGCTCGCTCACCCCCCTGTTCCGTAATGCTTTCTTTTGTTGCTCCCTTGGCAGGAAGTGGGTGGGCAAGACAACTGGGGCCGATGGAAGCGAGGGCTGCCGAAGAAAACTCCCCGCCACAGCCGCAAGAAGGAAGCTTTCAACGCAGGAAGAGAACCCGTCAAGCTTGATGTACCTCCGCGAGTGATGGAAACGGGGGTAGGGGACAGGGGACTGGTGGGTGCAGTGACTGCTAGCAACGAGGGGCCTACTCAGAACCCATACGAAGCCTTGGGCAGGCTTGGAGGGGTTGAGGTTGGGGAGGGGTGGCATGTGAGTGGCAGTGAGAGAGATGATGGCGTGGGGGATGAGCTGCGAGGGCTGGTGGAGCTCATGTCGTCCATCTATACGGATGCTGATGGGCATGGGGATGGGGATGATGGGAGTGATGATGGGAGTGATGGGGATGGTGAGGCGGTGGTGAGGAGGACAGGACACGCCAGAGGCGGGAACACAGGCAGTGGAGCTGCTGCTGGCTTGCGCTCTTGGCTTGGGTTTTGGGCCACAGGGGGCGAAGGGCTGGAGAGAGGAGGGGGGTTCGGGGGTGGAAGGGGTGGGGCTGAGATAGGGGTAGGCATGTGGGGGGGGCAGGGCGGGCAGCAGCAAGGAGTGGTGACTGTGGAGGATCTGTCTCAGGCATTCGGTGACTTGGGAAACCAAATAGGCAGGGGCCAATGGGAGGAGCAGGTGGAGGAGAATGAAATCGAGGAGAATCGGATGGAATCTGTGGAGGTGGATGAAAGGAGTGACCGAGGGGTGGAGGAGTTGCTAAGTGTGGCGGATCCATGGGCAACCAGTGCGCAGGAGAGGCGGAAGCTGCTGGAGCACTGGGTGGGGGAGCTGAGGGACACAGCGAATGCTGCAATTGAGGCCGAGGTGGAGAACTTCTCAAGGTACCACGCCTTTCCTTGCACAGATCTTTGCTCTTAACTGCGAGCTGCAAAGGCGTATGCTAAGCAGCGCCCACGCTGTGTGAGTGAGCAGGAAAGTGAAGGAGCGCAGTGAGCTGCAACAGATGGAGGAGTTGGAGATTCTAGAGAGGGCGCAGGTGGTGGGCATGACCACGTCCGGGGTGGCCAAGATGCAGCGCCTGATCACGGCACTTGGGCCACGAGTTGTCATTGTGGAGGAGGCCGCTGAGGTGCTGGAGGCACACATCCTCACCTCGCTCACCCCGCGCACCCAGCATGTCATCCTCATAGGTATGGGAGCTGCTGGGGTTGTTGTGATGTACATGTTGCATTTGCCTAAATTCCTTTGGCCTGCCTATGCCTGTCCTGTCACCCGTATGAACTTTACGAGCTGAGCAACGAGCGCAAAATTTCTGACGTGTCCCTTCCACCAGGCGACCATCTACAGCTGCGGCCCAAGGTGGAGGTGTACGAGCTGAGCAAGGACTCGCACAAGGGCTTCGACCTGGACGTGTCTCTCTTTGAACGCCTCGCACTCTCCAGGCGCATCCCAGTGTACACGCTCGCCACGCAGCGCCGCATGCGCCCCGAGATTGCCGACCTCATCCGCTGCACCATCTACCCCGCTCTGCAGGACCACCCCCTCGTGCACGGGTATGCACGTTGACATTTTTCCTTCTTGGTATTCTCAGCATGCTCCCTGTATCTTTCTGCCAGCAAGTCCCTGTTGCTCTCTGTATTTTTCTGCTCTCTCTTTTGCTGGCTGTGATGTCCCCCGAACCGAATTCACGGGTTTCTTTCAAACACGTCGACATAAAGCTGAAATATTGCCCACCTGTCCGTCCATCGATCCATTCCTTTTTGTCTTCCCCTCCACAATCGCACCTCAAGTGTTGATGTCATGCGACCTGCTCTTCTGGGACCACGACAGCCTTTAAGTATTCACGCGCCTGAAATTTCTATGTCTCAAAGACAATCCCTTCGTCCCTCTGTAGATACCCCGACGTGCGCGGTTCAACCTCCACTTCTGGTACCACGACTGCCCTGAGAGAGGCTTTGATGATTTCAATGAGGGCAAGCCCAACGCCCACGCCCAACGCCCAACGCCCAAGGCCAAGCCCAAGGCCAAGCCCAAGCCCAGGCCCAAGCCCAAGCCCATGCCCATGCCCAGGCCCAAGCCCAAAGCCTAAGCCCAAGCTCAACGCCCAAGCCCAAGCCCAACGCCCAAGCCCAACGCCAAGCCCAACGCACAAGCCCAAAGCCTACGCCTACTCCCAAGCTCAAGCCCAACGCCCAACCCCAAGCCCATGCCCAGGGCCAAGCCCATGCCCAGGCCCAGGCCCAGGCCCAGGCCCAGCCCCAGCAAAGCCCAAGCCCAAGCCCAAGCCCAAGCCCAAGCCCAAGCCCAAGCCCAGCCCCCGCCCCCGGACCACGGGAGGGGAAATCACCAACGCTCCCTCTCTGCCTCCCTCCCCCCCTCCCTCTCTCTCCCTCCCTCCCTCTGTCTCCCCCTCACCAGCTATCCTGACGTGCGGGGCATGGCGGTGAACCTGCACTTCTGGGACCACGACTGCCCTGAGAGTGGCTTAGACGACTTCAACGAGGGCAAGTCCAAGAGCAACGACGGCGAGGCAGCCATGTTGGTGGGCCTTGCCACGTACCTCTTACAGCAGGGGTACACGGGAGGCGAAATCACCATCCTCACGCCCTACGTGGGGCAGCTGCTGAAGCTGCGCCAGGCGCTTTCTCAGGTGGTGGATGTGCGGCTGGGGGAGAGGGATGCGGAGGTGGTGGAGGAGGCAGAGGAGAAGGGTGGGACTGGGGAAGGTGGGGCTGAGGCGGGGGAGGGTGGACGTGGGGGTGGGGGAGGGGCGTCTGGAGGGCCGTGGGTGGCGGGGAAGGGATTGGGGGTGGGTTTGGATGCTGCTGCCCCCAAGGTGACAACGGCGAATCTCAAAGATGCAGTGCGGTTGGCCACGGTGGACAAGTAAGTCTGGTGACTGCAGCAGCAGCTTGCCTTGCTTTGTCCCAACAGATTTTGAAACTTCGTTCTCTGGTTTTGCTGATTTGTTGTACCGTTGGCGGTGTGCAGTTTCCAGGGCGAGGAGAGCACGGTGGTGATCATATCCCTCGTGCGCAACAACATGGATGGCAAGATTGGCTTCCTCAAGAGCCCCAACCGCACCAACGTGCTGCTGTCCCGTGCCAAGCACGGCATGTACATCATCGGTGCGTGCATGCAAGCTTGGCGCAGCACATGACCTAAGTTCGGGATTCATGCCCTTGCTTTTTCAGGACAGGCAAGGCCAACACAAGGCACGCATGCCTCTAATGGCCTTTCATTTCCTTCCTCCCCATCAATCCCTTTTCCTTGAGCAGGCAACGCCAGCACCATGAGAGCCAGCTCCAAGTCCGTGCTCTGGCCGCGAATCCTGACCATCCTGCAGAGTAGGGGGCGCGTCGGGAGGTCCATTCCGCTGCGGTGTGTGAACCACAGTGACACGGTGACGCACATTGGGAGTGCGAGGGAGTTCAGGGAGAAGGCGAGCGAGGGCGGGTGCTCCCAGATGTGCGGCTTCCGCCTCACTCCCTGCGGCCACACCTGCCCCCGCAGGTCAGAGCAAGCTGCATGCTTCTATGTGGTGTTTTAATAAGGTTATCTTCTGAGTCGACTCAAGAGTCACCAGGAGAAGGCCAGTGAGGGCGGGTGCTCCCAGATGTGCGGCTTCCGTCTCACTCCCTGCGGCCACACCTGCCCCCGCAGGTAGATGCATTGCCATTCTTGCAGCCCGACTCTGAAATTATGCCCGCAGTTTCTGAATATTTTACCCAGAAGATATGTGTGGGCCTCATTCTGCGGTTGACTGTGCTTGCTTCATCCGCCTTCACCCAACAGGTGCCACGGTGACGACAGGGCACACGCAAGGGCGTTCTGCCCCAAGGAGTGCAACCGGATTCGCCCTCTGGACGAGTGTCCGTACCAGCACACGTGCCCCAAGCAGTGTGGGGAGGCGTGTGGTCCTTGCTGTGTCACCATCAGAGAACTCACTCTCCCTTGCGGCCATCCAGCCTTCAATGTTCCGTGCTTCCAAGCTCAGAAGCCCACCTCCATCTTCTGCCCGTGAGTTCATCCATCCAACTTCTCTTCTGCCCATCGGTAATTGTTCCCGTCACGTCCACTGTCACATTTGCTCCCGTCACGTCCACTGTCACATTTGCTCCCGTCGCGTCCACTGTCACATTTGCTCCCGTCCCGTCGTTCCACAAGTTGTCGAATTGATACCTACCTCTACCTTCTACCTCTGCTGCTGCTGTATCCATTCACCACCGTGTGTGTGTGTGTGACTTGGCAGGGAGAGGGTAGAGGTGACCATGCCGTTGTGCGGGCACAAGCAGACCGTCAAGTGCAGCGAGTCCGTAGCCAGGACAAGCAACCCCAAGCTCTGCACCGCTCGCTGTGGGGCTGTGCTGTCGGATTCCTGTGGGCACACCTGCATCTCTCCGTGCGGCCACTGCATCATTGACCCAGCTGCCACTGCACAGCCTCAGCAGACACAGCAGCAGCAGGGGCCGGCAAGGAAGCACAGGAAGTGTATGCAGCGGTGCGAGCGCCCCCTCCCCTGTGGCCACCTGTGTCCCGACACCTGCCACAGCGACCGACCCTGCAGCCCCTGCACGCGCAAGTGCCTTGTCTCCTGCCAACACAGCTCTTGCCCCCAGCCCTGCCACCGAACCTGCGCTCCCTGCGCCGAGCCTTGCGGGTGGCGCTGCATTCACCAGGGGGCGTGCTCTCTCCCCTGCGGCGCTCCCTGCGACCGCCTCCCCTGTGAGCAGCGGTGTGAGAAAACGCTCAAGTGCGGCCACCAGTGCCCGTCTCTCTGTGCTGAGAAATGCCCTTCTGAGGCGTTTTGTACTGCTGCTGGCTGTGGGTCAGCAGAGAAGAAAGGGGTGACAGTGGACTTGGTTACACTGGAGACGCTGGGGGAGATTGATCCAGATGAAAGCCCTGTGCTTGTACTGGGATGCGGACATGCTTATACCGTGGATACTCTGGATGGCCACATGGGGTTGAACCAGGTGTATTTGGAGGCGGGTGATGGGTCTGGTGGGGTTTCCGGTGGTGCAAGTGGGTCTGGTGGGATGAGTGCAGGTGGAGGGGAGTGTGGGCGTAAGTGGGTGGCAGTGCTACCTTTTGAGGATGGTGATTTGTCTGCTCTCAAGGGCTGCCCGGAGTGCCGTCAGCCAATCACGGGGCTTCGCCGGTACGGCAGGATGGTCAACAAGGCTCTGCTGGACCAATCAGAGCGCAAGTTTGCTCTCACCTGCTTGGCTGACCAAGAAGTGGTGCAGAGGAAGTTAGCGCGGTTGAGCCAGGTGATCTCGTCGCTCCCAGAGACAGCTCAGCCCAGGCGGCTGCAGGAGGTGGCTCAGGCAGCTACTCGCCTGGTGCATGAGACAGGCCAGCTGTGTGTTACCGCTGGGAACCCTCCAACACAGCAGACCTACCAGGCCTCTGTAGCGGCCCTACAAAGACGACACTACATGCTCGGGCACAGGTCACGGCCCATTGATAGCAGGAAGGGCAGGCAGGGGCATGTGGGGTCGTCTGAATCCTCATGGGAGGAGGAGTGCCAGTTGCTGTATGTCCCTCGTCCGGATCCCAGACCCCTCTGTGAAGCGCGCATGATGCTGGGGAAGGCCTTCCAGCTGCTCATGGCTGCTAACTTCCTCCAACTGCGGAACCTCCTTGGGAATCTCCGGAAAACCGTGGCTGGCACGAGCAGGGAGAGCAGCAGCAGCAGCAGGAAAGTGGTATATTTGACGAGGTCTGTGGAAAGGTGCAGGGAAGTGGTGCGGGCGAGTGTGAGGAGCGCGGAGAGGCATGTGGGGGAGGCGGTGGAGTGGGCTGGTCGGCGCAAGGCGGTGCGGCTGGAGGCGAGGGCACGGCTGGAGCTGGTCGATGTGCTCCGTGCGTTCGTGGAGGGCCACATGGCGGAACGCCTGCTCTCCAACTCCCCAGCTGCCCTGGTGAGCTCACTGCTGCTGCTGTTCTTGCCATCTGCAACTCGTGACATCTATTCTGGCACGCCTTCTCATCCCTATATTGTTTGTTTCACACAACTGTGAAGCTCCAGAGTGGCCAAGGGAAGTTTCAAATTAGTCCAACTTGGCATTATGCTTTCTTGGCAGGGGGTGGCAAAGAGGCAGCAGGTGGAGTATCTGGAGAAGGCAAAGGCTCAGTGCGTCGCGGTGGCTTTCCACAGCTTACTCTCCATCAGAGAAGAGGCCAGTCTTGGGATTAGTGCCCGAAAGCTGCTCGAGGAGGACCTGCCTGCTCTGGAAGCATCTGTTCGGGACGAGCCTCGTTATTTCGCCCTGACGGAGCGTGAAAAGGGTGATGTGTACAGAGCGATAGGCCTGGGAGGAGGGCACTGGTATCGCTGCCCGAACGGGCATGTGTATGTGATAGGGGAGTGTGGCAGGGCGTGGGAGGAGTCTCGTTGTCCTGAGTGCAATGAGGTGGTGGGCGGGAGGGGGCATGTGCTGCGTGAAGGCAATGCCAGTGCATCTGACTTCTTCCGAGGGGCTTGAAAGTTGAGTTGCTGTACTGGTCACAGTATAATGATTCTTCCTGAGGGGTGTAGGTGGTGCTGATGGTTACAATAGCATGTAGATATTGTACATAGTAGGTAAATGGGTTTTTGCACCTAATCAATCCACCATTCTAATGTAGAGGCAACCCTTCTATTGAAATCAGTTACCCTATATCCGAGTTTGTCAGTTCAGAAACAGCAGGTTCACTATGAGTCCTATCCCATGTTGATTGTAGCCTTGACTCCAAGTTTGTTAGATTCAGTTTGGATTCAGAGAGTTATCTATTGCTAACCGCGTACATTCTACACTTCAAGTGTTCATTCGATAAAGAGTTCAAGATGCCTTGAAGTGGCGTACGAATATCTTTTGATTCGTTCAAACCAGTGGCTGAGAAGCGAAGGCTCTCCATGTCCGCCCATGACTCCCCACAAGTTCTAAACCTTCGCCACGTGGCTCCGTCGCATGTGACCAGCGACGGATCTTCCTGGAGATCGCTGACGGGCGACGCTGCGCGTGACGAGGCACGAGTTACGCAAGGCGCTTGTTTGGAGCCGAGTGCCTGGCGAGGGGCAGGCGACCGTCGCCAGCACATCGAGTTGCCACGCTGGCAGCTTCCGCCATGGATTAGGGACCACCTGCCGGGGTGCGTTCTCATCCACTAGGTCTGGAAGATAAGCCACTGTGCTAGAATTCCCCACAATTCCCCATGGTACAGTGCAGTGAACATAGAAAGGATGCTGCTGCCATTACATAGCTGTTCTTGCTTCTGTTTCACAAGGAGCGACCAGCAGAATTCCTAGACAGGTAGTCGTGGAATTTTGTAACAGATTAGCACATCTATCCACGTCGAGTGCTAGGTACCTCAAAATGGCTGCTACTGCTGCCCGAAGCCTGTCGGTCCCTGCAGCCGTGTCTGCTAGCGATGCCGCGTCCAGGAAGGCGTTTTCCGGCGAGAAAGTCGCGGGATTTGCGCAGTCGGGGCTGAAAGGCAAGGCCTTGAGATGCGAGTCTAAGAAGGTCGCGGTGCGCGCAGCCAAGAAGGCTGCCGTGTCTGCCGTCCTAGCCGAAGCCACACCACAGCAGTCTGTGGTAAGGACAGATTTCGCCCGTAGTCTTAATCTAGCGTCTCCCTCCTAATTTTCCTTGAAACATAGTTCTGACAGCTGACTGACCTCGTACGGCATTTTTCATCCATGGCAGGCAAGGTCAAAGCGCGCCGATCCCAAGTCGGTTGTCTCGGTGATTCTCGGTGGAGGTGCTGGCACGCGTCTCTTCCCGCTCACCAAGACCCGCGCCAAGCCCGCGGTATGCGTCGTAGCCATAGATTTACCAAATCCGATTTGTTCCACAGCTTCCTAGGCAGATTCTGCACGAAGTGTCGGCTGACGGGTGAATCTATGTCATGTCGATGTTTCCGTTGATCAGGTACCTATCGGCGGCGCGTACCGGCTGATCGACGTGCCGATGAGCAACTGCATCAACAGCGGCATCAACAAGGTGTACATCCTCACGCAGTTCAACTCCGCCTCGCTCAACCGTCACTTGGCGCGCACTTACAACTTCGGCAACGGCGTCAACTTCGGCGACGGATTCGTCGAGGTGCGTGCTCTCGAGCACCTCGTCGCTTCAATGTAGCATTATCTGGCATCAGTATCCTGAATCCGTTTTTTTTTTTTTCTCCTCTTGTCTTTTCTTGTACTTGCTCTTTTTTTCGCAGGCTCTTGCGGCCACTCAGACCCCTGCGACGGGCTCCAACTGGTTCCAAGGAACCGCCGACGCCGTGCGGCAGTTCTCCTGGCTCTTCGAGGTGCGACCGTCGCTTGCTCATCACGGACCAGTTTCGCGTTTGCTTTGCCTTTTCTTTGTCCTAGTGGAACGTAAATTCGAGGATTTTCTAGCACATTATGTTACGCGCTTCATAGTATCCGTGCGGCGTGGCGGTGTTGGGCGATGCAGGATGTGAAGAACAAGCACGTGGAGGATGTGGTGATTCTGTCCGGCGACCATCTCTATCGCATGGACTACATGGACTTCGTGCAGGTAACGCGTCCCTCTGCAGGCGTTCATGCGTGTACATTGCATTGTATGAGCCGTCTCAGAAATGTGACGGACCTATCCTGCATTCCATGGCTGTGCATGTCCGCGCTCTAATACGAGTTTCTGCCGAGCGAGTTCATAACATTCCGTGCAATTGTTCCTGTCCTGGGTTGTATTGCCGAGTGCAGAAGCACAAGGACACCAACGCCGACATCACCATCTCCGTGCTGCCCATGGACGACAGGTGAATGCCACCACTGCGCACCACACCACACCATACCACACCGCATCATGCCATCCCAATATCTCAAGCATTGCAATGCGGCGAGTTCTTGTTTGGAATGCCGGCGCTCTAACGCGTGATTCGCTGTTGTTGCGCGCAGCCGCGCGTCCGACTTCGGGCTGATGAAGATCGACGAATCGGGTCGCGTCGTCAGCTTCGCGGAGAAGCCCAAGGGTGCCGACCTCAAGGCCATGGTCAGTCCAGCCTTCACCCGTCTCTCGTCCGCCTCCCGTCTGCTATACCGCTTCATGCTCTCGTGCTGTATATTCCGTCCGTGAATGGCCGTGCGAAGCGGGCTTGTGAGGGCGTGGTCGTACAGAGTGTTGAAGCGCGGTTTCCGCTCTTTCCCCGGAGATGTTTCTAACTGCAAAGGCCTGCGACCCATAGTCGTGCCGTGCTACCGCCATACCCCTCATATTTCGTGTCATGTTGGCCCGTCCCCTCCCCATCCACCACCCTTTCATGCCATGTCGCTTCCATGTACCAGGAGGTGGACACGTCGATTCTCGGCATTTCCAAGGAGGAGGCGGCCAAGTTCCCCTACATTGCGTCGATGGGCATCTACGTCTTCAAGAAGGACATCCTGCTCAAGCTCCTCAGGTAACCCCGCCGCCGCTCCTCAGGTACCCCCTCCGCCGCTCCTCAGGTACCCCCGCCGCCGCTCCTCAGGTACCCCCTCCGCCGCTCCTCAGGTACCCCCGCCGCCGCTCCTCAGGTACCCCCGCCGCCGCTCCTCAGGTACCCCCTCCGCCGCTCCTCAGGTACCCCCTCCGCCGCTCCTCAGGTACCCCCTCCGCCTCGCCTTCCCAAGCTCCTCAGGTATTTTCTCCGCCTCGCCTCCTCAGGTGTTCCCGGCTCGCCTAATGCCGCCTCGCTTCCTCAGGTAGTGCCGCCGCCGCACTTAAAAGCTTTCCCGACGCACCTCCCAGGTCCTCCCACCGCGGCTCCTCTCTCCTTGCCAACATGATCGCATCCCGACTCCCGCGCATACTCGATGAGCGCGTTATTCTCAAATAGCGCCAACATGCTGATGTCGTGCGTGCCCGTCTTGTTTTCGCGTTCCTTGCGCAGGTGGCGCTTCCCCACGTCCAACGACTTTGGCGGAGAGATCATCCCCGCGTCTGCCGCCGAGTACAACGTGCAGGTGCGTGCCGCGTGTGGGCGTCGTGTCGAATCACAACGCATGAATAAGGCACAAGAAATGGCTAGGCGTCACATCACACACACACTCACACTCACACTCACTCGTGCCTCGTCTCGTCATACGTGGTTGTGAACCTGTACGGTGGTGTGGTGTGGTGTTGTGCGGTGCAGGCGTACCTGTTCGACGGGTACTGGGAGGACATCGGAACCATCAAGTCCTTCTTTGACGCCAACCTCAACCTCACCGACACGGTATGTCCGCACTCCCCTCGTCTGCCCCACTCTCCGCTCTCTGCTACTTCCCAGCTGCCGTCACCCGGCCCCAGTATCCGTCCTCTGCAATGCACGAGCCCCATTCACTTGTTGCCCGTCCGTCTTTTGGCCAGCAGCGATTAAACTCGCTCATGAATTTCTGTGTATTAAAAACTCTCCTCGCCCCTCTCTTCCCCTCCCCTTCCCCCTCTTCTTCCCCACTCCCCCTTTCCCCTCCCCTTCCCCTGCCCCTCCGCCCCCGCCCGCCCCACCACAGGACGCCAAGTTTAGGTTCTACGATGCGGCCAACCCCATCTACACGTCGCCGCGCTACCTGCCGCCCACTCAGATTGAGCGCTGCCAGGTGCGTTCGCCAGGCGCCGTGCCACTTGCTTCCCCATGGTATCCGTTAGGACCTTGACGTGTTACACGTTTTAGTTACCCAGCTACGCGGTACTAACTTTCCATGACTGCTATTTGCATGTGCTGTGTGGGTGTATGCGCGGTGGCATGGGGGCGGCATTGCTGTACTTTGCACTTGAGCAGGTGAAGCAGTCGATCATCTCGCACGGGTGCTTCCTGCGCGACTGCACCGTCAACCACTGCATCGTTGGCATCCGCTCCCGACTCGAGAACGGCGTCAACCTCAAGGTCAGTCGTCCTCGCGCCTCTTAGTAGGGCTAGCGCGAAGACGGATTAGGGGCAAGATCACGGGCGCTGTAACACAGCTGGTGGTGCAGAGGCGTGGTGCGGGAAAGGACCGTGGTGTGGTGAAGAGGGAGGCAGATTGGTGCAGAGGAGTAAGGGTGTGATGCACAAAGCAGTATGGGCATGTGGGAATGATACAGAGCTGCGAGGGCTTGTGCAAGGGACAAGTGGCGAGAGGAGAGAGTGGCTGCGACTAGGCAGCGCCTCAGCCTTTCTTGGGCGGGAACAGCCTAACAAGGGGTTACCCCGTCTTCCTGTCGAATCACCGACCGGCCTGTGAGCAGGCGCTTAGTAGCCCGAGTGTAAGTAGCACGAGCGGCATCGGAAAGTAGAGCTATTAGCACTTGTGTTTGAAACGAACTGGTTAGTGGGGCTTGCCGCTTTGGCCCGAGCCTTGCATGCAGCTCTAGCCCTTCTCCTCCTGTGCTCCTCGCTTCTCCTTTCCCTCCCCATCTATCGTCCTCACCTCAATTTCTCCCTCGCTTTCTCCCGCCCCCGTTGTGTTGGCGCACGTCTGCTGGCCACAGGATACGATGGTGGTGGGCGCGGATTTCTATGAGACGGACGCGGAGAGGGCGGCGCTTCTAGCTGCTGGCAAGGTGCCCGTGGGCATTGGCGCCAACACCACTATCAGGTGTGGAGTGGGCAACGGGAGGTGCGGGGAGAGCGAGGGGAGGGGCGGATTCATGGTGTGGTGAGCTTGAGAGTTGAGAGAGGCCGCTGTTGCAGCAGTTAAGATTGGAGCCACTACAAAAATCGTGTGCGCGATGGGCGTTGGGATGTGAGGGAAGGACGAGGGGAGGCGCAGGGGTATTGTGTGGTGCGCTTGAGAGATGGGAGGGCTGCTCTGCTGGGCGAGGTGTGGGTGGGCGCTGGTGCCAACACAAGATTCAGGTGCACTGTGGGGCATGGCGACTGGGAGATGTGGAAGGTTGAGAGGATGCATTGTTGAGAGGAGTGAGTGTTGGGCGCTGTGAAATTGTACGGTGCACTGGAGAACTATGAGAAGGCATGCTACTAGCAGCACGCAAGGCATCAATGGGCTGTGGAGCCACTATGATGGGTGTGAGGGAGAATGTGATTGAGAGGACAGGGTGATGGGGTTTCACTAGTGGAAGGGCCAGCAGGGGAGAAAGGCCTTAGTGGCTGAACTGTTTTTGTGTGCGTTTCTGTGTGTGTGCATTTGTGTGCATGTTCTTGTACCGTGCAGCAACGCCATCGTGGACAAGAACGCTCGCATCGGGCAGAATGTGATCCTCGAGAACAAGGACGTGAGTCATGCCGCCATGCCTCCATGCCGCCATGCCTCCATGCCTCCATGCCGCCATGCCTCCATGCCGCCATGCCGCCATGCCACCATGCTGCCATGCCGCTATGCCTCCATGCGGCCATGCCGCCATGCCGCCATGCCGCCATGCCTCCTGCCGCCATGCCTCCATGCCTCCATGCCGCCATGCCGCCATGCCACCATGCCGCCATGCCGCCATGCTGCCATGCCGCCATGCCTCCATGCCACCATGCCGCCATGTTGCCATGCCTCCATGCCTCCATGCCGCCATGCCACCATGCCACCATGCCTCCATGCCTCCATGCCTCCATGCCGCCATGCCTCCATGCCGCCATGCCTCCATGCCGCCATGCCTCCATGCCGCCATGCCTCCATGCCGCCATGCCTCCATGCCGCCATGCCTCCATGCCACCATGCCTCCATGCCGCCAGTCCTCTGCTCCCCTGTTTCATCTCTTTGCATCGTGTGGTTACGGAAGTCACGCCTCTGGTCCTGGTCTCTGTTATCCTTCTAGCTGACTCTCACTCATCCATTCCCTGTCTGTGTCGCCTTCTTCACTCGACCAGCACGTGGAGGAGTCAGACCGGTCATCGGATGGGTTCTACATTCGCTCGGGCATCACTGTCGTGCTCAAGAATGCCACCATTGCTGATGGCACCGTCATCTAAGCAATCATTCCTCCATTCCCGAGAGGAATGGTGTAAGATTCCTACTGTGTGTCTGCTCTCGATGAGTTTTTGGGGTGTAGATGTGGATCTGTACGAGTTGCTGTAGCATTGTGAACGCTTTGGTACACAACACAATGCTCGTAGTACTGTCATTAACGATAATACCTATCTCAAAGTTTTGCCATGTCTTAGGGCACATTCCTGGAGCGTGTCACAAAGCCTCGCATGTAGAATGAAGAGATACAGTGCAGTGGACACACTTGATACTCAGGTTAATGCCGTGCAGAGCGGTACATTGCTTTTGCAACGAAGACATATCCTCGCAGAAATGTACCGTTAGTGAATACACCAACTCAAATCCCCACCAAATTTAGGTTCTTGAAATCCAGTGAAAAATCTGGAATGGGGCAGGAGTGATTTGGAGGACCATCCACTAAGGTTGCTACGCGTTTTGTAATAAAATATAGCGCGGAACTTACTGTAACAGGCAAAGCCAAGCTAGAGAGTTCAGTTCTTGCCTGTTCAAATAGCAGCTGTGGTTAGCTTTCCATATCTGTACACAGAACCCATGTCACATCCACAGGTGCAAAATATTACTTAGCTCTCATACGGTACATGCAGTTAAAACAGCAGCACCTCACGCACTGAAGATATCAACAGGCCCAGTGCAGCTGGGCCCACAGGCACCAGCACCGCAGCTCCCAGCCCCCACTGCAAACCGTAGCGGCCGCCTATTCCACCACTTCTGCCGGCTCATCTCCACACTCGAAAACGAAAACTCCTCCTCCCCACTCTTTGCCGCCGCCGCTGCCGCCGCCCCGCCGACCGTGTCCCTTGATATGCTCAGCGCGCCCCAGTGATTGGCCGGGTCGGGGTCAGCCAATGGCAGGCGCCGGAACTTTCTGACGCGGTTGATTCCCGCCATGTCGTTGATAGCCTCGGAGAGGCACGTGCAGAGCAGCAGCACGAGGGGGACAGACTCATCTGGTGCTACCTCCATGGCTGCCCCCTTCCAGTTGAGTAGCGCTGTGGCGCGGCCGTGAGGGGCGTCTGGTGGGAAGCGGACAAGCGTGGCAAAACCCAGGTCTTCCACTGATGGGGCTCCTGGGACCTTGTACTTGTGGTGTCGACCTGGCAGCAGCAGCACCTGTTGAGATGGGGGATTGGTGACGGGAAGTGGGGAGGAACAAAGAGAGGGAAGCAGATGAGCGTGGCGAAACCAGGTCTTGGAGTGATGGGGCTCCTGGGACCTTGTGCTTGTGGTGACGACCTGGCAGCAGGAGGACCTGTTGGGATGGAGGGAGGGGAGCAGCAGAGGGGAAACAACTGGGTGAGACTATAAAGCGGTCCAGTAAGCGCCTCCTGCAGATCGACCCGAATTTTTCAATTTCAAGATTATCACAACTACTCACCCGGCTGGTCCCTTCATCCTCCAGCGTCAGCTGAATCCCCTGTTTGAAGATGGTGACACCCACGTACACTCACCCGACTCGTCCCCTCCTCCTCCAGAGTCAACTGAATCCCCTGGATGAAGATCGTGGCGTCACGCCGGCGCTCGATGGTGACGGTGGCAGTGCGGCCGTTGGGAAGACAGTCGAGCAAGCAGAACCGTTGGATGCGATCGTAATCATCCGACGCCTGTGGCACCGCCTGTGCCACCACCGGCCCCCGCACCACCCCCACCCGCAGATGCGGCGGCTCTGGCTCGGGCAGCGGGACAGGGTCAGTCTCGATGTAGCGCCACCCACCCTGTGAGAGAGAAAATGAGGGCACGAGTTGGGAGGAGTGGGGAAGTGGTCCACAGGGCCTAGGGGACGAGGCAGGTATGAGGCGAGAGGAGCAATAAGGACTGACCTGGTGCAGCAAAAGGACTGACCTGGTGCAGCAAAAGGACTGACCTGGTGCAAGAGAATGACTTTTTCCTTTGGCTCCACAGGAATGGGTCGGTAGCGCGCATGCCATGTGCCCTTGGCCACCCTGCCATGCACACAACCACGCGCAAAGACATGAGAGAAACAGAACAATGGGCTGTGATGCTTCCAAGTCGAGTTTCCAGACGCCTTCCTGACATCACAAAGACACAGGTCACGATATCACCAGCACTCTAAGAACGGTTGCGATTATGCATCGCGTGCTTCGCCGAGCGAACTGAGAGGCATGGGTGAGAGGCATGGGTGAGAGGCATGGGTGAGAGGCATGGGTGAGAGGCATGGCTGAGAGGCATGGGTGAGAGGCATGGGTGAGAGGCATGGGTGAGGGGCATGGGTGAGGGGCTGGAATGGAATCCACAGGCCATGTGCGTGACAAAGACGAAGACCTCTTCATCTCCGTAGTCTATCTCACTCTGAGGCGCCTCACGAATGGACTCACCTCTTGCGGATGACAAACACCTCCTTGTCCTCGTGGTTGTACACCGTGCGCGACCCCCACCGGCCGTACTGGTGGGGACGAAAGGAAAGGAGGGGGGGAGTTGAGCGAGTCAGAAATATCATAAGGGCGCGTCACCTTGAAATTCAAACAGAGCCCCTTGTTCGAACAGGCGACGGGTTACATACATCGCAAAATCTCGATAAGTCCTCGTTGAGTCATCGTCAACTCGCAAAAAACAAAAAACGTCGCTAAATCGAACAGAGCTGTCGGATCCCGCAGGAAGGATTTCACAGTATGCTGCTCGAATGAGGCCGTTCGAATGTTATGCGTGATGAGCACCTACGACGCCCGCCAACAGCACGAAAAAGTTTCCAGGTAGCTTGTGACTGCCTTGTAATGATCGTCATGCAATCAAACCCTTCTAGCGATTGTTGAGCGACGTCGCACGGTGGGCGACGTCGCATTTTCGAACACACCTGTCACCTTTCACCAGATTCTCATATTTTGTTCGAACACCAATATGGTGGTGTTTGGGCACCTGCGTCAGAGGTGACGCACCCTTTTGAGAATTCTCAAAAGTGATTTCAATAGAGGAGACCCTACGCTTGCTGCGGCTCGAATCCATCTTTTCCTGCACATCAAAACGGTGGTGTTTGGGCACCTGCTTCAGAGGTGACGCACCCTAAAGGTGACCACTGATGGTGGTGACGTGAGCTCTCAAGCTCAAAAATTCCCACAGCCATATCTCCTCTCAACCACCTCACACCCACCCGCCTCTCACCCTCTCTCACCCACCTCCCTCTCACGAAACCCACCCCTCGTCACCCACCCACCTGCGGTCTGAAGTCGCGCTGCACGGCGATCTCTTCACAGATCATGGCACCGTTGTCATCTGTGCCTCTCAGGAACACTGTTCTCAGCAGGTAAGGCACGAGCGAAGTCAGAAACACAGCAACATGCACGCTCCACCTCTCACTCACCCACCCACCTGCGGTCTGAAGTCGCGCTGCACGGCGATCTCTTCACAGATCATGGCACCGTTGTCATCTGTGCCTCTCAGGAACACTGTTCTCAGCAGGTAAGGCACGAGCGAAGTCAGAAACACAGCAACATGCACGCTCCACCTCTCACTCACCCACCCACCTGCGGTCTGAAGTCGCGCTGCACGGCGATCTCTTCGCAGATCATGGCACCGTTGTCATCTGTGCCGCGCATAAACACTGTTCTCAGCAGGTACGGCGCTGGTGTGGGGGGCGTGAGAGACACCGCCACATGCACCCGCGGCAACTCACTCGCCTTCCCCCCTCCCCCACTCACCACCAGCGCCCCCGCTCCCACCCCGCTCCCCCCCCCTCCTCCCCCGCTCCCCCCGGCCGACCCATCCGCTCCTCCCGATGCTCCTGCTGCCTTATTCCCCCCTGCCCCATCGTCCCCGTCCCCTCTGATTCCCACAGCAGTGAGCAGATCTACAGAGGCCAGCGCCACCTGTCTATCCACCAGTAGAGCTGGCCGCGATAACACCTCCTCCCAGGTAATACCTCCACTCCCCACCAACCGCGGGCCCCACAACCCGCCCCAGAAGGTCCCTGATTCCGCTCTTAGCTCGAACTGCAATCCAGCTGTTGCCACCTCAGCTTCCAGCGCCCACCGCTGCCGCCAGGCTGGCGGGCGGCAGCCCGGGCGGGCGGGCAGCAAGCGCGTGCGCAGCGAGAAATCGTGGGCGGCGCGTTTCGTCCGGATCATGAGAAAGAGATTCTCAGGCTTGTCGGGATGGAAATTAATCAAACCCCAGACCATGAAATCAACCTCTACAGTCATCCGCGGTTCCAACCCCCTCCCAGCATTCAACTCTGCAACTGTAAACTCCACCGTCCCTCCTTCCAGAGGCAAAACCCGTTTCGGCGCCACGAGCGGCGGCGGCGGGATAGGCACAGGTGCCGGGCCTCGGAACATAGCTCCGGCGCGGTCGAACGGAGAGCCGTAGGTTCGGTCCCAGAGCTGCGCGGTGGCTCGGTAGGCCCACTCGAGGCGCTTGCGTGTGTTGCTGTCGATGGTGTTGGAAGAGGACGCGGCTGCTGCAGTGGCTGCTACAATTGGCATGGCATCTGAATCATCGTGGCCCAGCAGACGGCTTAACAGCCAGTCGCTGTCTTTAGTGTAGGCTGCTGCACACATCTGATGGTGTGGGGAGTGGGACAGGTGGGGCGGGAAAGGTTTTTGAGACGTCACGAAGCAATCTTGTAGGACGTGACTCGGTAGGCCCACTTACCATGAGTGCATGCATGCATTTACCATGAGTGCATGCATGCATTTACCATGAGTGCATGCATGCATTTACCATGAGTGCATGCATGCACTTACCATGAGTGCATGCATGCATTTACCATGAGTGCATGCATGCATTTACCATGAGTGCATGCATGCATTTACCATGAGTGCATGCATGCATTTACCATGAGTGCATGCATGCATTTACCATGAGTGCATGCATGCATTTACCATGAGTGCATGCATGCATTTACCATGAGTGCATGCATGCATTTACCATGAGTGCATGCATGCACTTACCATGAGTGCATGCATGCATTTACCATGAGTGCATGCATGCATTTACCATGAGTGCATGCATGCATGCATGCATGCATGCATACCGTATCATATGCGCAGCTATTATTACCATGTGTGCATGCCAGAGCAGGTCGATGTCACAGGTGGGGGTGACGATCGCCCCTCAGTGAGCTGATCATGCATGCATCACACCAAGACCACCACCGCCACCATGACTGCATGCATGTATCAAGGCATTATCATGTGGGCATGCCTCAAGGCATTACCATGTGCGCGTGCCAGAGCAGGTCGATGTCATAGGTGGGAGTGAGGAAGGCCCCGCGGTTGAGCATGACGAGGTTGAGGAACATGCGGTAGCGCTGCAGCGAGCCCTGCAGGTACTGCCGCTCTAGCATCCACGGCCGATCCACCTGGTGAAGCGTGGGGTTGGCCGTGGGGGAGGGCGGAAAGAGGGGAAAGAGGGGAAGGATGGAAGGGGGGAAGAGGGAAGGGGGGAAGGGGAAAAGGGGGAAGGGGAAAAGGGGGAAGGGGAAAAGGGGGAAGGGGAAAAGGGGGAAGGGGAAAAGGGGGAAGGGGAAAAGGGGGGAGCAAGAGGAGGTAGAGGAACAGTGGTTAGGGTGGAGTGGGGGCACGTCACAAGGGCAAGGTACGTGAATTTTACTTTTGAGAATTCTCAAAAGTAGAATTCATGGAGTGGAGGCACGTTACAAGGGCAAGGCTGCCTACCCACCACCAACCCCATAGGAAAAGGGAGGGGAAGAGGACTGGGTTGGAAAACCCTCATTACCACCCCCGTGCGCGCACCTGGTAGAAGAAGCTGCTCTGGCGTGCCACAGCCGCCTCCAAGTCATAAGTTAGCTCCGAGGGTAGCGATGGGGGCAGCGCTGGTGGCACCACTGCCGCTGCTGCTGCTGCTGCTGCTGCTGCTGCTGCTGCTGCTGCATCTGGCGGCGCTGCTGCTCCGTTCCCCTGCCTCTCCGCCCCATCACCACCGCCACCACCACCACCGCCACCTGTAGCTGCTGCACCGTCTCCTGCCACTGCTCCACTCCCCTCGTCCCTCTCCTCCCCAGCACCACTAGCACCAGCACCACCTGCAGCATCATCACCCGCAGCAGCATCCCCACCTTCCCCAGCAGCAGCAGGAGCAGGAGGAGCAGCAAGGGCGGGCGGGTCGTAGGGCTCTAAGGGGAAGAGCTCCTCCCAGAGCGCCCTGCACGCGGCAGTGGCTGCTGCCTCCCCGCGTGCACTCTCACTGCCCACATCGTCGTCATCCGGGTCGAAAATACCTCCGTCTAACAGCCGGCCCAGGATGGTGCTGCAGTCCTCTGCATAGGCTTCCTGTGATGGGGAGTGGGGTTGAGGAATGGCAATTGGGAAGGAGGGGAAGTGGCGAATGGACATAAAAGGCTTGAGTTGGTGCCTCTGCCTCCCGGCGCGCTCTCACTGCCCACATCGTCATCATCCGGGTCGAATATCGCCCCGTCTAACAGCCGACCGAGAATGGTGCTGCAGTCCTCTGCATACGCCTCCTGAGGTGAGGAGTGCGGGTGAGGGAATGAAATTGGGAAGTAGGGGAAGGGGGCGAATGGACATAAAAGGCTTGAGGAGGGGCTGCTGCCTCCCCGCGTGCGCTCTCACTGCCCACATCGTCGTCATCCGGGTCGAAAATAGCTCCGTCTAACAGCCGGCCCAGGATGGTGCTGCAGTCCTCTGCATACGCCTCCTGAGGTGCGGAGTGTGGGAATGGGGGGAGGAGGGGAAGGGAGGAGATGGGCCAACAGGCTTGAGGAGGAGGGGTGGTTGGGTTGGGAGAAGGGAGGGTGAGCAAAAAAAGGGGGGTTGAGCACAAAAAGGGGGGTTGAGCACAAAAAGGGGGGTTGAGCACAAAAAGGGGAGTTGAGCACAAAAAGGGGGGTTGAGCACAAAAAGGGGGGTTGAGCACAAAAAGGGGAGTTGAGCACAAAAAGGGGGGTTGAGCACAAAAAGGGGGGTTGAGCACAAAAAGGGGGGTTGAGCACAAAAAGGGGGGTTGAGCACAAAAAGGGGGGTTGAGCACAAAAAGGGGGGTTGAGTACAAAAAGGGGGGTTGAGCACAAAAAGGGGGGTTGAGCACAAAGAGGGGGGTTGAGCAAAAAAAGGGGGGTTGAGCACAAAAAGGGGGGTTGAGCACAAAAAGGGGGGTTGAGCACAAAAAGGGGGGTTGAGCACAAAAAGGGGGGTTGAGCACAAAAAGGGGGGTTGAGCACAAAAAGGGGGGTTGAGCACAAAAAGGGGGGTTGAGCAAAAAAAGGGGGGTTGAGCACAAAAAGGGGGGTTGAGCACAAAAAGGGGGGTTGAGCACAAAAAGGGGGGTTGAGCAAAAGGCATGTCATTTGATGGCATGGGAAAGAAAAGAGGGAGGGAAAGAAAAGAGGGAGGGAAAGAAAAGAGGGAGGGAAAGAAAAGAGGGAGGGAAAGAAAAGAGGGAGGGAAAGAAAAGAGGGAGGGGCAGAAGGCACATACGGGGTTGAGGCGGTGCACGAGCCACACCCACTGGACGTCCAGCGGGTGACACGTCAACGGGGAGAGGGGCCAACAAGGGGAATGGGGGAGCAAAGGGGGAAGGGAGGGCGCGGGAGGGGCGCGGAGCAAGGAGCACGCACCGGGTTGAGGCGGTGCACGAGCCACACCCACTGCACGTCCAGCGGCGGCTGTAGCGTGCGCATGACCTCGTCCGTCTGCCCGTACGCCATGCGCAGCCAACACTGCTCGTACCTGCCATGCGTTTTACGCGAGAACGCGGAAGGAAGAGGTGCGGGAGGGGGGAGGGATGAGCTGGAGTAGCGGAAAATAAATCAGGCACGAGACGTGGATGGGGAAACGCGCGGCGGAAAATGGTTGAGGCGCCTCAAAAATGGAAAATGGTTGAGGAAGGAGGGCGGTGTTGCTGGCACACAAGACGACTACTGACGGGACACAGCCGAGCCGCGGTTCGTTTGAGCGCGGAGGACGATGCGCGCAACCGCTTGAGTCGACTCAACAAGTCATTCGGACCACAGGAGGAAGTCGCGCGAACACTTCGTGATCCTAATGGCCGCATTCCTGCGCGTCGAACACGCCCTTCACGTCTTTCACGTCGCAGTCCGCATCCGTTTTCAACGTCGCATTCTACGCGCGATTTGAGGCGCACCTCCTAATAGCATCCTTAACGGCCGGCCCGGCGTACAGCCGGCCGTTCTGGTCGACGCGGCGCAGCAGCGTCATGAGCTGCTTCGCCGCCGCCGGCAGATCCGCGCTGACGCGCACCGCCTCCACCGCCTTCCACGCTTTCGCCATCTCCAGCTCGTCCTCCTCCTCCTCCGCCAAAAGCGGCGTCTCCATCGCCGCGTCAATCGCGGCGGCGGTCACGGCGAGGTCCTTGTTGCCCTTCTCGCCCTTGCTCTCCCTGCCGGGCTTGCTGCCGCCGCGACTCGCCATTTTCGAGGAGAACTGAACCAATCACGAAGAACGACGTGGCCGAAAGATTTCGATTCCGAAGCGGTGCGATAAGTTTCTGGACGTGAGCTTATACGGGGGACATGGTGTCAGGCCACATGGTGGGGAAGTCAAGCAGGAAATTCCCCTGCGTGGTTGTTGCAGACTCGAGGCAGACAGAAACCCAGATAGGCAGCAGAGAATGGGAGGGGCGAATATTTCTCACCCATCACAGGTGTTCCGTTTCGAACGTTCCGATTTTGGATACAAATTATCATTCCTCACATGTATTTGGTGTATAGCTCTTTTGGCGTTCAGAAGTCGCATCACTGCCAGATTCTTTGTATCACACATTTCGGTTCGGCAACCGTCCTCGCATCCATACGAACAGCTTGTATCGGAGACTAGGGAAGGATCCAAAACATCCAAACCAGCCACGCCTCCGAATCGCAGCCGTTGGTTGCTCTATCCTAATTTTTGCACAGCCACGTCAGCGCTACCTCACCAAAAGCCATGAATCATCACGTGGAATTCCCAAGGCGAATTCCCCTACAGTCTTCCCGTCAATCTCAGAGACCGTCAGACTCACCGCACACCACCGTAGCCACTGCTGTCGCTTCCCTTTCCCGTCTCCCCTCACCATCACCTCACCTCCACCATACCTCCCAGCCCATTCCATCTCTTCTGGGTTTCTCTCTAACGATTCCTAGAATCTGCCATTTCCCTTAGTCGCTGTGGCCATGGCGACCGCGTCTCTCTCCGCGCAGAGCGCTTCGAGGTTGTCGTTTTCCAGCAGCGCGTTGACCGGCTGCTGCTCACAGCTCAAGGCGGTTAGCCTTGTCGCTGCCAAGCCACAGTTCAGCGAGAATGGCCGGCTCGCCGTGAGATGCGCCGGAAAGGGCGGGTTCATTCCCGCGGAGCACCGGTGGATGTACGAGGGCATTGAGAACAAGGGACCGGTACGGTTTAAGGATTGCGATAGCTTATTAGAGAAGCATGAAAAGGTTTATCTAGGGCATGTCGTTACCCTGAAGTTAAGACGTTACTCAGAGTGTCTTAGTTTTTCAAGCATAGCTCCATCAGCGCGTAGTTAACCCAATGTAGTGGATCAGCTTATCCGATCGGAATGACGGTTCAGGCATCCAAGGCTATTCACCACGTTGCTGCGGTTAACGTTTAGTGGTTGTCGCGGTAGTGTCGACAAGCATGAGTATCTTGAAAAGTTGCTAGTCGCTACGCTGAACCGTGTGAATGCGACGCTGACAGCCGTAGATTGCTCGCGTCGAATGCTGCCAGCAGTTAGGTGAAAGCCTGCGAAGCAGGGTTTTGGCGTCAACAACAAGTTGTAATGTTCCTCGCGGCCAGGCCACCCGCCTACTTACTCGCAGCACACAGACAAAGCCCATGCCTGCTCCTTCCACGACTGACTTACTCTCCCACCTCTCCAGCCTCTCTTACTTCTCCGGCCTTCCGCTCGTTTCTGGTCTCAAGGCATCGACCCCCCCCGTCTACCCCTCTTCCGAACCTTTCTGCTCGCATCCATTCCTCCTCCCCCCAATCGTGCAGGCGGAGCACATTACAGTGAGATACAGAGGTTGGCCTTCTCTTATTTTCCCCATCCCTTAATATCCCTAACCGCCATTGTCTCACCCTTGACCTTCAAATGCAGGACGAGTGGAACCGCACGTACTACCCGAAGGACGCGGACCATCCGAACGTGGAGCAGTGGTACATTCCCTCGCACCCCTTATCCCTAAGACCACCCTCTCTCTCCTCATCCGCAGGTCGAGTGGAACCGCACGTACTACCCGAAGGAGGCGGACCATTTGAACGTGAAAAAACTGTATTTTATTCTCCCCCCCTCCCTCCATCCCTGTATACCACCACCTTTCTCCTCATCTGCAGGACGAGTGGAACCGCACGTACTACCCCAAGGAGGCGGACCATCTGAACGTGGAGAAGCAGTGGTACATCGTGGATGCGGCGGACAAGCGCCTGGGCCGCCTCGCCTCCACCATCGCGAACCACATTCGCGGCAAGGACCAGCCCACGTACACGCCGTCCGTCGACATGGGTGCTTATGTCATCGTGGTGAGTGTGTGGGTGCTACGGTTGTGCTGCGTGATAGGGTTTGCGATCACCATCGCCAACCACATCCGCGGCAAGGACCAGCCCACGTGCACACCATCCGTCGACATGGGCGCGTATGTGATCGTGGTGAGTGCGTGGGTGCGACGGCTGTGTGGTGTGTTAGGGTTGCAAGGCACCTTCACAACGCCCTTTCTCGCCCTTATTCCCGCTCGCCCGACTGTCATGTGAACGCGGAAATGGTAACGCTGCCGGGGAAGAAGCGCACGCAGAGAGATGTACCCACTGCACGTAGAGCTCAACTTCCTTCGTTCCGCCCCTTTCACCTCCCCCACTCCTCCCCCCTTCCTCTCGCCCTCCGCCCCCCCTCCTCCCCACTTCCTTCCACCCCCCTCCCCCATCCCCCACCACTGCTGGCAGGTGAACGCGGAGAAGGTTGCGGTGACGGGCAAGAAGCGCGCGCAGAAGATTTACAGGCGGCACTCGGGGCGGCCGGGCGGGATGACGGAGGAGACGTTCGACCAGGTGCAGGCGCGCATCCCCGAGCGCATCGTCGAACATGCCGTGCGGGGCATGCTGCCCAAGGGCCGGGTGAGCTGCGGGCTGGGGGGTTTGGGGGTGGGGCTGGGCGTGGGGGTGGGGTTGGATGGCGGCGGTAGGGCTGGTTCGCGGTTTATCATAAGGAAGAGATACGCAACTCGGTGATCGTTGTGGAGCACGCCGCGGGGGGCATGTTGCCCAAGGGCTGGGTGAGCTGCGGTCTGGGGGGCTTGGTAGTGGGTCTGGGCGTGGCGGTGGGGCTCGGTGGCGGAGGGGCTGGGTGGCGGTGTATCAAAGGTGTTGAAACGCAACCCTGAGAGAAATGTGGAGCACGCCGAGCAGGGCACGCTGCTCAAGGGCCGGGTGAGCCGCGGGATGAGGGGCTTGGGGTTGGGGCTGGGCGGTGGGGCTGAGCTGGGACGCTATGCTCGATATAGAGCTGCGACGTGTAAAGGGTCATGTAACATATCGTTGCCTGCTGCCCGTGGGCCGGTGAGCTGAGTGCCTGGAAACTTGGGGATTGGGGGTGGGGGTGGGGGTGAGCTTGGCGGTTTGGGTGAGTGGCATTGTGAGAGAGGTAGAGTTATATGTTGGGGAGAGCAGTGGAGCTCGACGTGCGGGGCATGCTGCCCAAGGGGCAGGTGGTAACAAGGCATGGGCTGAGGACAGGGGGGGCAGTGAGGTGGGGGCATGTTGAAGCACATTTTCGGATCCATGTTTGAAAGAATCCTGGAGCGGTTTGGGTGGGGCTTGTTTTCAAGGGGAGGGTCTATTTATTCTAGGGTGAGGGGTGGGCACTGGTTCGCTGCATGAGGGAAGATGGGATGATTGAGTACCTCGTGGAATCACATGGAGCAGTATACAAAAGGTGGAGCAAGAGATGGTATGTTTCAGTGATTTCTTTGATTCTTGTGTACTGACTACTGTGCCTTTTGGTTTTGTGTCCCTCCTTTCCACACCAGTTGGGCCGCCGCCTATTCACACACCTCAAGGTGTACAAGGGAGAGTCGCACCCACACGAGGCCCAGATGCCACAGCCTCTGCCGATTCATGACAAGCGCATCTCTCTTGCTTGAAAAAAACAATTCATTAGCCCATTGCTGTAGTTGCTAGACTGCTGTTATAAATCTCATTTGTGCTCTGAAGTATATCTTGGCCTCCTTGTTCTGTTCCGCTTTCTCATGGACCATCCTTGCTACCGCCATGAACGCACGCGCGATAGTGATTTACTCCGCTAAAATCAGCCTCTGTATTTGTGACAAAGGAAGACGTGTATTAACCGAGCATGCGATAAGCTCTGAGGCTCCAAGAAGCGTGCGCTGTCGTGGTTCTGGCGCTCTCCATTCGTGCGCCAGTGACAAATCAACAGCAACCATCCAGCGCCACGATTCTTCGTTTGTCGCGCTTCGATAAAATATAAAACGCGACTCGACACCCACCAAATTGTCACTCCACAATGCCCCCAGCCGGCTTGCTCCCCCAACCCCACGGCTTCCTGAAGTGGCGGAATTTGTTGCGTTGCGAATGTCCTCCCATGTGGTCGTGGCGTGGGGTGTGTGATTCCCCTCCCCCCCTCGATAGGTATGTTCGGTTTTCGTTTCGATCGTCTCTTGGCCGTTTTCAACCCGCCTGCCTCACAGAAGCCACGTCACGACGACTCACGATCATCTGCGAGGACTAGCACTAGTCCGATAGGGGCACCTTGCAGCGTTGTACGATCATGTCCACCACGCACGGCTACGTTCGCTGCTGGTTGGCAAGAACAGCATGTCATTCTGTGCTGCCGGCTCCAGTCATAGTCCTTTCCGCCCCTCGAGCACCAGCTGTTCCATTCACACTAGTGCTGTTGTCATCCATCCGCGCTTATAGGACAGAGGGGATGGATCAAAGGGCTTTAGAGCCTCCAGTAAGCGGCTGACGGATTGTTTCACCCATTGCATCAACAACTAGTTAGTAACGAAAAGACATAAAAAATACGCTCTTTTATTCATGCTCGAGCCGCGCTACTAGCTCACACTCGAGCCGCAACTAACTAGTACGAATTAGCAGTCATAGTCCTTCTGCTGAAGACATAAGCCCAGACCTGGGATCGAAGGATGATGACGCGTCCACCTTTCAAGGGCTCGCAGCAGGGGTGGGGCGTACACGCGGCCGCGACGCTCGGCGCGTTGATGACACTGTTAGTGTGCGGGGTACGTGCCGATCCGTCACTCTGTGCAATGTACCGATACAGGAACGAGCCAAGAACAGGTCTACATTTCGATGGCGATCGAGTTTTCAGACGCGGCGCCGCATGGTCAGGCGATGCGCGGCGCGATTGTTATGAGAGGCACCCATGCCCACGTCAGCGCCTCCCTCTGCGTTCGTGCCTACTAGAGTGCACCCATGCCGGTTCGGTGCATCGGCGCTAACGTGCGCCTGAGTGATGACGTGCGCCCTGCTGACGTGCGACAACCACTGTGTAGAGTGGAACGATGCCGGTTCGGCGCATCAGCGCTGTCCTTGCCGCGTTCTTAGCCGTCGTGATGACTGGAGAACCTCTGAAGCGCAATCAGTATTACTTCTCACGACTGAGTTTTGAGGCGTCACAAATCTCAGGACTGCCTCTGCACCCGAAGACGATCTTGAAACGTCACAAATCTGAGTTTTAAGATGAGGTGTTGTAGTAATCATGTCGACGATTTTTGGGACGACTCAATAATCGTCTCTCCGGCTTGATAACGTACGCTTCGAGCCTGCCTTGGGACTCGAAATGTTTTGTTTTAACTCGACTCAAAGAACCACGCTTTCCCGACCTCGTCTTCTCGTCCGTCTCTTTGCCAATCAGGCCCTGATCCAAGACGCAATTTTTGAGAACTCTCAAGAATCGCTCACAAGAGCCACGCCTTCCCCTCTTCTCCCCATCCGTCTCTCGTCAATCAGGCCCTGGTCCAAGATGCAGTGGCGCCATTCCTCTCCCCGCTCCTCCTCTCCCGCTCCTCCCCGCTCCTCCGGTTTCGCTCCTCCGTTCTCTCCTCCACCTCTCCCTCCTCCGCCGCTCCGCGCCAAGCCGCTTCGAACAGCACCGCTGGCGCCGGCAATACCCCTTGTCCTGCACTTGAAGCCGCGGCAGTAGCGGGTGATGCAGGAAGCGGGAGCGGCGGAGATGGCGGATTTAGCGCGGGGACGAGTGGCGGAGAAGGTGACGGGAAAAGCAGCGAGGAGGAACAGCGGAATGAAGCGGGTGACGTGCTGACTCCGGCGCAATTATCGGTGAGTGATGACGCGATGGCGCAATTATCGGTGAGTGATGACGCGATGGCGGATAATGCGTCATAGCGGGTAGAGCGGTGTGCGGAGTGGCGGATAATGCGGTATACGGTGTGTCTGGATGAGGTGAACGTGCCACGTGGATGGTCGCGTCGCTGGAGTGGCCCGCTCTTCTCCTCCCACACTTCTCTTTGCGAGCGGTTCTTGAGAATTCTATTAAATCCCTCCACTCCCACGCTTCTCTCCTCCCCCCTCTGCGTTTTCTTGTTGCTCCCTGCGAGCGTGCGTGCGTGGGTCTGCCTATGTTGCTCTGTGCGTGCGAACGCGTGCGTGCCCTTGCGTCCGGCAGAGCTACACGGAGGCCATGGAAGCGAGGCGAAGGCGGAACGGGTCGGATGAGGCTGTGACGAGGGCGCTTGAGGCGGAGGCGCGGCAGTGGCGGCAACGAACCTACCAGCAGCGCGGATTCCTCTACGAGTTCAGGTGCTGCTGCCATTCCTCTACGAGTTCAGGTGCTGCTGCCACACCAGGGGCCCTAGTCAATCACATATACGTGTGGTTGTACACGGCCAAGCTCTCCTACCTTGTCTTCCTCCTACCTGCCTCTCTTCCCCGCTCACATACTCACTCACGCATTTCTCCTCCTCTACCCGGCCCCATTCCTCTCCTCCATCCCCCCCAATAACTCCTCTCTCATTTCTCCATTTCCCCAGCGCATACCGCATCAGCCCCTCTCGCTTTGTCGTACTCGGTATAAGCAGCCTCAATTTCACGTGGCTGACGGGGGGGGAGGGCTGCCGATGGGTGGGGCGAGACGGCAGCAGCGTGAACGGTTCAGTGTGGTACAGAGACTTCATGCGCCCCAAAACTCAGGTGCTTCGAGTCATTTTTAAACAATTTCACCCAACACTTACGCACCCTTCCCCTCATCCTCGTTATAAACTTACTCGCTAGTCACATTTGTTTCCTCCAGTCCCTTGCCCTCCCTCCCTTCACTTCCTCACCCTCGTCCCCCTTGCAGACAGACTCGATAGCGAAAACAGTCAACATCAGACTCTCTCCTCTTTCCTCTACACCCCTTCCGCTCACCCCCGTTACAGACTGACTCGCTAGCAGCGTTCTGCCAGCTGTGGGGCAACACGTCCCAGGCGGGCGGCTATCTGGTGATGACCATGGACGGCGTCGAGGCTGCTGTCCTTAATGAGCGGCCGGGGCAGGTGAGATTTGGGGCAGGTGGGATACGTTTTGAGTCGACTGTAGACTCACCGGCTATCTGGTGATGACCATGGATGGCGTGGGGGCTGCTGTCTTCAATGAGCGCCCGGGGGAGGTGAGCTTTGGGGGAAGTGAATGTTTTGAGGACAGCAGATGTGGAGCAAATCAAATGATGGAGAACAAAATTCATTCCGTTTTGATTACAAAAAAGAAAAGTAATAAAAGAAAAGAAAACACGTCCAGCTCACTCCAAACCACCACACTTCTTTACTCTTCTCCTCCTCCCCTCCCCCTCTCCTTCCCACAGCCATTGGTGCCCCCTACAGACGCCTCCCTCCCCGTGCACCTCACGTGGTGCTCACAGCCTCTCTACGGCACGCTAGACGCGGGCATGGTGTGGACCTGGGCGGAGTATCACCGCATACACGCCAACGTCTCCCGCTTCATCTTCTATGACATGGCTGCGTGGACTCCTGCCCTCTCTGCACTCTTCGCGCCGTACTTTGCTGCCGGCATGGCTGCTGTCACGGACATGGCGAGAGGAAGGCGGTTCGGGTTTCACGCGGGGGAGGGGGCGCTGAGCTTCATTACCAAGCACCAGGTCCGTGGTGGAAGATTTTGAGCTAGTTTTCATTTCAAGCATACCTTCATATGCACTTTTCATGCTCACACTCGTGCGTACATACATACATTTGTTCATTTGTATCCTGGAGACACATACTGGGCGGATTATACTCCTTTTCAGCACCCCCTCCCACCGCATCCCACCCACTCCCACCAGACGCTAGCAGGCAACGACTGCATATACCGGTCGCTCTTCACCTCCCGCTGGGTCACACTACACGACACCGACGAGTACCTCTCGCCCGCACCCCCCCACTCCCTGCACTCGCTGCTCGCCGCCCACGCCCACGCCCCCTGGCTCTCCCATGGAGCACTTGTCGTCGACCCGTCCGTATGTGAAGGGGAAGGGGCGGGGGAGCAGGCTCCTGCTGCTGCTGCAGTGGCGCCTGGTGGGGGTGCTGCAGTGGCGCCTGGTGGGGGTGCTGCAGTGGCGCCTGGTGGGGGTGCTGCAGTGGAGGTTAATGGTACCGGCGCGGCAGGAAGCGGCAGGCAGGGCGGTGAGAGGCCGTGGGATGAGGCTGGCGTGGCAGAGGCGAAGAGGCGCGCAGTTGAGGTGCTGTCCCGGATGGTGTTCCGGCGACCAGACGTGTGGTGCATGCGCGACGGGGCAGAGGGGCAGCAGATCGATGGGGACCTCTGTGAAGACTGGCGGGGCCACCGCAAGCTGATTCTCAACCCGCGCAAGGTGAGACGACGGCCTCTCACAACCACCCATTCATTCACCGTTCCAGACCTCAGTTCCAGTCCACCCACATGGCACGTGAAATCACTTTTGAGAATTCTCAAAAGTGATTTCAATATAACCCACATGGCACGTGACCCGCAGAAGCATGGTGTGGTGCATTCTCCTTCAAAGCTACCTCCCCTTCCTCCCCCTAACCACTCCCCCTTGTCGTCCCATTCCTGCCCGCCATGCCTCAGTCATGTCAATCCACATGGCCCAAGAGCCTCAGAGGAGCGGAGTGGTGCTTAGCACATAACCACGAACCCCTCCCCTTGTTAACTCATCCCCTTTGCTTGTCAACCCCTTTCCCTCCTTCAGACCGGGGTCATATCATGTCAATCCACGCGGCACGCGAGCCACGGAAGGGAGGTGCGGTGCTGAACACACCCCCACCAATCACTCCCCTTCCTTGTTGACTCATTTCCTTCTCACCTGCGTGTCATCCCCTCTCTCCCCCATGCAGACCGAAGTCATGTCCATCCACATGGCCCGAGAGCCTCAGAAGGGCGGCGTGGTGCTGAACGCAGCAACGGAGTTGCGGCACTTCCATTTGCCCGGAGTGGTCAACCCGGTCAACGCGCAATGCCAAACCATTGTGCCGCCCGGGGGGTCCACCGGGTGGCATGTGAGGGACACCACTGTTGCTGACAAGCTGCGGCTACTAGCTAACGCGTCGGCACCGCAGCCTCAACCTTAAGCACTAGGAGCATCACACCACGCTGCATAGTTTCGACTCTTACCAGTAGGTGGTTTGTGAGGGACACCACTGTTGCTAACAAGCTACGGCTACTAGCTAACGCCTCGGCTCGGCCCCTCTGCCTGTACCCTAAGGAACATTACACCACTCTATAGTACCGTAGATTCTTTACTCTTCATAAGGCTGCAGACAAACTACAGCTACCAGTGGTGTACCCCACCCATCCGTCAGTCTCAACCATTTATTACTAGCTAACACCTTGGCGCCACCGCCATGAACTTTTAAAAGCAGGTCCCTTCTTGTGGCCATGCGAGGTTCATGAGGGGGGGATGCTGGCTAATCTGGAAAGCCACGATTGTCCGACAACTCTGTTGACATTACCCAGACCGTATTTTGAGAGCCTAGAGACCGGCCAGAATCTGGCCGCCGGATATTACTAACACCCCGTATCCCCCCGCCGACACCACATTGCTGGTTTACTCCGGATAGTAAATATTTATTTCCAGTGGAACTGTAATTGGGGAGGAGTGTCACTTTTTTTGCGCTCTTGAATCACCACTAGCTGGCAACAGAGGATACAGTAATACCACTACTGCGTTTCAATACCAACACATTTCTAGACCCTGCAGGTGCACTGTCTCTGCTCCTACCACTAAAACTGCAAAGACAGCTCGCACCGCACTACACCACAACAAACCTGGTCATCTACTAAAAATAATATTTCACAGCTACTCCACTGCAGCATGTCACTGCAGGCGCACCGGTGAATGAAGTGGGAGACACACCAGTGTCACAAAACAACAACTGCTCAGCTCTCTTAGCGTCCAGGTGCTCCCTCTCTCGCTTTAAGGCGCCTGGGAAGGCGGCATGAGGGTCACGAGGCAACGGCTGCTCGGGCCCGCTTGACTTCCATATACTGCCGCTCGCTCACTGCCTTCTTTGCATGCCGCCGCTGCAGCAACGATGCAGCGAGGGGAGGGGGCAGGAGAGCAGTGATATGGGGGAGCGGGAGAGAGGTAGCAGCAATTTGAGGGGAGGGTGTTGGTGGTAGCACTTGCAATTTAAGCAAGGTGGTGGTGGCTGGTGGTGTTACTTACAACGTAGGCATGGTGGTGGTGGTGCTACGGTACTTACGATGTAGGCATGGTGGTTGTCAACGATTCGAGTGACGATGGTGGTAGTGGTGGTCTCTGCTGCGCTCTCCACCTGCCTCACCATACCCCTCGCCCTCGCTGCCGCGTACCGCTGCTCCTCGTCCTGCCATCACTCCATTGGGAAGCACACGGGGGGGAATGTACAAGTGGCATTTGGCATGGGCACTGGGCATGGGCATGGGAAGCACGTGCCACGAACACTGGGCAAAGGGTGAATGCGCCACAAGGGAGTGAGGGGACATGAAACAGCATTGAACAGAAACAAGAAGGGGAACTCAAAACCAAAATGGTTCAACTCGGAGAACACATGGGCACGAGGGCACGAGGCCACGAGGGCACGAGGGCACGGGGGCACGGGGCATGGGGCATGGGGCATGGGGCATGGGGCACGGGGCATGGGGCACGGGGCATGGGGCATGGGGCACGGGGCATGGGGCATGGGGCACGGGGCACGGGGCATGGGGCATGGGGCATGGGGCATGGGGCATGGGGCACGGGGCATGGGGCACGGGGCATGGGGCACGGGGCACGGGGCATGGGGCATGGGGCATGGGGCATGGGGCATGGGGCATGGGGCATGGGGCATGGGGCATGGGGCATGGGGCATGGGGCATGGGGCATGGGGCATGGGGCATGGGGCATGGGGCATGGGGCATGGGGCATGGGGCATGGGGCATGGGGCATGGGGCATGGGGCATGGGGCATGGGGCATGGGGCATGGGGCATGGGGCATGGGGCATGGGGCATGGGGCATGGGGCATGGGGCATGGGGCATGGGGCATGGGGCATGGGGCATGGGGCATGGGGCATGGGGCACGGGGCAGTATGGGGCATGGGGCATGGGGCATGGGGCATGGGGCACGGGGCACGGGGCATGGGGCATGGGGCATGGGGCATGGGGCACGGGGCACGGGGCACGGGGCATGGGGCATGGGGCATGGGGCATGGGGCATGGGGCATGGGGCACGGGGCATGGGGCACGGGGCATGGGGAATGGGGCACGGGGCACGGGGCATGGGGCATGGGGCATGGGGCATGGGGCATGGGGCATGGGCCATGGGCCATGGGGCACGGGGCACGGGGCACGGGGCACGGGGCACGGGGCACGGGGCACGGGGCACGGGGCACGGGGCATGGGGCATGGGGCATGGGGCACGGGGCACGGGGCAAGGGGCATGGGGCATGGGGCATGGGGCATGGGGCATGGGGCATGGGGCACGGGGCACGGGGCACGGGGCACGGGGCACGGGGCACGGGGCACGGGGCACGGGGCACGGGGCATGGGGCATGGGGCATGGGGCATGGGGCATGGGGCATGGGGCATGGGGCATGGGGCATGGGGCACGGGGCACGGGGCATGGGGCACGGGGCATGGGGCATGGGGCACGGGGCACGGGGCACGGGGCATGGGGCATGGGGCATGGGGCATGGGGCATGGGGCATGGGGCATGGGGCATGGGGCATGGGGCATGGGGCATGGGGCATGGGGCATGGGGCATGGGGCATGGGGCATGGGGCATGGGGCACGGGGCATGGGGCAGCGGGCACGGGGCACGGGGCATGGGGCATGGGGCACGGGGCACGGGGCATGGGGCATGGGGCATGGGGCATGGGGCATGGGGCATGGGGCATGGGGCATGGGGCATGGGGCATGGGGCACGGGGCACGGGGCATGGGGCATGGGGCATGGGGCACGGGGCACGGGGCACGGGGCACGGGGCACGGGGCACGGGGCACGGGGCACGGGGCACGGGGCACGGGGCATGGGGCATGGGGCATGGGGCATGGGGCACGGGGCACGGGGCACGGGGCACGGGGCACGGGGCACGGGGCACGGGGCACGGGGCATGGGGCACGGGGCATGGGGCATGGGGCACGGGGCATGGGGCATGGGGCACGGGGCATGGGGCACGGGGCATGGGGCACGGGGCATGGGGCACGGGGCACGGGGCATGGGGCATGGGGCATGGGGCATGGGGCATGGGGCATGGGGCATGGGGCATGGGGCATGGGGCATGGGGCATGGGGCATGGGGCATGGGGCATGGGGCATGGGGCATGGGGCATGGGGCATGGGGCACGGGGCATGGGGCATGGGGCACGGGGCAGAGGGCATGGGGCATGGGGCACGGGGCATGGGGCATGGGGCACGGGGCACGGGGCATGGGGCATGGGGCATGGGGCATGGGGCATGGGGCATGGGGCATGGGGCATGGGGCATGGGGCATGGGGCATGGGGCATGGGGCACGGGGCATGGGGCATGGGGCACGGGGCACGGGGCATGGGGCATGGGGCACGGGGCATGGGGCACGGGGCATGGGGCACGGGGCATGGGGCACGGGGCACGGGGCATGGGGCATGGGGCATGGGGCATGGGGCATGGGGCATGGGGCATGGGGCATGGGGCATGGGGCATGGGGCATGGGGCATGGGGCATGGGGCATGGGGCATGGGGCATGGGGCATGGGGCACGGGGCATGGGGCAGAGGGCACGGGGCAGAGGGCATGGGGCATGGGGCATGGGGCATGGGGCATGGGGCATGGGGCATGGGGCATGGGGCATGGGGCATGGGGCATGGGGCATGGGGCATGGGGCATGGGGCATGGGGCATGGGGCATGGGGCATGGGGCATGGGGCATGGGGCATGGGGCATGGGGCATGGGGCATGGGGCATGGGGCATGGGGCATGGGGCATGGGGCATGGGGCATGGGGCATGGGGCATGGGGCATGGGGCATGGGGCATGGGGCATGGGGCATGGGGCATGGGGCATGGGGCATGGGGCATGGGGCATGGGGCATGGGGCATGGGGCATGGGGCATGGGGCATGGGGCATGGGGCATGGGGCATGGGGCACGGGGCATGGGGCATGGGGCACGGGGCACGGGGCACGGGGCACGGGGCACGGGGCACGGGGCACGGGGCACGGGGCACGGGGCATGGGGCAGAGGGCGCGGAGCACAGGGCAGAGGAGGGAGAGAAGCAGTGAGGGAGAGGCGCACCTTGCAGAGGGGATTGGACTCGGCCACAGTGCCGTGCACAACGAGGGAGATGTTGTACGCTGCTATCTGCATGCAGGACAGCGTGCGCGATACAATACAAGCATGGTGCAGCATGCCAACAGAGGGAGACGACTGAGAGGGAAGTCCAGCACAACCTGGCATCATCCATACATACAGCACAATGCATGATGCATGATGCATGATGCATGATGCATGATGCATGATGCATGATGCATGATGCATGATGCATGATGCATGATGCATGATGCATGATGCATGATGCATGATGCATGATGCATGATGCATGACGAATGATGCATGATGCATGACGCGTTGCCAGCAAGAACATACCAGTTGATCAGAGACGACCCAGGGGGCGTCCAGCACGACTTCGTCAACACTACGGCAGGCGAGGAGCGAGAGGCAGCGCTCGTGCATGCCCATGATGGGATGGTGCTGTCCTCTGTTCGCCCGCACCGTGGCGACTATCGCTGTGCACGCCCACCAGCAGGAATGTGCCCAGCTCCTTGGCCGCTCGTAGCGTCTGAGTGGGAGAAAGGGGAGGAGGGGGGGGAGAGGATGAGGAAGAGGCATGGAGGGGAGCGGAGAGAAGGTGAGTGAGCGCTGGTCCACAATGGGGTGGTGCTGCCCTCTGTTCGCCCGCACCGTGGCGTCGCTGCGCACGCCAACCAGCAGGAACGTTCCGAGCTCCTTCGCTGCTTGTAGCGTCTGTGTGGGGAGGGAGACAAATGGTGAATACGGTTTGTTTCGAGTTTGCTTTGCTTTAGTACGTTGTTGAATGGTATGGAACGGTATGAAGGAAAGGTGGCCCCACCTGCACGTGGCCTACCCCACCTGCACGTGGCCTATCCCACCTGCACGTGACCTGCACGTGCTGGATTCCACCTGCACGTGGTCTGCTCGTGCCTGCACGTGACCTGCACGTGCTGGATCTCACCTGCACGTGGCCGCTGTGGAAGACGTCGAACGCCCCATCAATGTACACCACGCGCGCGTATGGGTCTATGCTGCGCGGCTGAGCGCGCGGATACAGGGGGAATGGGGACGGGGGAAGGGGAAAGGCAGAAACGGGAAAAAGAGGAAAAGGGGGAATGGAGGAGTGTGTGATGAGTGGAGTGAGAGGAGGCACCGGAGGGACATAGAGAGCGAGGAGGAAGACCTAAAAGTCCGTTGCTTTGCCACCCGAAACCTCTGTCACCTCCCACCCGACTTTCCCCCTGCCACCCCGACTTCTCCTCTCCCCTCCCAGCCAACCCCCGTCGCCCCGACATACCTGCTGGCTGTGGAGCTCGAGGACGGTGGAGGTGGCGGGGAGAAAGCGCGACACGCGCGCGGAGGCGAGAGGCGCGAGGGACGGGGGGAGCAAGGGGGAGGAGGCGGCGGAGGAGGAGGGGGAGGCGGAGAGCGGCCAGAGAGAGCCGGAGGAAGCGGAGGAGGGGAGGGATGCGCAGGAAGGGGAGGAGGGTAGCGCGGGCGCTAGAGAAAGTGGGGAGTGCGCGGGGAGGGGTGCGGGGGAGCTGGACAGGTGGGCTGGGGAGGATGGGGGAGAGTCGCGGTGGAGCGGGGGAGCGGCAGGGGCATGCGCAGGTGACAACGCGGCTTCAGTAAATGGCGCATGGGAAGGGGAGGAGGACGGAAGGAGAGACGGTCGCAGGGGGGAGCATGGAACAGGGGAGGCGGAGAGCATGGGGGGAGGTGGGAGCGGAGAGGAAGGCCGAGGCGGAAGCGACGGCGATCCAACACGGGGCGATCCAGAGCGGTTACAATGCTCCGAGGGCGAGGGCGACCCGGTGTGGGCAAACTCGCGCTCCAGGGACCGCTGCTGCTGCGCCTCGGTGGCGGCCGTGCGGCTGCCCACGCAGAGCAGCATGCGGCCGACAATATCCGTGCTGGAGATGCCCTCCGTGCGCCGCACCTCGAGGTACCGCCCCGCCTGCTTGGCCTCCGCGTAAGCGTCGGAGCCGTCGGGCAGCAGGCAGGGGTCGTCGCCGTGAATGATGAAGTCGACGCGATGATGCGTGAAGAGGCGGTGCATGAAGGCCGGCGTTATGCAGTACGGCGTGCCCACTACTACCTCGTCCACCCACTTTACCTCCCGCACCATGCGCACTCTAGCGTGGGGGAAACGGGGGGAAAGAGGGGGGGGGGGGGAAGTGTGGGGGAGCAGAGAGAGGAATGATGAAGTCGACGCGGTGGTGCGTGAAGAGGCGGTGCATGAAGGCGGGCGTTATGCAGTACGGCGTGCCCACTACTACCTCGTCCACCCACTTCACCTCCCGCACCATGCGCACTCTACAGGGGGAGGGAGTGGAAAAGGGGAGGAAGAGCAGAGAGACGGATGTTGAATTCGATGCGATGGTCGGTGACGGGAGAGGCGAGGAAACGGGGGACAAGAAGGGGTTATTCGTGCGCATGCCCAGTGATGTTTCTAAATGCTTGAACTTCTAGATTCTCCCTTCGCACTTTGCATAGGAGAGGGGGGAGGGTTGCTTTAAGAGGTCCAAAGATGCGGTGGTAGTAAGAGGCGGTGGAGGAAGACCAGCGTGATGTAACACGACGGGATGTGCGAGTACCCGTGCGTTTAAGGCTGGGGGTCGAGGTGGGAAAGGAGTGTGGGGGTAACACTGAGAGGTCGGACGAATCAGGGGTTTAGGAGTCCTCCTTCGGATCGGCTTCGGATCGGCCGGCAGCTGTACGCAACGGCGGCAACGATGTACGTTTGATCCGGATCTCACCTGCTCCTAAGCTACCTGATCGGAGCGGGGAACGAGAGTGGTTGGAGGTTCAATTATGTATATTTTTTTTTCGTCCAACGTCACTCCCATCAGAATTAATTATTTTCAGAAGTTTCTTTCGACCTGAGAAGCTACAAGCTCACCTGTCTTCAAGCGACACGACGGGAGGGCCCTTATTTAAGAGGATCTCCTCGTCTGAAACTACGCCGACCACCAGCTCGTCGCCTAGCGCCTTCGCCTGTCGAAGCGCGTTCGCGTGGCCGTAATGCATCATGTCAAAGCATCCGTCCATGTAGACTCGAATGGGCCGCCGTGGCGACTCAGCCATCCCTAATTTCTCCTTGCCTTCCCTCGATTAGTTAGAATCACGGATAGAGGCCACGGACCTCGTTAAGTAACGGCTGGTATTTCTCGTTATGCTGCAGCGGTTAATGCTACTGCGGCTAAAGACACGGATGCTGGAATAAGCCCTGGAGGAATTCGAAATCTGCCCAACATGTAAACTCGTTTGATTCTAGAACGCACATCAGACACAGTCTCAGCAACATCGGAATATCACGGAAACATATTGATCGACCTGTTGTAAACGAAACTTAGCTAGGGCGAAGTTGGAATTAGCTAGGTTGAAGTTGGAATGGAGGAGCTATCAGAGCCTAGTGATATGCTTGTAATAAATGACCAGCCCGAGCAGGATATGGATGGATGGACTTCTTGGTAAATACAACCAGCCTGCTCAGGCATAGGGATTGTCGAGCAGGCACCAAGGTGGTGCCAACTTCCATCCCAAGCCAACCCAGCCAAGGAAACTGTGCCGCCAAGGAGCCAGCACAAGGTTGGAAAGTCGGGCACTGCCTGCCCGTGCCTGGAACCAAACGAAACCGATACGACACAGAACGGAAACAATTAACGAATTTCAGTCAAGTGGACGCAAACGCGCTGTCCTACACTACACACGTTGAACCAGCACATTCCACGACTCTGGGAGCTGGAATGTAGCAAAAGACTTCCTGCGAGTCCACCACAAACAATTCTCGTGAAGTTGCATTTGCGAGTTCGGATTCGGGCAGGAGCGCGCGAGCTAAAAGGAATACTTCGGCCCAAGAAAACTGGTGTGTGAATATTCAACGTGCTGAACGCCAACGGCAAGCCCAGCACGGTCAGTTAAAACTTCCCGCCAAACTGGCCATGTCAGCAGCCGCCTTGCGAACCGCGGGCCAGAATCCAGGAACCCCCTCCAGCGTTCGAGGGACCCTGGGAGAGTGATCCGTTTAAAGTGAAGCATAAAGGGGCACGGCTGAGGAACAGTCCTTGATATCACAATCTAAATAAATACTACACTATAGCAGATTACAAAACAAGTCTCTCTCATGTCACTACGCCTGCGCTACAAAGTCACAACACAAATCAAGGCTAACCAAATACATACTACTTACGGATCCATTTCCTAACAAGATACTGATATGCCAGCTCCAAGCCTAGTGCGCATCACTCTGTGTGCGAGGCGCAGGTGCAGGCTGAATTTCCCCCAGTTCAGCCTGTGATTCAGCACCGCTGCCACCAGTGGCGCCACCTGCACTCTGACTTCCACCCCTCCACCGCCCCACCATCCCTGTGCCAAACCTTCTCAGCGTCCCTCCCCCACTCCCACTCGCCTTCGACCCTGCACCTGAACCAGGGCTCCCGGGCCTACGGCTCCGGCTCGGGCTCCCCTGGGCTGCAGGGCTGGCGTTGCCTGTGCCAGGGCTGCGAAACGCGGAAACGAGGCGGACAGCTTTGACTGCGGACGTGAAATCAGCCGACGAGGGGCGCGCCCGGGCAGTGTCAGTCTTGGAGCGATGGATGAAATGGGAGAAGCCGAGAGTGGGAGTGTGGGTGCTGGTGCGAGAGGATGTGGCGGAGTGAGGGATGGTGTGAGGACCTGGCGCAGTGGCAGGGGTGACTGGTGCAGGTGTTACTGGTGGGGGGGTGACTGGCAAGGCTGGCACGGCATCAGCAGCAGCAGGCGAACCAGACGAACCAGCAGCTGCCAAAGTGCCTCCACCAATCACGTCACCCTCACGCACCACGAGACTCTGGCCCTGGGCAGGTGTTGGTGTAGAGAGCCCTTCGGGAGCAACACGGTCTGCGTTAAAGCCCACTTCTGCTGCGGTGTCATCAGCAGCAGGTGGAGCTGGGTGGGACCCCCCAGGGGCGGTACTACTGGGGGAGGTGGCAGAGTGGGAAGGCAGGGCGAGCAGGGGCACGGGCTGAGAGGCATGGGAGACCTTGGGAGGGGCGGAGGCTGGAGTGGGGGGTCGCGGGGGGAGAGTTGTTGCTGGGGAGCCCGCTGCTGCTGCTGGTGCACTGGCAGGGGCAGCACCACTGCCAGTGGTGGTGCCAGAAACAGTAGCAGGCGTAGCAGTAGTGGCAGCGGCAGCTTCAGCAGGAAGGAGAGGGGGTGCGTGGGTGGTATCTGATAGGTGCCCAAGCCCAAGCAACAGCTTGTTGTCCACTGACATACTCGATGCCAGCCTCCCCTGCCCCTGCTGCTGTCCCCCCTGCTGCTGTCCCCCCTGCTGCTGTCCCCCCTGCTGCTGTCCCCCCTGCTGCTGTCCCCCCTGCTGCTGCTGCATCTGCCCCTGCTGTCCCTGCTGTTGCAGCAGCTGAGAGCCCTCAACACCGCCCCTCCACGGCCCAATCACGCGCCTCTCAGCCCGCCCACCCTCCTCCCCGCTCTCCACCTTCTGCCTCAGCACCGCCTCCTCTCTCCACTTGCGCACCTCGCCCTCCAGTGCTTCCTTCACGCGTGTCACAACACGCAGCTGCCGCTGCACCTCCCCCAGCGCCTCCCTAAGCTGTTCCGCATCGGTGTTCGCTGCAGTCAGTTCCTGCTCCGTGCTTCGCAGTGTGGCCCTCACGGTCTCTGCCTCCCTCTGCGCTGCTGCTGCCTGTGCACTCGCAGTGGCTGCTTCACCCCGTGCTGCCTCCACCTCACCTCTCAGTTTCTCCGCTTCTCCCTCTGCCGCCTCCACCTTGCTTCGCAGCATCTCACCTTCTCCAGCTGCTCGCTCCACCTCGCCTCGCAACTTCTCAACTTCGCCCTCTGCTGCTCCCAGCGCTGCTTTCACTTCCCCCATCTCTGCTTTCACTTCACCCATCTCTGCTTTCACTTCCCCCATCTCTGCTTTCAGGCTCGCCACCTCAGCAGCAGCTGCTTCCGCCCCTGCCACCGCTGCCACCACCTTCGCCTCCTCTTCTCTCAACTGCCTCTGCAGCTCCTTGGCTTTCTCCTCCGCTGCTCTCACTGCTGCTCCTGCCCTCGCCTCCCCCTCCCCCACGCCCCGCACCAGCTGCTCCTCCCTCTCCTCCGCCCTCCGCTCGAGCTCCTTCTCCCTCTCCTCTGCCGCTGCCAGCCTGGCACGCAGCGATTCTGACACCGCAGCAGCAGACGCCAAGTCAGCAGAAGCAGCAGCGGCGGCAGCAGAAACACGGGAGGAGGCGTTTTCCCGTTCCTCCTGAAGCTCTTTCCTCAGAGCACCAAGCTCTACGGTCAGCGCAGCCACCATTCCTTGCAGGGCCTCTGCTCTTCCCTCCGCCTTTGCAGCCTCATTCTTCCCTCTCTCCACCTCCCCCACCATCCTCTCAGCCTCCTTTTCCTTCTCAACAATCGCCCTCCTCCCCTCCTCCACCTCCCTCTCAAGCCTCTTCTTCATATCCCTCAGTCCCTCACACTCAGATCGCACCTCCCCCAGCTGAGCCTGCACCAGCTGCACCTCCTTTTGCGCTTCTCTCACCTGCCCCTCGGCCTCGCTCCGAGCCTGCATCTGCTCCCTCACTGCCGCTGCTATCCCCTCGTCCTTCACCGTCAGTGCTGCCAGCTCAGCGTTACGAGTTTCCAGCTCAGATTTTAGCGATTCCACCTCATTCGTCAACTTGCTGCACATTTCCTCTTTCTCGCTCACAGCTTTTTCTTTCGCCTTTGCCTCGTCAGCAGCTGCTGCCAGCTTATGCTCCTTACTCTCTCGCTCCATCTTCATCTCTGCCAGCTCAGCGTGGGCAGTTTCCAGCTCAGCCTTGACCGTTGCCAGCTCAGCGGCTTGCACTTCAGTAGCTGTCTTCCACGTGTTCGCATCCGCCACACCCACAGCCTGCTGCTGCTTCAACTCCTCCACCTCCTTTTTCAATGCTTGAATCTCTTTCTCCTGCTCCTGCTGCTGCTGCTGCTGCTGCTCCTGCTGTTGCTGCTTCAACGATTCAACCTCCTCTTTCTTCTGCTCCCTCAACATCCGCACCTCCTCCTCCCTCCGAACCACCTCCTGCCGAGCCTGCTCCACTTCAGCCTTGACCTTTTCCCGGGCCTCCTCAGCCTCGGCAGCCGCCCGAGCCCGTTCCTCCTTCTCAGCTTCGGCCCGGACCTCTGCCTCGGCAACCTTAGCAACCAGCGCTGCTTTTTCTGCCTTCACCTCGTCCTTCTCCTGCACCTCCCGCTCATACGCCCCCACGAGCCTATCTTGCTCTGATACCATACGCCCATGCTCCTCCTGCAGTAGCGCGTGCAGGGATTTGAGTCCCTCCATTTCTGCTGCTACCACTGCTCCTGCGGCTTTTTCCTTCTCGAGGTCTCCAGTTGCTGCTGCCAGCTCAGACCGCACCTTTTCCAGCTCAGCATGCCGGCTTTCCAACTCAGATCGGACGGAAGCCAGCTCAGCACGGAGCGCTGCCAGGTTGGCATTCAACTCGTCGACCTCTTTCCTCTTTTCCTCCCTCTCCTTTCTCAACCCTTCCACTTCCTTCTCTGCCTCCCCAGCCCTCTCCCTCACACTCACCATCTCCTCCTCCATCCTCACCCTCTCCCCTTTCACCCTCTCCACTTCCGCCTCCACCTCCCTCACTCTCTCCTCAAGCTTCACTCTCTCCCCAACAGCCTCCCTCACTCTCTCCTCCATCTTCTCTTTCTCCCCCTCCACCTCCCTCACTCTCTCCTCAGCCGCAGCCACCTTCCCCTGCTCCTCCCCAATCACCCTATTCACCGTCGCTGCCAACTCCTCCTCTCTCACACTCACCTCCTCCATCTCCTTTCTCCCTCTCTCCGCCTCCTGCCGCAACACCTCCGCCTCACTCTCCCTCTCTCTCACCTCCTTCCTAAGCTCCTCAATCCGCCCCTCCCGCCCCTTCACCTCTCTCTCTAGCAACTCGACATCTGCTTTGCTCCGCTCTGCCGCACCCTTCCACCGCCCCACCTCCTCCCACGCCTCTGCAGCTTTCCTCATTGCTACCTCTGCTCTGCCCTTCTCCCCGTCCCCCACGCTCCTAGCCTCCACCACCCCTCGCTTCGCCTCCTCCATTTCCCTCTGTGCATCTGTCAGTTGCACCTGCACCAGTTGCACCTCCCTCTCCGCCTCCTCCTGCTTCTTCCTCGCCGCTTCACTCTCAGCCTTCGCAGCTGCCAGCGCGGCTGACACAGCTGCCACCTCACCCATCATCACCGCCAGCTCAGCTTGCATCTTGTCTGCGTCAGCAGCCGCCTTTTCTGCTTCCTGCTTTCTCACCTCCCCTTCTGCCACCGCATCCCTATGCTTCTTCTCCCACACCCTCCGTACCTCTTCCCGAGCCTCAGCCTCGGCTGTTTGCCGAGCCAAATCTTCCCGAAGCTGATCAGCCTCGGACCGAGCCACCCTGGCCTCTTCCCTCACCCCCGCCACCTCTGCAGCTGTAACTTGAGCAGCCGCAAGCGATGCTACCAGCTCAGCCTCTACCTTTGCCAGCTTGGCGCTGACCTGGCTCGTCCCCTCTTCCAGCTCAGCACACTTCCCCTTCCATTCCACAACCTCCCTCTCTGCCTCCCTCACTCTCTCTTGCAACCCCTCAACCTCTCTCTTCCTCTCCTCCTCTCTCCCTCTCGCCTCCTCCACATCCCTCTGCAACCCTTCCAACCGCACCACCACACCGGCATGCTTGACCCTCTCCTCCTCCCTCTCCCTCATCACCTCCTCCCACCTTCCACGCAATGCCCTCACCTCCTCCTCTAGCTTCGCGTGTGCCTTTCCTAGAGCCTCCTTCGCGCCCCCCATCCCTGCAAGCTGCTCTTTGAGCCTCGCCACTTCCTCCCTGGCCTCCCTCTGCTCTTCTCTTACAATCTCCAGGCCTTCTCGTGTCTCCCTGTGCTCTTCTTTCTCCCTCTCCCACTCCTTCCTCACTCCATCCACCTCAACCCCCTTCGAGTCCACCTCAGCCGTCAACCTTGCCACCTCATCCACTTTCTTCGCCACATCAGCCTGCGCTGCTGCCAGCTCAGCACCAGCCTCCTCCAATCGCGTCTCCAGCTGCCCCACCCTCTCGCCCATCTCTTCCCTCCCCCTCCTCACCTCTTCAATCTCCCTCTCTAACCCCCTCACTATCTCCTCCCCCACCTCCACCTTCCCCTTCTCCACCCACAGAGCCTCCTTCATCTCATCCCTCTCCCGCCCCCTCTCCTCCCCAGCCCTCTCTGCCGCCTCTCTCCCCTTCCCTGCCTCTTCCACTCGCACCAGCAGCTCCGCCTCCTTCCTCGAAGCTTCCACCTTCGCTGCTTCCAGCTGTCCCCTCAGCTCCTCCTCTCTCTTCCTCCCCTCCTCCTTCTCCCATCTCACTCCTTCCAACTCCCCCCTCACTCGCTCCAACTCTCTCTCCCTCTCTTCCAATCTCTCTCTCAATCCCTCCATTTCCCTTTTCAGCTCCTCCAACTCACCCTTCAGCACCTTCACCTCCTCACACTTCTCCTCCACTCCCCTCCTCCTTTCCTCACCCTCCTTCCTCCTCTCCTCACACTCCCCCTTCAGCCTCTCAACCTCCTCATTCATCCTCTTCGCCTCGCCCTCAGCCTCCTTCCTCCTCTCCTCCAACTGCTCCTGCGCCTCCCTCAATCCCTCCACCTCGCTCCTCCGCTCCTCCCTCTCTCTCCCCACCTCCTCCTCCAACCTCCTCACCTCCTCCTCTGCTTTCCTCCTCTCCCTCTCCTCCTCCTCCCTCGCCCTCTCCACCTCTTCCCTTGCCTTTCTCAATTCCCCTTCCCACATCGCAGCCTCCTCTCTCTTCTTCCTACTCTCCTCCAGCTCACTCCTCAAAGCACCCAGCTGCTTCTCCGCCTCTTCTTCCCTCACTGCCACCTCCCTATCATGCCTCCCCTTCATCTCCTCTATCTCCTTCTCCCTCTCCCTCACCTCCTCCCTCACTCTCTCCACCTCACATACCACCTTCTCCAGTTCCACCTGCACCTTCCCAAGCTCCTCCCGAGCCTCCAGCATCTGCTGCCGAGCCTCGTCCGCAGCCTTGGCAGAAGCCTCCACCTGCCGAGCCTTCTCCTCCATCTCGCCCCTCATAGCCTCCACAGCAGCACCCATGGCACCATGGCTTGCCACAAGGGTATCAAACGCCACCTCCTTGCTCTTATACTGCACCCGCAATCCCTCCAATTCCCCCTGCACTCTCCCATGCTCTTCCCTCAACTCGCCCAGCTGTTTCTCCTTCTCTTCCTTCTCCTCCCTCACTCGCTCTACCATTTTCGCCTCCTCCTCCCTCTCCGCCTCTGCCCCTGCTAGCAACCTCCCTGCTTCGTCCCTCCCTGCTTTCAACGCCTCCACCTCTCCCTCCAACCGCTTTACATCCCTCCTCAGTCCCTCGCACACGCCCTGCGCCACCTCCCTTGCTTTCCTCTCCGCCTCTCTCTCCTCTCGTACCGTCTCCAGCCTCCCCTCTACCTCTGCTCGCTCCCTCCTCTCCCTCTCCACCTCCCCCTCCAACTCCTCCCTCATCCTCTTCTCCTCCTCCATCTTCCCCCCCCACTTCGCCTTTTCCATCTCAAGCCTCTCAGCTCTCTCCCTCGCCTCCTTCCCTTCCTTCCTCTCCCTCTCCCTCCCCTCCTTCTCCTCCTCGAGCTCCTTACACACACTCTCATACCGACCTCTCAGCGATTCCAAATCCCCTAAAACCACCTCCTGCATACTCCTTAGCTCAACCACTTGCACCTCCCCCTCCGCCTGCCTAGCTCGTAAATACTTACCCTCTTCCACCGACGCTTTAAAAGACTCTCTTAGCAAAACAAGCTCCTTCATAGCGCCTTCATGGGCGGCATCCAGCGTCTGTAGTGCGGACTGTAGCGGAGCGATTCGCTCCTCCTGCTGTCGCTCCAGAGCGCTCCGCACGGCTGCCTCTCGCTTCCCCGCCTCCTCCTCCTCCACCCGCCGCCGCAGCATCTCCTTCTCCTCCTCGAAGCGAGCGATTTCTGCTTCTGCTGCTGTTAAAGTTGCCTGGCAAGGCGGGTGGGGGGATGAGAGGAGAGTGTGTATGCAGGTGGGTTGGGAGGAGCAGTGAGGCTACGACCTCGGGGAAAAGGGTGAACCGAGGGGAGTATCTTTCCGCACCTCAGCACAGCACCGCACCGCACTGCACCATTCTCCACATGCTCTCCCACATGCACCAGACCAGACAGCCCACTGCCTTTACATGCCAGAGGAAAACAACCCCCAGAATAACTGTTCAAGTGCATTCTCACCTGAACCATGCCACGTGGCTCTCCTGCAACACGCCACGTGGCGGCCTCACCTGCAGCCCGTTGCCTTGTGCTCCAGCGTCACTTTGCTCTCCTGCAGCATGCCACGTGTCTTCCCCACAGAGAGCCACGTGTCTCTCTTACCTGCAGCCCCTTGGCCTTGTGCTCCAGCGTCACGTTGCTCTCCTGCAGCGCCTTGAGCCGCGCAGTCTTCTCGTTGTGCTTCGCCCGCAGCGCCGCCAGCTCGTAGTTGGTCGCCTCCAGGCTCTCCTCCACCTGCTTCAGCCGCCCCGCCTGCTCCGCGCTCAGCTGGCGGGATGGAGAGAACCGGGTGGATGGGAAGAAGGGAGGGAAGATGTGAAAGATGAGCCGCACAGGGCCTGGAATGGAAGAGTGCCACCTCGTAGTTGGTCGCCTCCAGGCTCTCCTCCACCTGCTTCAACCGCCCCGCCTGCTCAGCACTCAACTGGAAAACGGGGGAGGTGCGCGCGTGGCGTGGGAGAGCGGGAAAGAAGAGGATAAAAAGAGTGGCCGTGAGGCGGAATGGGCAGGGAGGCTAAGTCGCACCAACCCCACCTCCTCATCCCAGATTCAGTCAGCATTATCTCAGCAGCCGTTCATGGTCTCACCTGCGCGTGGCCCACAGCTGCATGACTCGCCGTCCCCTGCTCTCTCCCCCCTGCCCCTCCGCTGCTTCCCCGCTCGTCTGCAACCGTTGCAGCCTTGCTGACGTCAGGTTGCGCGGAATGGGAAGGGCGGGGCGCGGCCTGCCCGGGGGTGGTGAGAATGGTGCGCGAGGGGACGGGGGAAGGAGAGGCGGAACGAGCGTTCGGCGGAAGTGCGCCGCTGGGCAGATTCCCTTTGTCCCGCTGGACGGGAAGCGCCAGCGGGGAGGGGGAGCGGAGCGCCTGCTGCGCGGCGGAAAGTGGCGAATCCTCCGCCTGTTTTCCACCACCTTGTCCAGAGGGCTGGTCCCTAGCCGTGACGGCCTGCAGCTTGCTGACGTAAGCGGCAGCGGACGGCGCGGCGGCGGCCTTGCCAAACATACTTTTCAGCTCCCGCACGGACCGCGCACTGCCTCCGCCGCTCCCCCCGCCGCCGCCACTGCTGGCCATGGCGGGCCGGTGGATCAAGGAAGAGTAAGCGCGCCAATGTAGGTTTGGGGGAGCGCGATCCACGTGCAAGCGACGGCAGGCGAAATGCGCCGGATCTGGCGCTTAAAAGCGGAAGTAAGGGGAGTCAGTGAGAGGAAATTGTTTACTTCGACGGAGAGCACGTAACGAGGAAGACACGAGAAGCCACGAGGCTCGTCGTGTCGCACGTAGATCTCCCAGCGCAGTTAACCCTAAGAATGCCGATGTTACGCGAGGAACGCAACGAGGGGGGACGCGAAAATGCCTTATTCGCAACAAGGAGTAACGCGCACACTAGGAGTTCGGCTAAAATCCACGGCTCGGGAGCACAGCGGGAGGTAAAGGATGGATGCTACCTTAGGGCGTGTAACTTTTTTCCGAACCGGCGAATGTCCGGACCTCGCCTCCAAAGCGAACGGACAGCCTCGGTACGGACATCTGGGGCCTTTGGTCCGGACATAGGCCCGTCCGTACTTCAAAAGTAAAACTTTTGTGTTTTCAAATGTTCCGCGACATACGACAGGTTACGAGTGCTACTCAGCACTCGCTATTTTCGTACACAAACGCATGCGACCGCTTGTGCCACTGTACAATATTTTCGCGCGCCAATGACAGCAAGCCTGAGTCGGACGGTCCGATTTCACTTCGGCTTGGACATACTAGGACATATATAGGTGAAATAAATAAGGCCTAGTCATTGTTTTCTGTGCTTTGATCCAATTCAGTTCAATGGATCTTGGTCTGTACAGGGATTTACGGTACTGAATGGGGCTTCTTGTTTGCATGCAAAGTTCAATATTTTCCTGTGCAATTAGTTGTCGTGTTGGTTGGCTGGCTGGTTGGCTGCATACTTGGCTTGGCTGGATGGTAGTTTTGGCTGGATGTTGGGCTGGTGAGCGGCTTGTTCAGTACCTGTGCATGCAGGCTGCATGCTGCATGTGGGTGGGGGATGCCCTGGTGTTCCATCTTCTTCCCAGCACCGAGCGTGCCTCTCATGCTCGCTCCACCTCACTCTCGCTTAGAGCCATGCACAAGGGCTTGGCCTGTAGCAGCCAAGTCCTGCTCATGCCACTGCACAGCACCAGGTATGCCATCATGGCATGGCACAGCGCCTGCAGGAGGACGCTCTGCCCTGCTTGGGTGTTTGTGCACAGGCGCCTTCCAGACCCCACCCACCTATTCTACAACATGCAGGCCCATCCCAGCACAGCACAACACAGACAAATCTAAGCACAGCCAGACAAGGATAAGCCTCATGAAGCACGGCTAGCACAGCCAAACACAGCAGCAGCCCATCTTGACCTCTTGGTGGTAAACCGCCAAACCGCCTCGGCCCACATGTCTGCTACCTCAAAAAACTGCCTCGGCCCGAAGTGGAACAGGGGGCCACTTACAAGCTGCAAAAGTGCACAACACCACACAAGTGAAGCTGTTAAAAGGCACCAAGTGAGAAATGTACTGTATGTTAGCAAGGCCAGCAACTTTCCCCCCACAATCTCCAATCACACCTACCATGTAGACTAAGCAGCAGTGCTGTTGGTGCCACTGCTTCTCCTGTAGTTGCTGCCAGGGACAGCAATGCGATATGTAGAGGGGAGGAAGGGAGAGAGGAGATAACGAGCCAATAAGGAGAAGGGAGACGATTAAAGCCTGGACAAGAGCACAACCAATATCAAGCAACCAGCACATTGGGGGAACCCGGAAGCACTTGAGGAAGTTGTAATCGCCTGTCCATTGCTGAAGTTGAAACCCAGCAAGCACCCCCTGGCATGGCACGCACCGCATTCCAGCTAAGTGCTTCCTCCTCCTTGGCAGAACCTGCGGCTCCTGTGGCACGTGCTCCAGGCTTGAGGCGTGCTGCTCCAGGTTGCTCGTGCTGTGCTGTTGATATCTGCAATGGGAGGGGTCTGTGGATTGTGAGATGAGCCAAAACCAACCAGTGGCGAGATTATAGAGGAGAAAGCAGCGAAGCAGATGAGGAATACAAGTGATGAGCGCTTGGCATCACAAAAGGCAAAGCGTTTGGAAGAGAAGTTACTTGGCTGAAAAGTCAAGGCGACATTGCTACTGCTGCTACAACTCACCAGTGCTACTGCATTCACCAGCCCTGCTGCTGTGCCTTGAACAAAAACGATGCCCGCAAGCTTGTCACCCTTGTCCTCTCCCTGCCATTCCCCTCCGTCACGTAGGCCGCGAAGCACACACACGCGAGGGGAGAGACGTACACAGAGAGAAGCAGCACAGCAAGGGAGGGTTAGAAGCAGCAAGAGAGGAGGCGGGTGGCGGAGGCAAGGGCAACAGACACGACTCTTGCCTCTGCGCGGCGACGCTCTAGGACTCACTACACCGCCCCCCCGGGAGCAACCTCTGGCATGTACCATGCTTCGTTCGCCGCCCGACCGCTCCTCCGCTCTTGCCTTCACTTCACGCATGCCCCGTTGCTACAGGCTGCCCCGTTGCTGCTGCGCCACGCTTTCACTTCACGCTTGCCACAACGGAAGCCCGTCCATTTCCCGTCGACTCGCTGCCATTCCCATGCGTCTCGCAAGCCGTGAGGCACACACAGGCATGGGGAGGGAGGAAGCCACAAAGAAGAGGGGGAACAAGGTATGTTTAGAAGCAGCAGGCGAGAAGGCGAGTGGTGGAGGCAAGGACAAGAGACACGACTCTTGCCTCTGCGCGGCGACACCCTATGACTCACTTCACAGCCCCCCAGCAAGCACCCCCTGGTACATACCAAGCTCCGTCCACCGCTCGCCCACTCCTGCGCCACGCCTTGACTTCAGGCGTCCACGTGCTGCCATTGCTCTCCGTCTCGCAGGCGACGAGGTACACACACACACACACACGGGGGGAGAGGAGAGACACATACACATGGGGAGAGAGAGGCACACACACGGAAGGAGCGCAATAAAGGAGGGTTAGAAGCAGCAGGTGGCGAGTGGTGGACCCGCAATCAACAGACACGACTCTTGCCTCTGCGCAGCGACTCACTTCACGGCCCCCCTGCAAGAACCCCCTGGCACATACCATGATCCGTGCGCGGCTCTTCCGTTCTGCCGCTCTGCCTCCTGCACCACGCCTTCACTTCTAAGTGTGCTACTCCAGGCTGCTCCGTTGCGGCTGCACCAAGAAGCACCCTGCCACTGCCCGTGCTCCCGGTTGCTCGTAGTCCACTGCTGCTGCTGCTGCTGCTGCTGCAGTTGTTGCTCTCATTGCGACCACCACCGCAGCAGGCAGGTTCACAAAGAGCAATCCGCCACACTCCGGAGCTTGAAGGCTGAGAGGAACACTCACAGGCAAGGATGCACACACGCAGACGCACACATCCACACCCCCACCCCCCTTCCTCCTCCCCCCCCCCCACACACATGAACAGTCCCCGTCCACTCCCTGCCGTTCCCCTCCGTCTCACAGGCCGAGAAGCACACACACGCGACGGGAGAGGCACACACAGACAGAAGAAGAGCGACAAGGGAGGGTTAGAAGCAGCAAGAAAGGAGGCGAGTGACGGAGGCAAGGGCAAGAGACATTGCCTCTGCGCGGCGACGCTCTATGACTCTATTCACTGCCCCCCCTGCAAGCACCCCCTGGCACGTACCACGCTACGTCCGCTGCTCTGCCGCTCCTGCGCCACGCCTTCACGCTTCAGGCGTGCTGCTCCAGGTTGCTCCCCTTACTCCTCGCTGGACGGTTATCTCTCGTGCGAACCAGCAAGGCAGCCGCGTCGATTCCCCGTCCACTACCTGCCATTTCCATCCGACTCGCAGGCCGTGAGGCACACACACGCGCGGAGAGAGGGATACACACACAGAAGCGATGCAACAAGGGAGGGTTAGAAGCAGCAGGAGGCGGGTGGTGGAGGCAAAAGAAAGAGAGACGACTCTTGCCTCTGCGCGGCGACGCTCTACAACTCACTTCACGGCCCCCCCGCAAGCAACCCTCGGCACGTACCACTTCTCCTCCTTGGTATAACATGCGCCACGCCTCCGCCCCAAGTAGCACCCTGGCCCGTGCTCCCTGCTGCGCCACATCGTGGTTGTTTGCTGCGCCACGCCTTCGCCCCAAGCTTCAGGCATGCTGCGCCAGATTGATGGTTGTTTGCTTCTGATATCTGCAAAAAGAGGGGTGTGTGATTGTGAATTGGGCAAAAGCAACCAGTGACGAGATTTCAGAGGAGGAAAGCAGTGAAAAACATGGACGACAAACGATGGGTGATTGGCATCAAAAGATGCAAAGCGTTCGGAGGATTCAATACTTGGCTGGAAACTCAAAGCGCCGTGGCTACTGCTGTTACAAGTTGCCAGCGCTGCTGCTGTGTCTCGGGTCGGAACGAAGACCCCAACGCTTGTCACCCCCCGTCCACTCCCTGCCATTGGTCTCCGTCTCGCAGGCCGTGAGGCACACGCACGCACAGGGAGAGAGAGACACACAGAAGCATCGCAATATAGGAGGGTTAATAATAGCAGGAGGCGAGTGGTGGAGGCAAAGGCGACAGACACGACCATTGCCTCTGCGCGGCGACGCTCTAGGACTTACTACACTGCCCCCCTGCAGGTACCCCCTGCCATGTACCGTGATCCCTGCCGCAGCTGCGCCACGTCTTCACTTCACGCATGCTGCTCCTGGTTGTCTCTGGTGGGAGCCAGCAACAGCAACCGTGTGTTCCCCCCATCCACTTCGTTCCATTGCAGTCCATCTCGCAAGCCATGAGCCACACACACATACGCATGGGGAGAGGGACACGCACACAGAAGCAGAGTAGCAAGGGAGGGTTAGGAGCAGCAGGAGAGAAGGCGTGTGACGGAGGCAAGGGCAACAGTCAAGACTCGTGCCTTTGCACGGCGACGCCCAACGACTAACTTCACGGCCCCCCTGCAAGCACCCCCTGGCACGTAACACGCGACCGCCACCGTGTGTCTGCCTTGTATGCGCCACTGTGCCGTTGCTGCCCCTTCTCCTTGCTTCACGGTTGTCTCTCGTGCGAGCCAGCAGCGGAAGCCTTGTGCATGACATTCCGCGACCACTCCGCGCCATTCCGCGACCACTCCATGCCATTCCGTGACCACTCCATGCCATTCCGCGTCCACTCCGCGCCATTCCGCGTCCACTCCGCGCCATTCCGCGTCCACTCCGCGCCATTCCGCGTCCACTCCGCGCCATTCCGCGTCCACTCCGCGCCATTCCGCGTCCACTCCGCGCCATTCCGCGTCCACTCCGCGCCATTCCGCGTCCACTCCGCGCCATTCCGCGTCCACTCCGCGCCATTCCGCGTCCACTCCGCGCCGTTCCGCGTCCACTCTGCGCCGTTCCGAATCCACTCCGCGCCATTCCGCGTCCACTCCGCGCCATTCCGCGACCACTACGCGCCATTCCGCGTCCACTCCGCGCCATTCCGCGTCCACTCCGCGCCGTTCTGCGTCCCCTCCGCGCCATTCCGCGTTCACTCCACGCCGTTCCGCGTCCACTCCGCGCCATTCCGCGCGTCCGTTCCGCGTCTACGCTGTGCCATTCCCCTCCACCTCGGAGGCCGTGAGGCACACACATGCAAGGGAAGAGGGACACGCATACAGAAGCAACGCAACAAGGGAGGGAGGGTTAGAGGCAGCAGGTGGCGGGTGGTGGAGCAGCAAGCAACAGACACGACTCTTGCCTCTGCGCGGCGACGCCTATCACGGCCCCCCTGCAAGCACCTCATGGCGCGTACCACGCTCCGTTCGCCGCTCGCCGTGCCTTCACTTGAGGCGTGCTGCTCCAGGCCGCTCGGTTGCTGCTGCAAGCCAGCAGTGGAAGCCCTGTCCACTCCATGCCATTCCGCGTCCACGCCGTGCCATTCCCCTCTACCTCGCAGGCCGTGAGGCACACACAAGCAAGGGGGGAGAAAACACGCACACAGAAGCGGCGCAAAAGGAAGGGTTAGGAGCAGCACGAGAGGAGGCGAGCAGCGGAGGCAAGGGAAAGAGACACGACTCTTGCCTCTGCGCGGCGACTCACTACACGTCCCCCTTACAAGCATCCCCTGGCACGTACCATGTTCCGTTTGCCGCTCTGCGCCACGCCTTCACTTCTCCTCGCTAAAAAGTTTTGTCTCTCGTGCGCGCCAGTAACGGAAGCCCGCCCGTTCCCCGTCCACTCGCTGCCATTCCCGTCCGTCTCGCAGGGCGTGAGGCACACACATGCATGGGAGAAAGACAGCCACACAGAAACGATGCAACAAGAGAGGGTTAGAAACAGCAAGATGCGAGTGGTGGAGGTAAGGGCAACAGACACGACTCTTGCCTCTGCGCGGCGACGCTCTAGGACTCACTAGACAGCCCCCCTGCAAGCACCCCCTGGCACGTACCATGCTCCGTCCGCCGCTGTGCCGCTCCTGCTCCACGCGTTCACTTCAAGCGTCACGCCTGGCTGCTCTGTCGTTGCTCCCGTTGTGACCACCACTGCGTCGTTGCCTCTGACGGACGTTGCCTCCAGGTTGCTCGGTTGTTGCTGCGCCACGCCTTCGTCCCAAGCAGCATGCTGTTGCTTCCCGTGTTCCAGGTTGGTCCGTCGCTGCTCATGCTGCTGCTGCTGGTGGTGCTGCTGAAGTCTCGTCGCGGTTAGAGCATCGTCGCTTTGACGACGGAAACAGCAACAACGCCGCTCTGACGGCGGTAACAATAGTTTCGTTGTGCTTGAAGCGAAGCAGCTGGGACGTTGTTTTGTTCGCGGAAACGGAAACAACGTTGGATTGACGACGGAAACAGCAGAGCCGTCGCTTTGACGCGGAAAACACGTCAGCTTCAAAACAACTACGCCCTATACGTCGCTTTGAACGCCGGAAACCGTAGTTGAAGTTGTTTTGACGGCAGCAACAGCAGCGATGTCACGTTTTCGCCGGAAGCAGCAGCTAAACTTCGATAGCTGCAGTAGTGACGACGCCGTTTTTCTGGCCAAATTAACGGCTAGGTCGCTTTAATCTGCAGCGACGCTGCATTGACGCCTGAACTAGCACCTTAGCGTCGTATCAGCCTGAACTCGGGATCAGATCCATTGTAGCTGACGTTCGGTAACTTGCAACGTCCTGCTAAACTCGGCTTAGATTGACATAGATTCAGTTATCGATTGGCAGACCGAATCGCGTCTACTAAACTAAGAGAAATCGTTCATGCAAGTATGCGAGAGTAGGGCTTGCGCGATCAGCAGCTCGCATAGCTGGACCTGGAGCTAGGAGCGAAGCCTGAAAGATCTGCTGGTGAAGCTAAGGAAGCGAAGAGAGGAGGTGAGGATGAGATGCCTCGGGAATGCCTAGCTTCAACTGACTGGCAGCATTGCGGCTTAATTCTGGCCACTTTCGTTCCATACCATTCGTTTTCCCGCGCTTACGAATCTGTTCCGACCGAGATGAATAAGGGGCGAGGTTCGGATCATCGAAGAGTAGTGGGCGTTGGCGATCGAGACAGTTGCTGGTTTTCACCAGAGCAAAAGATTTTGAAAAAATCGGAGGGAAAGTGGAGGTTTGGTGCGAGATCAGGCTAGGTTCGGACGGCAGAAGATTTGGGGAAGCTGGCTAGTCGTCTCGTTTCACTTCACACCAATCGTGTGTGTGCGGAAATCACTGACACTGCCGTTTTCCGTTCTCGCTAAAGCGTTCAGCTGATATACGTAGCTGCCTTGAGGAAAAGAAAATATTTGCTACAATATATGATTGAGGCCATGTAGTATTTTAATGTGCATATATTAACGCCAATAAATACCAGAGCTGTGTAGTCGGAAACACGTAAAAAATCATATTATTTCTAAAAATTATACCTACCGATGTGTTTCCACCGCAGCAGGTTGATTGTGAAGTTGGGTTCTGATAGATACCATACCGTAGTGAAAGCATCACCATGATCTACCACGCGCGTATAATTTCCATGTGCATTTAACCATGTACCCTTTCCACTCATACCGTATACCGAGACTGGTCTGTTGCTGAGCGCGAGAACTGGCTGTCAAAGGCGGGAAGCGATTCGGAATGGATGGATGTGTCTGGGGTTGACGGTCACGATCGCATCATTCAGCTGCCACCTTTCCATTATTCCCCACAATTTGTTGGCCTCCACCATGCAACTCTTGCTTGTGTTAGTTGTGGGGGCGTGTTGGCAACTCGTACTTGCTTTTTTACGTCATGTCTGCTGTTCTAGTTACTTCATCTCTGCTGCTCTAGTCTTACTACCTCCTCGCCAAGCCAGCGTCTCTGCCACATCGACCCAGGAACGTTTAAGAAGCACTTCTCCTTAGCATTCCGACGGCCCGTTCACAGCATGGCCGGCCGTCCACCGGCCTCTTCACCCGGCTGCTTGACGCTCGAAGCGGTTCCGCTCTGCTTCGTGCCTTCCGGGTGCGTCGCAGGCGACGCATACTCGCGACTCGAAGATGAGATGCGAGAGGAACGCATGGCGGATGCCGAACGGATTAGCGGCGGCTCGGTAGATAACCGTCAGGAAGGTTGCGTCCCGTCGACCGGAGGAAGAGAGATGGCGAATTTTGCTGCCCAGACTGTCGAAGCGCGCCGATGCGACGACGGTCGGGAAGAAACGGCGGGTTTACAGCGCGCCGATTCGACCACCGTTAGCAGTTCACTTAAAGGGGAGAAAGGCAAAGGAGAGCAGCGCAGTGGCGGAGACGAGAGAAGTGCGGAAGGAGCGGGGGCGAGAAGCGCGGACGGTGATGGGTCTGCCGTGCGGAAGCCTACGTGGCAGGAGCGTAGTGGCCTGCGGCATCGCTCGGGATCCAAGGGACCCTCGAAGCGCGTGCTGAAGCGAGTTGAAGCCCCCGACGTGAGAGGCGGGCGGGGCATGGGCGCGGGCGGGGCATGGGCGCGGGCGGGCGGGCGACGGGGCGTAAATTGGGGGGTAGGGGAAAAGGGGAGACATTTGCGGGAGGGGAGGGCCGCTGGAAGGGGAAGGGCGCGTGGTATGCGGGAGGGGAGCGGGGAAAGGAGTCGGCGCATGTTGGCATGGGGCAGGTTGTTTGTGGCATGGCGCAGGTTGTTTGTGGCATGGCGCAGGTTGTTTGTGGCATGGCATCCTCTTGCCCATGCGCCTCCGCGCCATTTCCCACTCCCCCAACTCCACCACCCCCCCCCCCCCCTCCCCCCTTCCCTCCTCCCTTCCCCCCCCCCCTTACCCCCCCCCCCCCCTTTTCCCACTGCAGGGCGTGATGGCAACCTACGACGACGCGTTTCTGTTCGGCCGCATCCCCCTGCCCATGCGCCTGCGCGCCATGCTCTCCAAAGGCCCCCTTGCGCGCCTCTTCCAAATCGTACCGCCCCTCCCGCCCTCCTGCTGCCGTCCTGCTGCCCTCCTGCTCTGCTGCGCCCCTGCGCGCAACACTGCTTGCTTCGCTGCGCCCTTGTCCGAATAACCGCATGGCCGCACACCTTGCACTTTCCCCTCACATCACTCCTTCCCTCTGCCTCGCACCGCACCCCCTGCCCTCTGCACCCCCTGCCCCTCGCTCCGCTCTCTGCTTCTCAACCGCACCCGTTGTTCTTCTCTGCGTCTCCCCCACAGCTGGACGTGGTGGCAACACTAGGGTCGGTCACCCTCTATGTCTGGCAAACGTGAGTGCGTTCGTGCAGTCAAGGGTGAGCAATGTGTAGCGTCTGTGAGACACACCCACATGTGTGTCAGTCACCCTCTGTAGCGTATGCCACAGCAGCCACCCTGCTTCTTGAGGCGCTTCAAAGATGTAGCGTATGCTAAACCCACCGCGTTCAACCTATCCTCACACCCTCCCCGCTCCATCCACGCTGTCCTCACATCCTTCCTCCTTCTCTTTCGTCCATCCCAATGCACCCCTCTCTGTTCCTCTCCTCTACATTGCACGCTCCATCTGATGCACCTCTCCCTTCCCTCAATGCCCTCCTTACCCTCCCTGCCCTCCCTGCCCTCCCTGCCCTCCCTGCCCTCCCTGCCCTCCCTGCCCTCCCTGCCCTCCCTGCCCTCCCTACCCCCCTCACTGCCCCTCACCTTTTCTCCTTCTCCCCGCCCCCCTTCTTGCTTCACTCCCTGCGTCCACCTTCTTGTGCAAGTACCATCCGGACATGAGCCTGGACTGGATGGTCACCCTGCAGACTGTCTTCGTTTTGTAGTCGACTCAATAAAAGCTTCGCTCCATGCGCCCTCCCTGCTACATGCGCCCTCCTGCTCCATGCGCCCTCCCTGCTCCATGCGCCCTCCCTGCTCCATGCGCCCTCCCTGCTCCCCGCCCTGCGCCCTTCCCTCCGCCCCTCAACAAGTGCAAGTACCATCCGGACATGAGCCTGGACTGGATGGTCACTCTGCAGACCTCCCCTGGCCCCCCTCCCTCCCTGTCCCCCTCCCTGCCCCTACCTGCCCCTACCTGCCCGTACCTGCCCCCACCTACCCCCACTACTGTTGCAGGTACCATCCGAACATGAGCCTGGAGTGGATGGTCACTCTGCAGACGCTCTTCAGCTCCTTCTTTCTCATTGACTACGTTATCAACATCTTTAGGTGAGAGAAGGCGGGACTCAAACGCGTCTTCCGAGGTCAACAGAGGTCAACAGAGGTCTTCAGCTCCTTCTTTCTCAGATGACGGTTCTGAAGTTTGGACACCATTGACCTCATTGACTACGTTATCTTCAGGTGCCCTCCCATAGCACCTCGCACACACCACATCCCACACCACCTCCCATTATCGCACACATCAACTCGCACACACCACATCCCACACCACCTCCCATTATCACACACATCAACTCACACACACCACATCCCACACCACCTCCCATTATCGCACACATCAACTCACACACACCACATCCCACACCACCTTCCACCGGCAGACTGTCTTCAGCTCCTTGTCTCTCATTGACTAAGCTATCAACATCTTCAGGTGCTCGCATCACCCCCTGCATCTCCCCCTGCATCTCCCCCTGCATCACCCCCTGCATCTCCCCCTGCATCACCCCCTGCATCATCCCCCCTTTCATCTGGATCACCACCACCACCACCACCACCATCACCACCACCTGACTGTATCCTGTCTCCCCCCACCCCACCATCCCCCCTGGCAGCGCGTACTCATGGGTGCAGTATGTGGTGTCGTGGCAGGGTATCCTCGACTTCATCTCATTGCTGCCTCTCCTCCTCATCCGCCTGTGAGCCCCTCCCTCCGCCTGTGAGCCGCCCGCCTTCTCCCCTCTGCCTCAGCTGCTCCTCATGCCATCTATCCATCCATCCATCCATCCATCCATCCATCCATCCATCCATCCATCCATCCATCCATCCATCCATCCATCCATCCATCCATCCATCCATCCATCCATCCAAACCACCCCCCACATTCTTCACTCATCAGTCCACATCCGTCCTTCGTCCAACACCATGCCATGCCACGCCACGCCACACCGTGGCCTGCCACAACAGGAATCGCCATGCAGGCACCAGCAACGGTGTGCGGCTGCCTCAGCTCCTCACCTTCCTCCGCGTCATCCGGTCAGCCCCTCGCCCTCTCCTCGCCCTCTCCTCGCCCTCTCCTCGCCCTCTCCTCGCCCTCTTCTCACCCTCTCCTCGCCCTCTCCTCACCCTCTCCTCGCCCTCTCCTCGCCCATCCTCGTCCTTCCTCGTCCTTCCTCGCCCATCCTCGTCCTTCCTCGTCCTTCCTCGTCCTTCCTCGTCCTTCCTCGTCCTTCCTCGTCCTTCCTCGTCCTTCCTCGCCCTCCCATTGTGCTCTCCTCGCCCTCCCCTTGCGCACTCTATTCCCCTGCATCGCCCGTGTGTTATGCTTCATGCATTGCAGCCTGCCTGCTCACAATACGGTGCCAACTACTCTCCCCTTGTCCGTCGCTCCTCTGTCCACCCCTCCCGCCTCCACCCCTCACTCCTCATCCCTCCCCCTCCCATCTCTCCCCTCCTTCACTCCTCCACTCTTCTCCTGCCACGTGGCAGCACCATATCAATCGTGAAGGCGGCTCTCACAATGCGCAATGCCATTGTTAAAGAAATGATAGCCCTTGGATTCACCATCTTCACCGTCTGTAAGCAATCTCGCCCGTCTGTGAGCCATCTTCACCATCTCGATTGTCTCTGTTGAGCCAACTATGAATCATCTGTAGACACTTGCTTTGGCTTTTTGTAATCCCCAGCCCGTCAGTTACCTCTTCAGGCCTGCTCCTACCATTATTGCACGAATGCCCTCTCCCTTTTCGCTCTTTCCTCCCCTCCGTCTTCTCTGCCTCGTCCCTTCCTCCCCTCTCTCTATCCTCTCCGTCTTCTCTGCCTCGTCCCTTCCTCCCCTCTCTCTATCCTCTCCGTCTTCTCTGCCTCGTCCCTTCCTCCCCTCTCTCTATCCTCTCCGTCTTCTCTGCCTCGTCCCTTCCTCCCCTCTCTCTATCCTCTCCGTCTTCTCTGCCTCGTCCCTTCCTCCCCTCTCTCTATCCTCTCCGTCTTCTCTGCCTCGTCCCTTCCTCCCCTCTCTCTATCCTCTCCGTCTTCTCTGCCTCGTCCCTTCCTCCCCTCTCTCTATCCTCTCCGTCTTCTCTGCCTCGTCCCTTCCTCCCCTCTCTCTATCCTCTCCGTCTTCTCTGCCTCGTCCCTTCCTCCCCTCTCTCTATCCTCTCCGTCTTCTCTGCCTCGTCCCTTCCTCCCCTCTCTCTATCCTCTCGCTCCCTCCGCTTCCCTCCGCACCACCAATGCAGTGCTGGTGGGGGCGGGCATATTCCAGTACGTGGAGTATTGGGACACAAGCGAGGCGTACAAGGCAGAGAACGACTGTCCTGCCAGCGGCTGCACCAACTTCTTTGACTCCTTCTATTTCATGGTTGTCACGGTGAGTGCATGGTGAGTGCATGGTGAGTTGGTGTCTCCTGGGAGGATCGGCTTTGCTCCATCTACTGTCACGGTGAGTTGGTGTCTCGTGAAAGGTGACTTTTGAGTCGACTCAACTGTGCCCTGCCAGCGGCTGCACCAACTAGTTTGATTCTTTCTACTTCATGCTTGTCAGGGCGAGCTCCCTGTCCCGTGAAAGGATGGCCTTGGCGCATGGTCGTCACGGTGGGTTCCTGTCTCGTAAAAGCTGGCTCTTGAGTCCACTCATAACTGCCTCGCCAGTGCCTGCATCCTCACTGCCTCGCCAGTGCCTGCATCCTCACTGCCTCGCCAGTGCCTGCATCCTCACTGCCTCGCCAGTGCCTGCATCCTCACTGCCTCGCCAGTGCCTGCATCCTCACTGCCTCGCCAGTGCCTGCATCCTCACTGCCTCGCCAGTGCCTGCATCCTCACTGCCTCGCCAGTGCCTGCATCCTCACTGCCTCGCCAGTGCCTGCATCCTCACTGCCTCGCCAGTGCCTGCATCCTCACTGCCTCGCCAGTGCCTGCATCCTGCTGCATCACACTTCTTCGCCTCCTTCTGCATGCTCACCACGGCAAGTCCATCCGTGTCCCCTGGAAGGGCAAGTCCATCCGTCTCCCCTGGAAGGGCAAGTCCATCCGTGTCCCCTGGAAGGGCAAGTCCATCCGTGTCCCCTGGAAGGGCAAGTCCATCCGTGTCCCCTGGAAGGGCAAGTCCATCCGTGTCCCCTGGAAGGGCAAGTCCATCCGTGTCCCCTGGAAGGGCAAGTCCATCCGTGTCCCCTGGAAGGGTTGCCTCTGCGCCATGCGATTCGTGGTGCTCACAGTGCGCCTCTTGCCTCTTGCAGCCACACTTGCACCTACCTGCATGCGTCTCCTCCTCTGCATCCCCCGATACACCTTAACACACATCCCCCCATACACCTCCCCTTACCTCCCTGATACACCGCACAGGGGGCGACGGTGGGGTACGGGGACGTGACGCCGCACTCAGCATGGGGGCGCGTGGTGGCCGTGTTCACCATCTTCGCAGCCCTCACATACATCCCGCTGCAGATCGGCCGCCTCGTTGAACTCGCCTCCAACCGGTGAGTGTAGCGCACCGCTTGCTCCCCGCGCTGGAGGGTGTGGGGCCTGGCAGCAGTGAGCAGACTGGCACGCACTGGTGATTCCTGACTGCCGCTCTTCACCATCTTCGCAGCCCTCACATACATTCCACTGCAGATCGGCCGCCTTGTTGAACTCGTTTCCAACCAGTGACCCCACTCCTTGGCTGTCGGACAAAGGCGCGCGCGCGGACCAAGGCGCGCGCGCGGACCAAGGCGCGCGCCCGGACCAAGGCGCGCGCCCGGACCAAGGCGCGCGCCCGGACCAAGGCGCGCGCCCGGACCAAGGCGCGCGCGCGGACCAAGGCGCGCGCGCGGACCAAGGCGCGCCCGCGGACCAAGGCGCGCCCGCGGACCAAGGCGCGCCCGCGGACCAAGGCGCGCCCGCGGACCAAGGCGCGCGCGCGGACCAAGGCGCGCGCCCGGACCAAGGCGCGCGCCCGGACCAAGTCGCGCGCCCGGACCAAGGCGCGCGCGCGGACCAAGGCACGCGCGCGGACCAAGGCGCGCGCCCGGACCAAGGCGCGCGCCCGGACCAAGGCGCGCGCCCGGGCCAAGGCGCGCGCCCGGGCCAAGGCGCGCGCCCGGGCCAAGGCGCGCGCCCGGACCAAGGCGCGCGCCCGGACGAAGGCGCGCGTCCGGACCAAGGCGCGCGGCGCGCGCGCCCCCGGACCAAGGCGCGCCCCCGGACCAAGGCGCGCGCCCGGACCAAGGCGCGCGCGCGGACCAAGGCGCGCGCGCGGACCAAGGCGCGCGCGCGGACCAAGGCGCGCGCCCGGACCAAGGCGCGCGCCCGGACCAAGGCGCGCGCCCGGACCAAGGCGCGCGCCCGGACCAAGGCGCGCGCCCGGACCAAGGCGCGCGCCCGGGCCAAGGCGCGCGCCCGGGCCAAGGCGCGCGCCCGGGCCAAGGCGCGCGCCCAGGCCAAGGCGCGCGCCCGAGCCAAGGCGCGCGCCTGAGCCAAGGCGCGCGCCCGGACCAAGGCGCGCGTCCGGACCAAGGCGCGCGCGCCCGGACCAGCGCGCGCGCCCGGACCAAGGCGCGCGCGCGGACCAAGGCGCGCGCGCGGACCAGGGCGCGCGCGCGGACCAGGGCGCGCCCCCGGACCAGGGCGCGCGCCCGGACCAAGGCGCGCGTCCGGACCAAGGCGCGCGCCCCGACCAAGGCGCGCGCGCGGACCAAGGCGCGCGCGCCGGGACCAAGGCGCGCGCCGGGGCCAAGGCGCGCGCCCGGACCAAGGCGCGCGCCCGGACCAAGGGGCGCGCGCCCGGAGCAAGGCGCGCGCGCGGACCAAGGCGCGCGCGCGGACCAAGGCGCGCGCGCGGACCAAGCCGCGCGCGCGGACCAAGGCGTGCGCCCGGACCAAGGCGCGCGCGCGGACCAAGGCGCGCGCCCGGACCAAGGCGCGCGCCCGGACCAAGGCGCGCGCCCGGACCTAGGCGCGCGCGCGCGGACCAAGGCGCGCGCCCGGACCAAGGCGCTCGCCCGGACCAAGGCGCGCGCCCGGACCAAGGCGCGCCCCCGGACCAAGGCGCGCCCCCGGACCAAGGCGCGCGCCCGGACCAAGGCGCGCGCCCCGACCAAGGCGCGCGCGCGGACCAAGGCGCGCGCGCCGGGGCCAAGGCGCGCGCCCGGACCAGGGCGCGCGCCCGGACCAAGGCGCGCGCCCGGACCAAGGCGCGCGCGCGCGGACCAAGGCGCGCACGCAGACCAAGGCGCGCGCGCGGACCAAGGCGCGCGCCCGGACCAAGGCGCGCGCCCGGACCAAGGCGCGCGCCCGGACCAAGGCGCGCGCCCGGACCAAGGCGCGCGCCCGGGCCAAGGCGCGCGCCCGGACCAAGGCGCGCGCCCGGACCAAGGCGCGCGCCCGGACCAAGGCGCGCGCCCGGACCTAGGCGCGCGCGCGCGGACCAAGGCGCGCGCCCGGACCAAGGCGCTCGCCCGGACCAAGGCGCGCGCCCGGACCAAGGCGCGCCCCCGGACCAAGGCGCGCCCCCGGACCAAGGCGCGCGCCCGGACCAAGGCGCGCGCCCCGACCAAGGCGCGCGCGCGGACCAAGGCGCGCGCGCCGGGGCCAAGGCGCGCGCCCGGACCAGGGCGCGCGCCCGGACCAAGGCGCGCGCCCGGACCAAGGCGCGCGCCCGGACCAAGGCGCGCGCCCGGACCAAGGCGCGCGCCCGGACCAAGGCGCGCGCGCGGACCAAGGCGCTCGCGCGGACCAAGGCGCGCGCCCGGACCAAGGCGCGCGCCCGGACCAAGGCGCGCGCCCGGACCAAGGCGCGCGCGCGGACCAAGGCGCGCGCCCGGACCAAGGCGCGCGCCCGGACCAAGGCGCGCGCCCGGACCAAGGCGCGCGCCCGGACCAAGGCGCGCGCCCGGACCAAGGCGCGCGCCCGGACCAAGGCGCGCGCCCGGACCAAGGCGCGCGCCCGGACCAAGGCGCGCGCCCGGACCAAGGTGCGCCCCTAAACCAAGGCGCGCCCCCGGACCAAGGCGCGCCCCCGGACCAAGGCGCGCCCCCGGACCAAGGCGCGCGCCCGGACCAAGGCGCGCGCGCGGACCAAGGCGCGAGCCCGGACCCTGGCGCGCGCCCGGACCAAGGCGCGCGCCCGGACCAAGGCGCGCGCCCGGACCATGGCGCGCGCCCGGACCAAGGCGCGCGCCCGGACCAAGGCGCGCGCCCGGACCAAGGCGCGGGCCCGGACCAAGGCGCGGGCCCGGACCAAGGCGCGGGCCCGGACCAAGGCGCGCGCCCGGACCAAGGCGCGCGCCCGGACCAAGGCGCGCGCCCGGACCAAGGCGCGCGCGCGGACCAAGGCGCGCGCGCGGACCAAGGCGCGCGCCCGGACCAAGGCGCGCGCCCGGACCAAGGCGCGCGCCCGGACCAAGGCGCGCGCCCGGACCAACTCACGCGCCCGGACCAAGGCGCGCGCCCGGACCAAGGCGCGCGCCCGGACCAAGGCGCGCGCCCGGACCAAGGCGCGCGCCCGGACCAAGGCGCGCGCCCGGACCAAGGCGCGCGCCCGGACCAAGGCGCGCGCCCGGACCAAGGCGCGCGCCCGGACCAAGGCGCGCGCCCGGACCAAGGCGCGCGCCCGGACCAAGGCGCGCGCCCGGACCAAGTCGCGCGCCCGGACCTTGGCGCGCGCCCGGACCTTGGCGCGCGCCCGGACCTTGGCGCGCGCGCGGACCTTGGCGCGCGCGCGGACCTTGGCGCGCGCGCGGACCAAGGCGCGCGCGCGGACCTAGGTGCGCGCGCGGACCAAGGCGCGCGCCCGGACCAAGGCGCGCGCCCGGACCAAGGCGCGCCCCCGGACCAAGGCGCGCGCCCGGACCAAGGCGCGCGCCCGGACCAAGGCGCGCGCGCGGACCAAGGCGCGCGCCCGGACCAAGGCGCGCGCCCGGACCAAGGCGCGCGCCCGGACCAAGGCGCGCGCCCGGACCAAGGCGCGCGCCCGGACCAAGGCGCGCGCCCGGACCAAGGCGCGCGCCCGGACCAAGGCGCCCGCCCGGACCAAGGCGCGCGCGCGGACCAAGGCGCGCGCGCGGACCAAGGCGCGCGCGCGGACCAAGGCGCGCGCGCGGACCAAGGCGCGCGCGCGGACCAAGGCGCGCGCGCGGACCAAGGCGCGCGCCCGGACCAAGGCGCGCGCCCGGACCAAGGCGCGCGCCCGGACCAAGGCGCGCGCCCGGACCAAGGCGCGCGCCCGGACCAAGGCGCGCGCCCGGACCAAGGCGCGCGCGCGGACCAAGGCGCGCGCGCGGACCAAGGCGCGCGCCCGGACCAAGGCGCGCGCCCGGACCAAGGCGCGCGCCCGGACCAAGGCGCGCGCCCGGACCAAGGCGCGCGCCCGGACCAAGGCGCGCGCCCGGACCAAGGCGCGCGCCCGGACCAAGGCGCGCGCGCGGACCAAGGCGCGCGCGCGGACCAAGGCGCGCGCCCGGACCAAGGCGCGCGCCCGGACCAAGGCGCGCGCGCGGACCAAGGCGCGCGCCCGGACCAAGGCGCGCGCCCGGACCAAGGCGCGCGCCCGGACCAAGGCGCGCGCCCGGACCAAGGCGCGCGCGCGGACCTAGGCGCGCGCGCGGACCAAGGCGCGCGCCCGGACCAAGGCGCGCGCGTGGACCAAGGCGCGCGCCCGGACCAAGGCGCGCGCCCGGACCAAGGCGCGCGCCCGGACCAAGGCGCGCGCCCGGACCAAGGCGCGCGCCCGGACCAAGGCGCGCGCCCGGACCAAGGCGCGCGCCCGGACCAAGGCGCGCGCCCGGACCAAGGCGCGCGCCCGGACCAAGGCGCGCGCCCGGACCAAGGCGCGCGCCCGGACCAAGGCGCGCGCCCGGACCAAGGCGCGCGCGCGGACCAAGGCGCGCGCCCGGACCAAGGCGCGCGCCCGGACCAAGGCGCGCGCCCGGACCAAGGCGCGCGCCCGGACCAAGGCGCGCGCCCGGACCAAGGCGCGCCCCCGGACCAAGGCGCGCCCCCGGACCAAGGCGCGCGCCCGGACCAAGGCGCGCGCCCGGACCAAGGCGCGCGCCCGGACCAAGGCGCGCGCCCGGACCAAGGCGCGCGCCCGGACCAAGGCGCGCGCCCGGACCAAGGCGCGCGCGCGGACCAAGGCGCGCGCGCGGACCAAGGCGCGCGCGCGGACCAAGGCGCGCGCGCGGACCATGGCGCGCGCCCGGACCAAGGCGCGCGCCCGGACCAAGGCGCGCGCCCGGACCAAGGCGCGCGCCCGGACCAAGGCGCGCGCCCGGACCAAGGCGCGCGCCCGGACCAAGGCGCGCGCGCGGACCTAGGCGCGCGCGCGGACCAAGGCGCGGTCGCGGACCAAGGCGCGCGCCCGGACCAAGGCGCGCGCCCGGACCAAGGCGCGCGCCCGGACCAAGGCGCGCGCGTGGACCAAGTTGAAGCTGTTGCTTTTATATCACTCCTCATAAATATAGATCCCACGCTATTGCAAAGTGTACTTAACGAAGGTTTTTCTGGAGGAGAAAAAAAACGCCATGAGATTCTGCAGATGGCTTTGCTAGACCCTAATATAAGTATCCAAGATGAGACTGCTTCTTGATTAGATATAGTGCCAACTGGCAGTGCCGTGCCAACTGGCAGTGGTGAGTCGTGACCACCACTGTTCACCATATTCGCAGCCCTCACATGCATCCTGCTGCAGATCGCCCTCACATGCGTCCTGCTGCATATCGCCCTCACATGCATCCCGCTGCAGATCGGCTGTCTCGTTGAACTCGCCTCCAACGGGTCAGCCTAACGCACCCCTCGCTCCCCCTGCCCTTTCTTTCCATCTCTCTTCTCCTTCTCTTCCTCCAAGTGTCATCACTGCCAGTGCTCTCACACGCCATGATACCCCCACCCCTCCCCTATCCTCCCGTTTTTCCTTTCCCCACTCCCAGCCCCTACGGCTGGTGGCTGTCACGGTACCGCACGGTGGGGGTGCGGTTTGTGGTGATCTGGGGGGTGTCGTCTGTGGAGTGTGCACGTGACCTGCTCTGCTCCTTCTTCTCGCCTCTGCACAACGGCCGTACGTGTCACTCTGGAGTCACGTTTCAGAGTTTCCAATCTTGTCTGTTTGTTTGAGAATTCTCAAAGGGGAGTCTGTCTAGTCTACACATGACCTGCTCTGCTCCTTCTTCTCGTCGTTGCACAACGGCCGTACCGTACGTGCACCCACCCACCTCGCTCCTCTCCTTGACCGGCTTGACTTTGTTGAATTGTCTCATTCGCCACGCGTGTCTCGCTGATCCGTTGCTGGACTGCACCCTTTGCACTCTCCCTTACCGTCTCCAACTCCCCGTATTCTCCTATCACACCAACCCTTGCCTTGCCATGGCCAAGAGGCATCTTTCTCTCGTAACCACTTACCCGTCTACCTCCTGCCTCCCTCTCATCGTTGCGAGGACTAAGTGGTTAGCACCACTTACCTACCTTTCTCTTCCTATCCTTTCGCTTTCTCCCCCTGCCCCACCAGGAGTCCCGGTCTATCCACTTAAGGTGGTCTTCATGGGCCCAGACCCCCCCTCGTGAGTTCCCAACCCTCTCTATTCACCCTCTTTTCGCCACCACCCACTCGTGCCCGAGCCTCTTCTCCCTCCTCATGCTTGCTCCCACAAACCCATTTTCTCCTCCCTCCCTCTTCCCTGCATCTCGCCTCTCACTCCCCCAGCTTCGCCTTCAAGGCACTACTGGGCTTCTTCCAGGGCAAGGCGAGGTACATGTAGGGGCAGATGGGGCCAAAGTCACATGCCCATTGTGTGCGGATCATGAGAATTCTCTCCTTGACTTCACACCCTCTCCCGCTCTCCCGCGCCCCCTCTCCCCCAGCTTCGCCTTGAAGGCCCTTTTGGGCTTCTTCCAGGGCAAGGCGAGGTACATGTAGGGGCAGATGGGGCCAAAGTCACATGCCCATTGTGTGCGGATCATGAGAATTCTCTCCTTGACTTCACACCCTCTCCCGCTCTCCCGCGCCCCCTCTCCCCCAGCTTCGCCTTGAAGGCCCTGTTGGGCTTCTTCCAGGGCAAGGCGAGCTACATGCAGGGGCAGATGGACCGTCCAGATGACTTTGATCGTGTGGCTGCCAGGGACGCCCTCGCCATCTACCTCCTGGCCAATAGGAGCGCAGAGGTGGGTGTGTGTTGGCCAATGGGAGCGGAGAGATGGGGGGGCGCCTTCTAATAGGAGTGCAATGCAAAGGTGGGTATGTGCGTGCACCCCCCCTGCATAGACCCCCCCTGCATACACCCCCCTGCATACACCCCCCTGCATGCACCCCCCCTGGATACACCCCCCCTGTGATCCACCACTGCGCTCGTCTCTGTGTGCGTGTGTGTGCGTGTGTGTGCGTGTGTGTGCGTGTGTGTGCATGTGTGTGCGTGTGTGTGTGTGTGTGTGCGTGTGTGCGTGTGTGTGTGTGTGTGCGTGTGTGCGTGTGTGCGTGCGTGTGTGCGTGCGTGCGTGTGTGTGTGTGTGCGTGTGTGTGCGTGTGTGTGCGTGTGTGTGCGTGTGTGTGCGTGTGTGTGCGTGTGTGTGTGTGCGTGTGTGTGCGTGTGTGTGTGTGTGCGTGTGTGTGCGTGTGTGTGTGTGTGCGTGTGTGTGCGTGTGTGTGCGTGTGTGTGTGTGTGTGCGTGTGTGCGTGTGTGCGTGTGTGTGCCTGCTCCACCTTGCCTGCCGGCATGACTCAGAGAGTGAGGACACGGCACAGCTCATCTGGGGGCTCGTGGCGCATCGGTCGTGCCCTAAGTGCCCTACATGATCCATTACACCACTGTGCTGCATGTGTGCGCTGCATGTGTGTGCTGCATGTGTGTGCTGCATGTGTGTGCTGCATGTGTGTGCTGCATGTGTGTGCTGCATGTGTGTGCTGCATGTGTGTGCTGCATGTGTGTGCTGCATGTGTGTGCTGCATGTGTGTGCTGCATGTGTGCGTGTGTGTGTGCCTGCCACCACCTTACCTGCATGCAGGACCCAGAGACTGAGGATACGGCGCAGCTCATCCGGGGGCTTGTGGCGCATCGGTCGTGCCGGGGGCGCGTGAGAGTGGTGGTGGAGCTGCTGCGCCCGCAGGTGAGGGAGTGGTGGGAAGCGGTGGCAAGAGGTGGCAAGAGGTTTTGTCTCCAGATGCTTTGTGTGTGCAAGCACAGGCGAGGAGGGAGAGAGGGGAGAATAGGGGGTAGGGAGGGGGTGTGGGGGGGTTCTGGGTGGTGGGATTTCTCGTGCCATGCTTTGTTCCGTGCCATATCCTTCACTCCCCATTGGCATGAACGGCAGGTGGAGGGGAGGGGAGCGATGTGGGGGGAGGTGGGTGCGTTGGAGCTCTTCTGCCCCGACCCCACGCGCTTCTGCCTCCTCGCCCGCAGGTACTGCTGTGTGTGCGGGTGAGGTGCTGGCTGGGGGAGGTGGTAAGTGCGGGAGGTGGGGGCATTGGAGCTCTTCAGCCTCCTGGCCCGCAGGTACTGTGGGGAGGTTGGGTGGGGGGATGTGGGGGAGGTGGTATCTCTTCTGTAACCGTCATCACTCTCAACTCCCGTTTCATTTCATTCCCCCCCACATACACACATCCCAACACCCCCAATGCCAGCACCATCTCATGGCTGCTGTGAGGTCCTGCCCGTGAGCCTCTTCTCATTGTGCCCTCCACTCTGCGCTTTTTCCTCCGTCACTTCACGTCCCCTACTTCCCCCCTCCCTGCCATCTCACCAAACCCCTTACTACCACCCCATGTGCGAGGTCCCGGCCATGAGTACGCTGCTCACAAACCCCTTCTCATCACGCCCACCACTCTAAGCTTCCTCTGCATGCACCCACTCCCCCCCCCCCAACACATCCCAACTCTCCCCACTCGCCACCGCAGCTGCGAGGTACCCGCCGTGAGCACGCTCGTGACGAACCTGTTCTCGTCGGGCCCGCCACTGCCGCCGCTGCGAGCCTCCGCGCACTTGAACGAGTATACGCAGGGCCAGCAGATGGAGGCCTTCCCCCTGCTGTTGCCGCCCGCCTTCCACGGCATGCTGTTTGAAGCGGTACGTGGGGGCTGCAGTGATGCAGGTAGTTATGTGTGGGGCGGGTAGGTGGATGAGGAGGAGGGTTTGTGCGAGTGCTGGTGAGTCAGGGGCCTTCACCATGCTGCTGCCGCCCGCCTTCCACGGCATGCTCTTTGAAACGGTATGCTATGGGGACTGGAGTGAAACCCTTTGATAGGGTTCTCGTAAGCTGGTAGGCTGTGTGGGTTGGTGGGTGAAGAGGTGGGTTTGTGGGAGCGGTGGTGAATGAAGGGCAGCAGATGGAGGTCTTCCTTATGCTGCTGCCACCTGCCTTCCACGGCATGCTCTTCGAAGCGGTATGCAGGGACAGCAGTGACAAATCAGTGCGATCGGATTCGCACTCTGCTCCTTGTGCTGTGCTATCTTCTCTGACTTGTGTCCTGGTCAGTTGCTCTGTTGCATTGTGCCGCAGCAACGCAACATCTGCCCTTTGAGTCGGCTCACGAGTCTCCTCCTTGTGCGTTGTTGTGTGTGGTTGTGCCATGCCCCTGCATCAGCTGGTGGAGGTGATCTATCGTGCGTACCGAGTCATCCTATTCGCAGTCGACATCTGCCTTGATGAAACGCCAGATGAAACGCTAGATGAAACGCCAGATGAAACGGCAGATGAAACGGCAGGTGAAATGCGTCCACCGCAGAGTCTTTCCGGGTCCTCAAAGCCCCTTGCCACCCCATCCATCGTGCACTACGGCCCCCGCCTTCACCCCCTCAAGAAATTCGTCCGCTCCTCCACCCTCCTCCCTGCTGCCTTTGGCGTGAGCAGAGAGGGAATGCAGGAGGGCGTGCAGGGGGGGGAGCAGGGAGCAGAGGAGGAGACGCACGTAGGAGGTGGGGATGGGGATGGTAGGGGGAGAGCAGGAGGGAGAGGGGCAGCAGATGGTGCCACTGCCAGCTTGAGGAAGATCTTTCTGTTTCCACGGGGACATGTGATTGGTCCGCGGGATGTGGGGCATGTGATAGCGCCGGATCTTGCTACAGTGGAGCAGATCTCCCGGGCGGCGCACGCGATGTCTGCAAGGACGGCGGGCGGCAGCTGGGGCGGCATGCGCCGGGCATGTAGTGAAAGGGGGGGAGGGGGGGACGTGGACGAGCGGTTCGAACAAGTTGTTGAGATTCACGAGGGAGGGGAGGAGAGGGGGGAGAACTGGAAGGAGGTGGAGGAGGCGGAGGAAATGGAGGAGAATTGGGGGGAGCAGGAGAGGCGTGGAGGGGAGAGAAAAGGCAGAGAAGGTAATTCAGGTCATGACAGCACTGGTGTGCAATCCACCGCTGCCTCTGCCTCAGGCGAACCTCTTGTGTCGTATGACTGGGGCCATGCCACGCCTTTCAAGGTTCCCAAGGGGCGGCCACAGGCTGTCAAGCTTCTGCAAATGATGGCAAAAGCATGTGCCACGTGGGCCCGCGCCTCCAGTGCTGCCTGGTCAGCTGAGGCCATGCTGACGTGGCGCCAGATCAGCCTTGAGAGGGCGGTTGAGGGGGCGAGTGGGGAGGAGAGCGCAGAGGGATTGGTGGAAGAAGGGGAGGAGGAGCAGGTGGAGGAGGAGGAAGAGGAGGAGGAGGAGGCAGTGGGTAGACGATTGAGTGGGAGTGGAGGAAGCAGGGCGAGCGGAGAGGCTGAGGAGGTTAGGGAAGGTGACGGCAGGAAGAGCAGCAGTGGGAAGAGCAGCATTGGGAAGAGCAGCGCTGGGAAGAGCAGCGACAGGAGGCGCAGCGTGTGTGAGTGGGTGTCAGAGGAGTCACTAGCTCGCCAGCTGTTCCAAGCCATGCATGCCGCTGCTACCCACCGCACCTCCCTCCTCCTCTCCCGCTCTGCCTCCTCCACGACCCGCCACGCCCCGGCCTCCTCTGCCCGTCCCGCCTCTGCCTCGTGGCCCTGTGGGCCCTCGCACGCGCCGCTTGCTCACTCGTCGACCCAGCACGGGAAAGAGGAGAGGCAGAGCGAGGCGGGAGGGGAACAGGAGGGCAGTGAGTACGCTGCAGAGGAGCAGCAGCAGCAGCAGGACGACGACGATGCCCTCATGGCCAAGAGCAGGGCCCTGGCCCGGCAGCTATCCAGACAAGTCTCCTCTCGTGCACTCCCCCGTACCCTCTCCCGCACTCCTTCACGCACTTCCTCCCGTGCTCCTTCCCGTGCTGCCTCCATCTCCTCCACCCGCTTTGCCTGCCAGCCCTCTGTTGCGTCGTCGTCTCTCATCTCCGCTCCCCCCGCGCCCCAGCCGCTGTCTCTCGCGGCGTCAATCAGTGCAGTCCTTGACTGGCCGCCCGCTTGGCCCTCCCGCCGCTCCTCCCTCTCTTCTCGTCGCTCCTCCCTCTCCTCTCACCGCACCCCCTCCCACCGCGCTGCACTCTCCTCTCACCGCGCCTTACCCCCCATTCACAGCGCGTCACCCCCCTCTCATGCTTCGGAAGGCGTGACCAGATGCACTGGCACAGCTGGATCGAGCATGGGCGAAGCACGAGTGGGGCCGTCTGGGCACACAAGAGCAGGTCCATCTAGCCGCACAGAAGCAGGTTCTGAGAACGTGCACGAAGCTGAGGGGGACGAAGCAGGCGTGGGCCCAGCAGCAGGCATGGATGCAGCAGCAGCCAGTGTACTGGTCACTGAACCACCTGCACTGCCCGCCCGCCCGCACCCATCCACGCTGCAGCGCAACCGCAGGAAGATTGCGGCCCACCTGCAGAGCCGCACACTGGCAGCGTTGGCAGGGGTGCTGCCGCGCGCGCACGTGCTGGTGCTCATGCAGAGCGACTGCTGGCCGCACTCCCTTCACTACTTTGTCAGCTTCCTTAGAAGGGACGCTGGCGCGTGGGGTGAAGGAGGAGGAGGAGAGGGTGAAGGCGGGTCATTTAAGGAGGGCGCAGGGGAACAGGATGATATGGAGGGGGGGGATGAAGGGAGGAGGGAGGGCGCGGAGGGGTGTGTACCGATCGTGTTTCTACGGCTACACGAGCCGAGTGAGGAGCAGTGGGGGTGTATGGGGCATCACCAGCACGTCTACTTCATCAGAGGCTCGCCCATCTCCCCCATGGACCTCATTCGAGCCGGCGCTCTCTCTGCAGGTGAGCTTCCAGTCGATTCAAAACTCGTTTCCCTGCAGCTGCAGGAGCCAAGTAAGGAGCAGTGGGCGTGTATGGGGCACCACCAGCACGTGTACTTCATCAGAGGCTCGCCCATCTCCCCCATGGACCTTCTCCGAGCCGGTGCTCTCTCTGCAGGTGCATGCTGTGCTCCTGCCCACCCACCTGCCCAGCCTGATTTTATAGACGCCTCAAAAACTCGTCTCTAACCTGGATCTCCTTCTGAGAATTCTCAAAAGTGACTCCCATGGGTCTCCTCCGAGCCAGCGCTCTCACTGCAGGTGCTTGCAATCCTGCCCTCCCACCCTGCAACAGCTTCCTTACTCGTATAGCCAATCAGTCTGTTGTTTTCCTTGAGCCATCCGCATGCATTATTCATGTCATCTCCATGCCATCTCCATGCCATCTCCTGCCATCCCCTGCTATGCCCCGCCCCTCTCCTCTCTCCCCCCCAGCCAAAATAGTCATAATGGCGTCAGACACCATTGCTGCGCCCAGCACAGTGGGGGCAGCGGGGGAGGAGGGCGACGGCAGCAGCGCCAGCACAGCAGTGGGCGCGGCCAAATTCGCGGAGGACGTGGAGAACGTTCAGATCGCTGCTGCTGTCGACCGCCTCCTCTCCTCCCACTCCGCCTCCCTTTCCTCCTCCCACTCCGCCTCCCTTTCCTCCTCCCACTCCGCTGCCTTTCTCACCCCCCTGCATCTCACCGGTACCGTCACCTTTGTTTCCTCGGCCTACCAACAGCACCCTGCACCCTCAGCACCGTACGCCCATGCAACACAACCCCAACAGTTCACCCACACCAACCGTGTGCTGTGTGAGGTGCAGCACGAGGAGAGCTTCCAGTTCCTGCCGCCGCTCAGCGTGCTGCACGGCGCACTTCGCCAGTGGCGAGTGTCCCGCCGTACCACGCTTATCAACCACTCGCTGCTGCTGCGCTGTGCGCCCGCCTTCATTGACGGCCGCGCCTCCTGCCCTGCCGGCCTGTTGTTTCTCATGTGAGTCCTCAGGCCTAAATGAAGCCTCAGGTGAACCCTCAGGTGAGACCTCATGTGATATGAGAAACACGTCGTGATTTGAGATTGCTCAGATGCACTCAGGCCAGTCGTCCCTCCAAAGAACCCCCTTCCTTATTGACTACAATCTGTGCTCTCCCTCAACCACCTCATTTGACCAACAACCTGTATTCTCTAACCTGCTGGATGACACAATTTCTGGGTCGGCTTAAAAACCCTCAACCCCCGTGACCAACAACCCGTGTTCTCTAACCTCTAACCTGATCCCTTCTCTGTCCCCCTGCCCCTCTCCACCCTCCACCCTCTGCCATCCGCCAGCCATGGCGCCCTCCTAAACCGCAACCTGAGTACGCTGGCAGACCTTCTCATTGCAGGCGGGCCTATTTATGCTCCTCACGAGGCACTGGCACTGCTCACACACCACCGGCAGCAGCAACAGCAGCAAGAGCAACAGCAGCAGCAGGGGCAGCAGCAAAGGCAGCAGCAACAGTCCACTTCTCCCAACACTGCCGCAACTGCACCTTCCAACACTCTCCCCACCAGCTCTGACTCCCACTCCAACCCTCAGCACCGCTCTGTACCACTCCGAAGAGAGCTGGTGCTGGAGGCAGTACCAGCAGAGTTTGTGGGAGGCTCGTTTGAGAGTCTCTTCCTGGGGCTGCTGCAGCGGTACGGGCAGCTGGCTGTGGGGCTGTATCGCTGTGGGGGGGTGGAGCAGGGGGGCCCTCCAGCGCCCTATGTGGCCACCAACCCTGCTGCTGATTCCACTGTGGGCCCCCATGACCGCATGTATGTGGTGCGCTAGTAACCCAGCGGTTACTGTAGATCGATCATTGCGATGCAATAATTATTGAGGGATTAGAGAGCATCTTTAGGAAAAGATAGGAAGAGCTGATTTGTGCACAGCACATGGCAGCGTGATGCAGCTGCACCTCCTCAGTAGGCATACAGTTGGGCCCGTGAGTGCTAATGAATTCAAAACAGTATATTTGGGTACTGTTTTACACAAGTTAACTATACGACATCAGTTCGCTAGGTGGCTATAAGTTAGCTACAACTACACCTAGCTACAAGCAGAGCACAGGCAGCCATGGCTGCCTTATGACACACCAGCTCACAGCCCAGCAACATTTCAACACCACAAGCACCTAGCCCATGAGCAACCCGAAGAGGCTTCGATTTCAACACACATAGAGAGAGAACTAAACAAGCGTGCCACAGAGGAGCGGCGGGAGTTTTGCTGCTGAGTGTGCTGCACCAAGAGGGGCGTCGTTGGGAGGGCAACAACGGACGAATTACAGCATCGTGCATGGACCTCCCTCTCCATGTCAACTGTCCTTAGGCTTCTCATTCCTGCCACTTGTGGTAACCACTATTTTCTTCCTGCCCGATTCACCCTCCTCTTATGCTGCCTGCCCCTCCTCACTGCCCTCACTCATCATCTCTATCTCAATCTCCCCACCCGACCTCCCCGCTCCCCCCTCCCCCTCCTGCTGCCTCAATCCATCCTGCCCATGCACCCTGCTATCATACACCTCGAGCGTCTGCCTGGCAGCCCCGCCAGCAGCCACAGCAGCGAGCACAGCAGCAGCTGCGGACTCCAGAGCAGCGTGGTCTGCTGCTCTCCTGGCTACGAGCCCTTCGTCTAGGTGGCTCATGGTGGTGTCGCTCTCCCCGTCGCCGTATCCCACCACACTACCGCTCTCGTACACCTCCCCGCCCTCCACGCCCACTGCTGACATGAGCACCTCCCGCACTTGCTGGATGGACGGCCGGCTCTCCTCTCGCACCTGCCGCGGGGAACACACAGGGTTGGGGAACACACACGGGGTGGGTTGGAGAAGCATGTGGAGCATAGGACACTGTTGTGTATAGCAGCAGACAGCAGTTTGTTGCTGCCCTCCCATGCCCACCGCCCCCGACACACCCCCCTTCAACCTCCACACAGTACCAGCAAAAGGCCGCCCTCTCCTCACCTGAGTGCAGTCCTGTGCGAGCTCAATCACGGGCACGAGCTGGCTGGGCGGCACGCCGCCCATGGTGACGAGAGCGCCGTCCAGCAGGCCAGCATAGTCGTCCCTTCGCATGAAGAACTGCTGCACCCACACGATGAGCGTGCTTGAGTCGTCCAGCATGGCCCTCCGCCCCGACACCAGCTCAAACAGCAGTATCCCAAACGAGTACACGTCGCTCGCTGCAGTGAGCCTCTTCGTGTCTGCATACTGAGGGTCCAGGTACCCAAAGGAGCCCCGCGGGGAGATGGACCGGAGCGGGTCGTCTTCGTCGTCGCAGGGGACTTGGAACTCCGCGAGTTTGCCCTTGCTGTGCGCCGTGATCACCACGTTGCACGACTTCACATCCCCATGCACCATGCCGCCTCGCCACGCCTGCTCGCCCCCTCCCAAGGGCCCACCACGTGTGGACCCCAGGGGAGTGCCGGCCCCCACGCTGAGGCCCGTGCTGCCCTCGTGGGCCGAGAGGACGGGGGTGTGCGGGTCGTTGAGGGGTGTGGTGGAGTTGGGAGAGGTGGAGGCGGCGTGGGGAGGGGTGGAGGGGCCCTTGGGAGGGGTGTGCATGAGGGTGGAGGGGGAGGCGGTGTGGAGGTATTCGAGGGCCTCTGCCACTCCCAGGGCGATCACCATGCGCTCCCTCCATGACAGCGGCGCTCCACTCGCCTCTGCAGGTCGCGAGGAGGAGGAAGAGAGGGAACACCTTATCAGTACGTTACTGAGAAGAAGGAGCAGACGGAGCATGGCATAGTTAACGATGAAGAGCTGGAGGGAAAGGCGAGAAAAACAGGCACAGAGGTGAGGGGTGGTGTACCGTGGAGGCGGTCGAAGAGGGTCTCCCTTGTGGGCTCAAACACGAGGGCAAAGTTTCCATCCTCGTAGGCATAGCCTCGGAAGGCAAAGAGGCAGGGGTGGCGCGCGGCGTGAATACGCTTGACCCGTGCCACAAACTCCTCCTTCATCGCGTCCAGATACACCCCGGGGAAGCTCACCAGCTGCACCGACAGATGCTCCTGCCCGCCCCCCCCCACCACCTTGGGTGCCGCCACTGCCGCACTGCCAGGTGGCGCAGGCGAGGCAACAGCAGCAGCAGCAGCAGCAGCGGCAGGTGCGGGAGGTGGGGGGGTGGTGGTGGTGGCGGTGGGGGGGAGGAGGAAGGTGGCGTCGTAGATGGCGCGCGGGTCGTTGGTGTTGGCCAGGTGCGTGAAGCAGTCCGTGGCATGGTTCAGCTGTGTGAACGAGAAGCGCGGGATGTCTAAGGGGGGAGAAAAGGGGGGGTGAGCAGGAGGAGAGGACAGTAGGGTGGTGGGAGGGAGAGGAGGGTGGGAGGGTAGAAAAAGGCGTGGATGCAGGCTCTGAGTTGAGAGAAGATAGCGCCTGCACTGCACAGCCGGCTAGGGACGAGGCAGTAGCAGCAGCGAGCAGTGGCAATGAAGTTAAACAAGGAAGGGATGTGATTAGAGGGAGACACTGACCTGGCGGCATGCCTGGCAGGTAGGTGTCTGGCGGGGGCGCTTTGAGCTCTCCAGTCTCCACGTCCTCTGCAACACGCCATGCCATGCCATGCCGTGCCATGCCACGGATGAAAGGACGTAACAAGCACACAGAAAACAGCAGAAACTAGCAAATAAGCCAGGGAACACTTATCAAGGTGATTCACCAGCCAGTCCTCCACCCACTCCTCCCAGACCCACATCTCTCAATCCCAACACCATTCCCCCCAGCCCGGCCACTATTCCTTGGCGTTGACCACCACCTTGGCCGCTGGCAGCATGGCTTTGGGCCTGCCCTGCTGCATGCGCTGCACCCCCGCGTATGCAGCGTGCTTTTCAGCTTTCCCCAACCCCTCTCTCCCTGCACCCCCACCCATTCCACTCACTGTATTCCTTAGCCTTCACCACCACCTTGGTCGCTGGCAGCACGGCCTTGGGTCTGCCCTGCCTCATGCGCTTCACCCCCGCGTATGCTGCACCTGCTGCCACCGCCACCGCGAGCAGCACCAGCACTGTAATGGTGAGAGCGATGCTGAGGGAGGATGTGGTGGACGCGCTCTGAGCAGCATCGTATGGCACTGGGGAGGTGAGGAGAGGGAAGTTGGGAAGAGGTTGATTTTTGAGACGCCTCAATAAGAGGATGAGGAGGACGCGCTCTGAGCAGCATCGTATGGCACTGGGGGGTGAGGAGAGGGAAGTTGAGGGGGAATTGGTTCGTTAGGCGCCTCAAAAAAAGGGTTGGCGTGCGCAGGGTTTCAAGGGGAGGGGAGAGGGGGGAGGCATGAGGAAAGAGGAGGAGAAGTGGAAGAGAGGGAGGTTGAACGGCACTGGCATAGCGGGTTGAACTCACAGTACTGGCATGCACGGGTGAGACTCACAGCACTGGCATGCATGAACGGGACTCACGGCACTGGCATGGGACGGCGGGACTCACAGCACTGGTAGGCGGGGCGCTGGTGGTGCAGGAAGCAGATGTTGTCAGAGACAGTGGCGCAGTCCATGGGGTATGCGGGGGACGATGGGCTGGACGACAGGCAGTTGCCGTACACCGTTGACGCCAGTGACCTGCGCTTCACGGGGAGTTGGGAAGGGGGGCGGGTGGGTTGGGGCGGGATGGGTGTGAGTATGATGTGATGGCTGGTCGCTCCAGGAAAGAGAAAGAGTAAGAGTACGGTGAGCTGGGGTTGGGGAGTGGGCGACGGGCTGGATGCCAGAGTGCTGGCGGGGAGCAAAGAGGCCATCGAGGTGAGCCTGGAAGAAAGGAATGGCGTGGGTGTGGAGAGGAGGGAAGCGAGCAGGGCTGGCTTGGAAGAAAGAGGAGAAAGCCTGAGTGGACAGAGGGGTGCAGCAGGGCAGGCGCATGGTGGCGCACCTGTTGGCGTGGATGCGGGCCATAAGGGCATGGAGATGGGCCCTGAGATGACTTGTGAGAATGATTTACATTTGAATTCAATTTTGGTAATTCTCAAAAGCGATCCCGGTACGCGAATCGGCGCACCTGTTGGCGTTGATGCGGGCCATGAGGGCGTCGGGGATGGGTCCTGAGAAGAAGTTGTTGGAGAAGTTGAAGAGCGCCCCCTCTGGCAGCGACGCAATGAGCCCGCCAGGCAGCGGACCCGAGAAGCTGCTGTTGGTCACGTCCCTGCGCCATGCACATCACAAGCATTGCATACACACGCACACACGATCCCACCCCAGGGTCGTAGAGAAATGACAGTTGAGGAGTGAAACCAGGAACTGAACTGAAGAGGGGCAGGGGCTGTGAAAGGGGCTGACATGCCTGTGCACAACACGATAGCTTATACTAACTTCTGAAAATATAGGCGCCTTTGAGTTGACTCAAAATACGAATGTGGCTGGCTGGTAGTGGCAGGCGAGCAGAAAGCTGACTTACAGTCTTTTCAGCAGGGAGAGGGCAGAGAGGGTCGTCGGCACGCTGCCATTCACGCCCGACAGAAAGCTCACGTCCAGCAGCGTGAGGTTCGTCAGCTGCCCGATCGTGTCCGGTAAGCTGCCCGTGAAATTGTTCCCGTGGAGGTCCAGCAGGCGCAGTTTTTTCAGGCTGCCCAGCTGGGAGGGAATGGAGCCGGTGAAGGTGTTTCCGCCCAGGTCTAGCATGGAGAGGTCGGTGAGGGCGCTGATGGAGGGCGAGATGGGGCCCGTCAGCCCCGTCTGATTCACCGTCCTGGTGTGGCGTAGCAACAGGGAAGGGAAAATGGGGGTTGTGAAGGAGGAGGAGGGGGGAAACGGGATGAGGAAGAGTTTGGGGGGCATGGAGATGTCAGTGAGGGCGCTGATGGAGGGAGAAATGGGGCCCGTCAGCCCTGTCTGGTTCACCGTCCTGGCAGGGCGTGGCGTGGCACCAGAGAAGGGGGAAAGGTTGAGGTGTAGAGAGATTGGCGATTGGGTTGAATGGGTGAACGCGACGGGGAGGAGCGCGGGTGAAAGGAAAGAAAGGCGGGGACGTGAGACACTCACAGGTTGCGGAGCAAGTGGCAGTTGAAGAGCTCGTCGGGAATGCTGCCAGAGAGGGGGTTCTTGTCGAGCGTGAGGCCCAGCAGCGTGGAGGAGAGCTGGCCCAGCTGCGACGGGATGGAGCCCGTGAATTGATTCCCTGGCAGCGAGATGACTGAGAGGTTGGTGAAGTCGCCCAGGTACGTGGGAATGGGGCCCGTTATGTCGTTGTAGCCCAGGCGACTGGGAATGGCGGACAGGCGGGGGGATGGGGGGAGGGAGAAGAATCGGCAGTGGCAGATTGAGGGAAAGACCCTGGTAGATCAATCTGCTAGACGCGTGACCTTGAAAATTGGGAAGTAGAGAAGGGGATGCGGGCGGAAACGGCAAGCGTGCTGTAGAAGCGTAGAGTGATTGTGCACAGCGTTGCAGCGGCAAGGACGTACATTTGCTTGACTCGGATGGCGTTGGCGAAGGTGTCGGGGATGGGCCCTGTGAGGTTGTTGTTGAACAGCACCCTGCATGCAGCACACGCACGCACGCACGCACGCCGCATTGCCACACGAAGGTGAGCAGTGAATGTGATCCGCGCTAAGCTGCCCTTCAGACGCAACTCAACCGGCAGAGGGAAGACGAGAGCTGAGGGTGCGGAGTGGAGTGGGGTATGTGGAGGAGACGTGGTGGGTGGGGGCGATTGACACGGCACGGAAGATGCGTCATGGTAGAGTGTGGAGCGACGGTCGGGTTGAGAATGGCGAGGAGCGAGCATTCATGGGGTTGGGAACGAAGCTCACTCACAGGGTTGAGAGGCTGCTGCGGCCAAAGCCGGCAGGAATTGTGCCAGTCAGTCTGTTATAACTCAGCTTTCTGTGGCCGCGTGGAAGCGCACGCAATGCGGATCGACGCAGATGTGGGAGCAAGCACACACAAGCACGCGTGGCATAAGAGGGAGCGGACGGGGATGAGAGGAGATAAATTGAGGGGTCCACGGGTAGAATGGAAAGAAATGAGACAAGGAGCAGGGCGCAGGTGAGTGAGAGTGGTGGGTGTGCGAGAAGAGTCCAGGCGAAGGAAGAAGGCCAGCACCATGACATGCGCGACGAAGACGACAACACGAGTGAACGAGAACGATGTTGTATTGCGACGAAAACAAGGGGGTTCCGAAGAGCGCACACTTGGCGCAAGGACTTCATCCCTGCGAGCTCGGAGGGGATGGAGCCGAAGAGGTAGTTGCGGTGCAGGTTGATGGACTTGAGCCGCGACAGCTTCGCGAGGGCCGGCGATATGTTCCCCACCAGACCCGCCTGCTTCAGGCTTCTGCAGAAGAGGAACGGGGAGGAAACGCGGAATCGGGACGAGCGATGAGGTAACCGGGCGAGACGAATGTTGAAACGGATAGGATGACGATGAGATGGAAAGAGCACGCAAGCTCAGGGGGAGCGGCCTTGTCGCTAAACTAAGCGCAAACCCTATTAGGCCAGGGGAGGCACTCACAGAATCTTAACGTATCCTTCGTCGGAGCATTTAATGCCAACCCATGCGCAGTGGTTAGGCTCCTCCGTTACGTTCCACGAGTCTAAGGACCGATGGCTGTAAAGGTGGTCCTTGAACGCGAGAAGCGCGATGGCTGCGAGGTGAAACGACGGGAATAGTCGAGCAGGGACAGGAAAGGGAGCGACTTTAGGTTAGGCTAAGCTGGTGGAAGAAGGTCGTGAGCGTGAGCGATGAAGAGAGACCGAGGAAGCCAACGGCGACTGAGTATAGGAGCCCTAAAACGCACCGAACGACCACCGAGGGGGTGTCAATGCGGCAGGGAATCACGAACCTTCCTCTGGGGCGGCTGCCTTCGGGACTTCATGTTTCTTAGCGTCGACATTGAATGACGTGACTAAGAGCAGAATTATACTCAGCCTAAACCACTGGAAAAACCGTGTGGAGCCTAATTGAGCTAACGAGCCTCCTAAGCGGCTGGGAAGTTTGGCGCCTCTCATTGCTATAACTCGATGTATAACACGAAACGGGAAATGTCGACGCTTAGGCCACACATGGCCTAGCGTGAGCCGTAAAGCTCGGAGAACTAATCTAGACCTAAGTACACACGTGTTTAGGAGAAACTAGCAGAGGAGGTGGCAGTGGTGGTAATATTTGGACTTGAGTTGACTTGGACGGGAGTCTGGAAGGAGAGAACTTTGCGGTCCAGATTTTGTTGGCAGGCCGACGTCACTTGAAATTGACGTCGCTTTGCTTCTCGAGTTCCGTTCCGTCCTTTGGGGTCCCTGGGGTGCTGCTCTTTCGTTGGGTTTTGTTTTCCGTCACGATTCATGTCTCTTGGCCTTTCCCCTCCCCTTCTTGCCTGTTTGCGATCGTCAAAGCCGAAACTGAAACCGTCAGGGCTCGCTTGCGAGTCTGTCATTTGATTTTGCGCAAAGACAATGCCAATTGGGCTGCTGTTTTGGCGATCTTCCACCTGTCGTGCGACGCCTGACGACCACGGAGGTCGTCAGCGCCGGGTTTCGCGCCATCCCTCCACCACGCAGGGGCAGCACTCAATACGCTTCATAAGGCGTTTTACTGGCGGTTTACAATAAGAGTGCTGTACTCAACAACCACAGCTATGTGAATGTGCAGTTCACCACGACAACTTTTGAACCAAATCCCGATGTAGAAATTCACGTGAACTGCGTTCACGAATTCCCCAGCCGCCCTCTCTCGGAATTTCCCAAGGCCCAATCTGTTCCGCCAATTCGATGCTCCAATTCAGCGTTCAGCGTCCGCTGGGGGAATGGCACTTTCCTTAGCAGCATCAACCCATGGGAACACCAGACTCAGCTTATTTAGTCTGATTGCTCAAGTGTGGCTCATTACCGTGCTTGCGGTTGCTATAGAGGCGATATTTTACGCCGGAAGTAACATGATCACTTGAGCAGGATCTGCAGTGGGATTCCTAAGGCAAGTGGATCAACGATGGCGGAACCTGCTGGGCTGAACATAACATCCTCCCGCCAGCTGTGTCCTGACATCCAGCTGTCTTACCCCAACGCCGTGCAAGACTGCTACGCCTCGAGAAGCACCACCGGCTATTCCGTCTATGTCATTCCTTTCAACACCAGGTATCGAATCCCGTATATCCATCCTTCTTCTGTACTTCTCAAGGATCGATTAGCATCAACAGCTACACCGCACTGCATCGTTTTCACCGTCTTCTTAATGCTCTCGTTTCACCGCATCGTTTTCGCCGCGTAGAAAACTAACTCGTTTTTCATGTCCGAACGACAACCGTGCTTATCCTGACGTTATTTTCTCGGCGCGCCTCCTCCTCGACCAGCTGCGACAGCTTCCTGCTGCTTCCCGCGGAGCAGCTATGGAGTCCGGCCGTGCGGTCGGCGTGGTACCTATTTGGCATGCTGTACTGCTTCGTGGGGCTCGCTGCCATCGTGCGCGTCTTCATGGAGGCCCTCGACCGCATCTCCAGCACGTACGCCATGGTGAGGGTTTCATCTCGAGGACGTACGCCATGGTACGGGTTTCATCTCCAGCACGTACGCCATGGTGAGGGTTTCATCTCGAGGACGTACGCCATGGTACGGGTTTCATCTCCAGCACGTACGCCATGGTGAGGGTTTCATCTCGAGGACGTACGCCATGGTACGGGTTTCATCTCCAGCACGTACGCCATGGTGAGGGTTTCATCTCGAGGACGTACGCCAATGCATGGGCCGCTTTTGATGTAAATCATAGTACAGGCAACGCTCACTCCTGAATATTTCGTGTGTGCGAAATCGACCGCAGTCTTGCTGCACTACTAGATCTCCTCTTTGCCATCCACGTTCCCTGTGTTGACCGTATTCGTTTCTCCCCGCAGGTGAGTCGGCGTGACCCCGAGACGGGTCGGGAGGAGCGGCGGATGGAGAAGGTGTGGAACAGCACGGTGGTGAACATCGCTCTCATGGCTCTCGGAACCTCCGCGCCTGAAATCGTCATTGCTGTCGTCGATGCCCTCAAACACCTCAACCAGGGACCTGGCGGTGAGAGTGGTGGGAGGGGGGATTTTGAGGTGTGTTTTGAGCCGACTGAAATCGTCATCGCTGTTGTTGACGCCCTCAAGCACCTCAACCAGGGACTTGGCGGTGAGAGGGGAGGGAGCGAGAAAGGGGGAGTGGCGACTGGATGTCTGATTGGGGGCGGATGGGAGTGTGGCGAGGAGTGTGGGCGTCACACATGATATAGTGCTTGATGCATCCAGTGTTCGCCCGTTCCCGGAACGGTCACAGGCAACACTATTGTGTCAGCCACTCCTCAGTCCACTGCACTTCGCGGCCCTCCTCTGCCTGACCTCCGTTTTCCTGCCGCACAGTGCTGGGTGCGGGCATGGTGCTGGGGTCAGCCGGGATCAACCTGATGGTCATCCGCCTGTCCTCTTCTGCCTCTCTTCCTTTTCCTGTCCTCTTCTGCCTCTCCTCTGCCTCTCCCCCTTCCCCCCTCCCCACAGTGCTGGGAGCGGGCACGATGCCGGGGTCAGCAGTGTTCAACCTGATGGTCATCTCGGCCTCTTCTCTGCCTCTCCTCCTTGGCTTGTCCTCTTCTGCCTCGCCCCCTTCCCCTCTCCCTGCAGTGCTGGGAGCAGGCACGGTGCTGGGGCCAGCAGTGTTCAACCTGATGGTCATCTCGGCCTCTTCTCTGCCTCTCCTCCTTGGCTTGTCCTCTTCTGCCTCGCCCCCTTCCCCTCTCCCTGCAGTGCTGGGAGCGGGCACGGTGCTGGGGCCAGCAGTGTTCAACCTGATGGTCATCTCGGCCTCTTCTCTGCCTCTCCTCCTTGGCTTGTCCTCTTCTGCCTCGCCCCCTTCCCCTCTCCCTGCAGTGCTGGGAGCGGGCACGGTGCTGGGGCCAGCAGTGTTCAACCTGATGGTCATCTCGGTCTGTTCTCCTCTGTCTCTCCTTCTTTGCCTGTCCTCTTCTGCCTCCCCTCTGCCTCTCCCCCGTTCCCCGTCCCTGCAGTGCTGGGCGCGGGCACGGTGCTGGGATCAGCAGCGTTCAACCTGATGGTCATCTCAGCTGTCTGTGTGGTCACGCCACCTGCCCATTCCATCAAGCGCATCCAGGCCGTTGGTGTCTTCCTCCTGGAGCTCGCAGCCAGCACGTGGGCATACATTTGGATTCTCCTCGTGCTCAAGGTGTGTTCAGGCAGGGGACCTCAGAGCCACCACCCGCCCATTCCATCAAGCGCATCCAGGCCGTTGGTGTCTTCCTCCTGGAGCTCGCAGCCAGCACGTGGGCATACATTTGGATTCTCCTCGTGCTCAAGGTGTGTTCAGGCAGGGGACCTCAGAGCCACCACCCGCCCATTCCATCAAGCGCATCCAGGCCGTTGGTGTCTTCTTCCTTGAGCTCGCAGCCAGCACATGGGCGTACGCCTGGATCCTCCTCGTGCTCAAGGTGTGTTCAGGGAGCCACAAAGCACCCTGCCAGTACCTGGGCGTACATCTGGATCCTGCTCGTGCGTGACAATACCCTACTGCTGTCCTGCCATATCTCATAATTTTGGCCCCATCTCGTGCATTTGGTCTTGGCTCCTCTCAAGACCTGCTGTAGTGAAGAATCCATGCCTTGTGTCCGCTCTTTGCGTGGTTCATTCCCGGCCCCACTGGGTTGCTCTGTGCTCCACAGGTCTTCTCCCCCGGCCGTGTCACCATAGTGGAGGCATGCATCACGCTGCTCTTCTTCCCGCTCTTCATCCTCCTCGCGTACGCACAAGACCAGCACTGGCAGCACTGGCAGCACTGGGGGCTGCTCCTTCCCTTCGTGCCCCGCCCCACCCCCCACGCGCCCCGTCGCGGCTCCCTCACTCGCTTCAAGAACTACGGCAGCAGGGAGGCGCTCATAGGTCCTTCTGCTGCTCAGGGTGCCAGTAAGCATACTGCTGCTGGTGGAAATGCGTTTGCAGTTGGTGCGTGGTGGCATGCGCTGTGGGGAGGATCTGGAAGCGCAGCAGTGGATGCGGCGGGAGGGAGAGGAGTGGAAAGGGTGGGGAAGAGCAACAATGATGGTTTGGGAGCGGTTGGGGGGGAACAGGGAGAGGTGGAAATGCAGAGAGGGGCTGACGCAGCAAGCACAAGCATTGCAGTAAGGGGTGCAGAGGAGGAGGCAGGGGAGCAGCAGGCGGTGGAAGGGGATGGGCTGAGGTCGCATGGGAGCTCGGATCTGAGTGATTGGGAGGACGTGGTGAGTGTGTGGCGGCTGGGGTGGGGTTGGGGTGTGGGGAGTGTGAGTGTGTGGCGGTTGAGGGTTGGGGTGTGATTTTTGAGGCGCCTCAAAAGCAGAGGTCGCATGGGAGCTCGGATCTGAGTGACCAGGAGGACGTGGAGTGTGTGGCGGTTGGGTGGTGGGGTGTGGTCTGGGGAGTGTGTGTGTGTGTGTGTGTGTGTGTGTGCGTGCGTGCGTGCGTGCGTGCGTGCGTGCGTGCGTGCGTGCGTGCGTGCGTGCGTGCGTGTGTGCTGGGTGTGGTGGTTGTGTGTGGGTGTGGCGAGTGTATGTGGTTAGGATGTGGTGAGCGGCTGTGAGCTGGGCATTTAATACTTTGTGGATTCCGATTACTGTGTGCGCTGATTGTTTGATACTGTGTGTGTGGCTGGTGGGCTGGCAGGGACGGATGGAATCCGAGCAGCAGCAGCAGCAGCAGCAGCAACACGAGGAAGCATCAGAAAGCATTTCAATGGAGCCGGTCCCAGCTGAGGAAGGGAGATTTGGAGCAGGTAGGTACTGCCTGTTTCTTCTTGTATGCTCAGCACAGGCTCTCAACTGTATGCCAAATAGTCATGGCAACCTGTCCCTCTCGTCCCTTTCTCCCCCAGGCTCTATGTCCTACTCCCTCAACGTTCCACCAGCAGTGTCAGCAGTGCCTCAGAGGTCCAGCAGTAGCAACCTGCGGCGCCGGTCAGCTGCTGGAATCTCCAATGTTGCTGCCATGCAGCACGACTCACCCGATCAGTCCCTGTACGTGGCTCAGTGAGGCGCTTCTTGACTTATCTCATCAGTTGCCGTGCAAGGCCACTTGATCCGCACTGGCCTTGAGCTTTGACAGATTTCTCCTGTGCCTTGGTATGTTCCCCTCTTGTGCCTTCACAGCGACGCCCGCTCGCTATCGTGTGTCCGCACTTGTCCCTCTCATTCGCCCACCCAACTCTCACTCTCGTTTCCTCTGTTTCGCTCTCAGCTCGCGCTGTCTCGGGCAGCAACTGTGGCTGCGCTCGCAGCTCCCAGGCCTCACCCATTTGCCAGCTCCTTTTCAAGGAACGCCCGCATCTTTCCCCATCCCTGCATGTGTCCCTCGCATTTTGCTCTCAGCTCGCGTCGTCTTGGACAACACTTGTGGCTGCGCTCGCAGCTCCCCGGCCTCACCCATTCTCCAGCTCCTGCTGTCCGACCGACACCGCTTTTCTCACCAGCCCCACTCGTTCTCAACCCACCACAGCAGCAGAAACAGCAGCAACAGCAGGAACGGCGGGAGAAAGAGGAGAAGGCGGAGGGGCATGCGAGTGGAAGCGGGGCAGCTGGCGATGGGCGAGTGAGGCTGAGAGCAGACGACGGGGGTACTGTGGACCTGTTACAAGGTGGGCTCGCTAGGGGTATTTTGAGTCCAAATTATGTATGGATCTTTTATCAGGTCGGTTCGTTAGGGAGGTGCAATGAAGTAAGAGTGGACAAGAAGTTATTGAACTGTATGGTCTAAAAGGTTTCCGGGTCATTTTCCAGGAGCATGGTTATAAGCTGCTTCATTTCAAAATGTGTGCCATCCATCTGACATGACGTGACTGGAGTGCTCTTGCACACCATGCCTGTCTTTTTTCCCATCCACGTTTTCTCTCCCCTTCAAGTTTTCTGTCCTTCGCTTTCTTTTCCTTACTCCCTGCTTCTTCTCCTCGTCTCTACCCTCCTTTTTAACCACGGTGAAATTCCATGGCTATTAGAGCCGTGGACGTTGTTGGTGCGTTTGGGAGAGAAGGAGGTGTGCCGGCTGGAGCACACTCGTGCAAGCACCGACGGATTCAGCAGCAGTCCTGCAAGCAATCCTGCAAGCTGCACCACTTCTTCTCCAGTCCATGCCCTCAACTTGTGAGCGTCAGACAACATTAGCTAGAATTTGAATCTGATGCATCTGGGTGTAGCTGATGATTAGTCTTTCCCATTATCCTTCTGAATGTCAATTCAATTCTGCCGCTTTCCACTGCCTCTTCTCTGCCCTCCCAACCAGCCAAATGCCCACTGCAGAAGCGCTGCATCTCCAGCTGGAGCTGACTGTGTCTCACCTCCCTCACGTCTTGAGCAGCAGCAGCTGCACGCATGCACGACGGCTGCCCACGTCAAACCCCCATGCCATGGCACCACCCCTGCAGTCCAGCTCAGCAGCATCTGTTGATGCTGGCATCGCATCTGCGGCCCTCGTGGACCACTCGTTACAATCACAGTCACCTTGGTTCACGGCAGTTGCTTCACTGGTACCCCCTTCAACACAGTCACACACTGAGTACACATCTTCTTTGCAGTTTGAAAACACGAGTGGGGCAGGGAGGAGCTGGGGTTGTGGGGAGGAAGGTTGCTGTGTGGGGGGTGACGTGAGGGCAGAGCTACACGTGGGAGTGCGAGTGGAAGCAGAGGAGGGGAACAAGGTGGCGGAAGTGACAATCAGTGTTCTGGCTTTGCGTTTTGCACTGCAGGAACAGCGTGGTATGTGCTTCTCTCCCTATTTCCGTAACCTTCGCCCAACACTCGAAGCTGATTGATTCTGTCAGCCCATGTGGCTGTTTCTTCCATGCCTTCCCTGTTGCGCGTTTATGGATTTCTGTTACTCACTGCATGCTTGATTTCATTCCAATTTCTGGCTCTCTGTCAACCAGGAAAAGTGGGGCTGGGTGCGCTCAGCACATGCGGAGAGCCGACCTCCTCTGCCCTTCCAAGCAGTCCGGGACTGGGGGAGGTGTGGCTGCAGCAGATAGAGAAGGCAATCTCGGTAGGCCATCTCAACTTGCCCTGTCATGATTCCAACCAGCCTTGTGGGCTGTGTCTATCCGCTTGACTGGAATGTAATTCTGAATTTGTGGTCCTTCAAGTTGTGGCTGACTGCTTCTTTCATGTTGTGAATGTCTGTCAGGTCCCGCTGTCGGGACACCAGAGGGGCGTGTCACTGCTGGGTCTTGGAGTCCACTTCATCTCCTTCTACTGGAAGCTCCTCTTCTCACTCATCCCTCCACCCTCTCTCATGGGTGGCTGGCCAGCCTTCATCCTCTGTGAGTGGAGTTAGACAGCCGTTATCCAGGGGCTGCATATGAAGGTTTACTGTACGTTTTATCAAACAAACTGTGCTGGGTATGTGCTGGTAATGGTATGTGCTGTAAGCTCACTTCCTTGTGGTATCTCTTGCAGGTCTCTGCTTCATGGCTGGCATTTCTTTTTTGATTGAGGAGTTCGCGAGGCTGTTTGCGTGCACGTCAGGCCTGCACCTCTTCTCGGTTGCCATTGTCTTCGTGGCTAGTGTAAGCTTTTCTGAGGAGTGAGTTGCAGCTTGATTCCTGTCCTGATTCCTTGAGTAATACTGTAGCATTTTGTGCCACTGTTGCTTCATTGCCCGCTCCTTGAATTTTCACATAATGATTTCCCGCATTCTCCCCCCTTGTCCCAAACCACCCCTGTCCATACCAGGGGACCTCTGTGCCTGACCTCCTTGCGAGCAGAACGGCTGCCAGACTGTCACCCTCTGCTGACGTGGCCATCGCAAACATTACTGGTTCAAATGCCGTGAATGTCTTCGTGGGTCTTGGCCTGGCATGGCTGATCAAGGCAGGTTATGAGAAGGCAGTTTCTGGCGACTCGCTATTTGTCCCACACCTTCCAAATCTGGAGGTTTCGGTCATAGCTTTCCTGTGCACCACCGTAGTATTCGTTATCATCATGGGTTTGAGGCGTAACCTCGCTGGTGGAGAACTTGGGGGTGCCAGGGGATGGGCTTGGTTAGCATTCAGCTTATTCATCCTCTCCTGGTGTGGCTTCCTTGCTGTAACGGCTGTGATGAGTCAGCAGCAGTAATGAACAGCTTGCTACAGTCAATCGGATCCACAACCAGCCAGCAAAATGAACCAGCAAAGTGAACCCACTGCACTATGTTACTTGGATCAGGCAATGCCACAACCACAATTGAATGATACAGAACAGTACGGTGCAGTACATGGTATGGTATCTGTGAGCGCAAAGTTGGCGAGTGCAAATCTCAAGGCAGGAACCAACCAAGAGTGACATTACAACCTTTAGATCAACTAAAAACTACCACTCGAGGTAAGTATGCTACTTCCAACCTTACAGTACCGTATATTGAACACTGAACAAAGGCAACCAACCAAGCTTGCTACAATCAGGATCAAAAGAACCTCCAGGCAAAAGGGATGACCACAAAGCTGTCATTTTGAACACGTGACTGGCCAGCACTAATCGGCGCGAGACTGGCCGGCACGCGATGACAGAATGATACCAACAATAAGCCCATACAGGGCAAGAGCTTCAGCGAAAATAAGAATAAGAATCATGCCGACGAAAAGCTTGGGTTGCTGAGCGTTAGCTCTGCAAAAAAAAAAAAAAAGCGAGGGTCAGCATGCCGTAGCGAAACCGCGGCACCAGCAAAAATGAATCACCTTAAAAATCTGCTCAGATCTGATCCCTAAGAACGCACCTGACACCAGCGTCACCGACAATCCCAATGGCCATGCCCGCAGCGAGACCCGCCAGACCGCAAGAGAGCCCAGAAGACAGATGAGCGTAACCATCAAAAGAGTAATATGCCTTGGCCTTGGGGTTGATACCCGTGCTGATAATAACGGCAATGATAAGGCCGTAAATACCAAGCACACCAGCCATAACAACGGGCACAATCGACTTCATGACGAGTTCAGGCCTCATAACACCCATGGATGCGACACCGACGCCACTTTTCGCTGTGCCGTAAGCTGCTCCCATGCCTGTAAAATGCGGAACAACGGGTTAACAGAGCTAAATAGCACCAGCACAGGTTACACGCTTGGATCTAAAGCTGCGTAATCAGATTAGCACAGAAACGGGAAGGATCTGGGTGAAAATGCCCGGATCAGGCACAAGCAAAAAAATTGCCGCTATGTGCCTACATGAGAAAACGAGAGCTGCGGAAGCCCCCATAAAGCCAAAGAAGGGAGCAGTCTCGTCGCCATTGAAAACACCCGACATGATGGCAGCTTGATCGAGTTGAAGACTGAGTAGCAGGAAGTCTGTAGACCGCTTGAAATGAAGTCCTTTTCTCGGAGAAGCTACCAGCTGAAATTTGCAAGCAAGGAAATGCACTGCTCAGCTGAAGGTTGGAACCCTTTCGTTCAACTGGGCAATCCCTTCCAGGCGTTCATTGGCTAGGCACGGTCAGCAAACAATCCCTAGCTATGAGAAAACTTACACTGCACTATGACTCAGAATAATATAATGACGTACATGCCTTTGTTATCCATACACAAAAATGCATAATTCACTTGTACCGGTTGTAAAAACATGTTCCAACTTACCTGGTGTAGATACCGTCAGGCCTCGGATATAGGCACAGGCATACGATATGCCATGCGCATGCTCTCATGGTGGGAGCCCTGTGCTCGTAGCATATCGGCGATTACTAGCGCATACAATAATAAAGTCATTGCATTTACTCCGTAGCGTAAGGGCTTTTTACTTCAACAACAACTATGCCAATGTATGAGAGTTTTAGCCCAACTTAGTTTTTGCCAAACATATCCATTTAATCTACGTTTGAACCTCTTCGCACTACGTTGCGAACCCTTGTCAGACGTATTCTGGTGCAGTTCCTTCACGAGATCGCATGTTTATGACTGTAGCCGCTCGACCCATATCATGAGCCCTTTGCCCCGCGCTGCAAGAAATTTAGTGTAGATGTGTGCAGCCTATGATTCTACAGCTAACGAATCAACATCTCTTTCTTCCATGCAGCCAGTTGCTTAGGGGAGATTACATACCGACCGATAACTATGTTACAACCTTCATAATTTTCAGATGAACAAGGCACTTCATTTTTCTTATGCCTCATATTCGTGGCGTCTCCTCGTCAAAGCCATGTTCATAAGAGACAATAACCTTTCTGTTACGATATAAAGTTTTATGAGGAGACATTTGTGTATGCTATAGGAGCCGACTCTAGCGAGTATGAAGTCGAGTGGTCAGAAGAATCGAAGCGACATCACCAACCGTCTGACCAAGACCGATGCTGGCAGAAAACTTTCGAAGTGAAAAGAGCGGGAGCAGGTTTGGAGCTGGTTCCCGCTGTTCAATTATAATGTGTTGGTAGGCTGTAGTGGGGTAGACAATATAGGGTACAACCCCATTAGGGTTAGGTACTTGTACTCTTGTTCTCCTTTCAATGCATTCATTCTTGCCTAGAATCTTGACATGGTTTCAGAGCAGGAGGTCTCTAGGACCTACCGATCTTTTTTTTAGGGCCCACCGTCGCACGCATGCGGTTACCACGCTACCCCGCGCCCTACCCTCGATGCGCCCTCGTGCGCCCTCGTTAGCGCCCTCGCGCGCCCTCGTTAGCGCCCTCGCGCGCCCTCGCTGCGCCCTCGCGCGCCCTAATTAGCGCCCTCGTGCGCCCCTCGTTAGCGCCCTCGTGCGCCCGCGCTGCCCGCCGTCGCGCTGCCTGCCGCGTCGCCCGCCAGTCGCGCAGCCCGCTGCGCTGCCCGCTCGCCGCGCTGCCCGCCCGTCGCGCTGCACGCCGCGCTGCCCGCCCGCCGCGCTGCCCGCCGCGCTGCCCGCCCGTCGCACTGCCCGCCGCGCTGCCCGCCGTCGCGCTGCCTGCCGCGTCGCTCGCCCGTCGCACTGTCCACCGCGCTGCCCGCCGCGCTGCCCACCCGGCTGCCCGCCCGTCGCGCTGCCCGCCCGTAGCGCGTCCCCTCTGCTGCTGCCGCTGCTCTGCTGTGCCCTCACGCCTGAGCTATGGCCTCTATTCGCGTTCTTTCCTTCGATGCTGAGGGCCGTCCCGTGCAGTTCACTTCCTGGCTCGACGACCTGCAGTTGTATCTTATGAGCAATAGCACGGACCACGTCTCCCTCTATGACTACGCGTCTGGTGCTGCCGCTGCTCCTGCTGCCACAGCCGAGCTTAGTGTAAGTTCGCAGTGGCAGACTCGTGACGCTGCAGCTCGCCTGGCTATTCGCAGTCACCTGCCGTTCGCTGAGCTAGAGCACTTTGGCGACTGCAAAACCGCTAAAGCCCTATACGACGCTGTCGTTGCTCGCTACTCCTCACCTGCCACAGCCGAGCTTAGCCGCCTCATGCTGCCTTACCTGTTCCCTGAGCTGTCCACCTTTGCTACAGTCGCCGATCTCATCACCCACCTTCGCACTAGTGACGCTCGCCTGCGTGCCGCCCTTCCCACCGAGTTCTGCGCTAAGAACCCCCCTCCACTGTACTGGACGCTCCATTTCATAGTCACCCGTCTCCCTGACACCCTCAGCTCAGTCCGAGACTACTTCCTTGCCCGCTGTCCCACTGAGCTCACAGTCGCCCTCCTAGAGGAGAAGCTGCTAGCAGCCGAGAAGAGCATTGTAGCTGTAGGTGCTGCTCGTGGCGCTCCTCGCACCCCCATCTTTGAGGGGTGTTCTCCCTCTCCCCTCGCTCCCTCCTACGCTACTGCTGCTGCTGTTGACCTCCTTGGTGCTGAGTCTGCTGGCGCTGCTTCTGCTCCTGGTGGGAGGCGCCGCACCGGCAAGGGCAAGGGGGGCAAGGGTGGCGGGGGTGGCGCTTGGGGGGGAGGTGGTGGGGGAGGTGGGGGAGGAGGCGGTGCTGGAGGGAGCGGTGGCGGGAGTGCTGGTAGGAGTGGAGGCAGCGGTGGGGGCGGGGGCGGCGGCGGGAGTGGTGGCAGCGGTGGCGGCGGTGGCAGCGGCGGTGGCAGTGGTGGCGGTGGCGGCGGCGGCGGCGGCGGTGGCGGTCGGAGCGGCGGTAGTGGCGGCGGTGGTGGTCGGAGTGTAGGCCCTGGCTCGGGCCAGACCTCTCAGCAGCAGCAGCGTCCTCAGACGACCCAGCAGCTCCGTGAGTGGCTTGCTCAGCGTGGGACGTCGGGAGGCAGTGGTCGCTGTTCCTATGTCATTCGCACAGGTGAACGCAAGGGGCAGAAGTGTGGGAGGTTCCACACCCAGTACCGCTGCTTCTCCCGCCTTGACGACGCTTGGCGTGAGGAGATGGGCGAGGAGGTTGAGCGCCCCCGCTGGGCTGATCTGATGAGGGCTGGTGTTGATATCTTTGCTCTTGATTATGATGCTATTATTGCTGCCATGTATGCATTGATTGTTAGTGCTGAGGGGGACTGTTACTTGTGTGTGCCGCCTGACCCAGGTATAGAGCCCACTGCCCTAGGTACCAGCGAGTCTGCTCTCTCAGGTACTGTGCCTTCCGAGGCTACTCCCTTCGGTACACCCCCTCCTGCTAGCGAGTCTGCGCTCTCCGGTACTGCGCCCGCTGAGGCCTTGCACACCTTCACGCTTGACTCAGGTGCTTCCCGCTGCTTCTTTCGTGACAGTACTGAGCTCACTCCCCTCCCTGCACCAGTTCCAGTCTCCCTGGCTGACCCCTCCGGGGGTCCAGTTCTTGCACGGTCTACCACTGTGCTTCCCTGTCCGGCGGTTCCGTCTGGCTCGTTGTCGGGTTTCCACCTCCCCTCGTTCTCTACGAACTTGGTGAGCAACGCTGTTATCCAGGATCACTGGGTTGACACCTTCACCCCTGGAGGACAGCGTGTGGCGATCCTCACGTGCTCCAGGACTGGCCGTCACCTGGCTACGTTCACTCGTCAGCCGGGGTCGAGTCTCTACACACTGACCACTGTGTCTCCTCAGGTCGCTGCTGTTGGTCAGGTGTCTGCGTCAGGTCTAGTAGCCCACCCCTGTGAGTGTCGCTCCCTGTCGCACCAGACCCTTCTCTGGCACCACCGCCTTGGTCACCCCTCCTTGCCGCGCCTTCGTGGCATGCACCGTCGTCACCTTGTGTCCGGTCTTCCCCGGTCTCTCCC